GCGACATGCATTCCACGGTGGCGTGAGAGGGTCCCACCTCCCGTGTCGTAACGTCAATGGCTGACGTACTTATTATTATGGTCGGTTCGTCGTTTTCTCCGACTCCAATCGTTGCTCGTAGTAGAAGACTTCATCACTTCAAAGATCTTAAGCCGATTCTCGATAGAGAGAGAGTACGGATCTCCTGTGTTTTAAAAATAAACCGAATCGTGGGCCGTTAGATCAAGTGAGCCTCTCAAACGCGTATGGGCCGTGTGATCGGAATGGTGACACCGCGAATCAATGGTGGTGATGATGATGCGGGGTCCATATTAGGTATGTGGTAGTCATTGTAGGGAAACACTTGAGGAGTAGGTCCAATTAGGCATGTGCGTAAGTCTCTTATGAAATCTCATACAAATCACACACGGGTAAGTTTGGTTGGGCGGTTGGGAGAGCTTGGGATTGTCTGCGGATTGGTGTATCACTCCACCATGTTCTCTAATCATTTCGTTTCTAATTTCATCATTTTCTTTTGTATTTTTGTTTTTTTCATTGACCCAACTCCTTTGATAAGGATCTTCAAATTTTTCTCGAGCTAGACAATTTTTTAATATTGAAGCAAATGACAGGAAGGAAAAGAAGAAGACGATAAAGAGTGGTGGTTTCTGCAAATCCAAAGAATACTAGTGTTAAAAAGACATCAAATTAAAATGTGGGTATTTTATAGATCCATTTCTATGAATATGATGGTATTATGGTAACGTTAAGCACAAGTTTTGGTGGAACAAAGAGTAACATGATATAAAAGGCTGGGTCAGGAAAGGAGAGGCTAGTGGTATTTTTTAGGAATAATTGTAATGCTGCGGCTCACTTGTCTTGTGGATTTACGTAAGCATTTACGTATAAGTCGCTTATATATTTTAACTTCATAACTTAAGCGATCATTTCATATTGTAATTCAATGACAACAACTTAACATGAGTAATATCCTATAATGTAAGTTAACAAAGCAAAAGGAAGTGATTTTTTTTTATTCAAATGTTTTTTTCATGTTACCTATCTTCTTCCCAACGCTAAAGAAGCAATAGCTTTAGCGATTTCCAACTCTCCTGTGCATGGGCAGACAGACCCACGTTAGAGGTGGAGTATATGTAATTTTAAAGTAAATGTGCAAATCACTAGAATATTTTGGCTAAATTGGTTAAAGTTCTATAATTGCACTCATTTAGACCTACGTTTAAGTTCTTTTTTAAGTTCAATTCATGCATTTTTTTCTAATAATCCAATTTATAATTATAGCACGGCTCAGTAAAAAAATATTTTTAAGGCCCGGACCCGACTCAGACCCGGATACCCGCGGTTTTAATTCATTTGTGTCGATCTCTTGAAAATTTGAATCTCTTTCTTGTGCGTCTCTTCTTCTCTTGAAAATACGCGCTTAATTCCCAGAAATCTCCGATCCAGCATTTTGTCCAAGGAGCGCTTCTCCAATCGGAGAACCTCAAAATGGCGGCGCACAGAGCCGACGAGGACTACGATTACCTCTTCAAGGTGGTGTTGATTGGAGACTCCGGCGTCGGAAAATCCAACCTCCTCTCTCGATTCACGCGCAATGAGTTCAGCCTCCAATCTAAATCCACGATCGGCGTCGAATTCGCCACCCGTAGCATCCATGTCGACGACAAGATCGTCAAAGCCCAGATTTGGGATACCGCCGGCCAAGAGAGGTACTTATACATCTCTCTTCAGGCTCATTCAATTTGGGATCGATTTGACATTTCTTCATAGCTTCCGAAAAGAGTTTGTCGATAAATCTGAGAAATCCATTGATTCCGATACAATTAGATTGTTAATTGGTTGATTGATTTGTGTGATTTTGAAAGATATCAAGCAATCACAAGTGCATACTACAGAGGAGCCGTAGGAGCATTGCTCGTCTACGATGTCACAAGACACGTGACCTTCGAGAACGTCGAGAGATGGTTAAAAGAGCTTAGAGATCACACAGATGCAAACATCGTCATCATGTTCGTTGGGAACAAGGCAGATCTCCGTCACCTACGAGCTGTATCAACCGAAGACGCCAAGTCCTTTGCGGAGAGAGAGAACACTTTCTTCATGGAGACATCAGCTCTCGAATCGCTGAACGTAGAGAACGCTTTCACTCAAGTGCTTTCTCAGATTTACCGTGTGGTTAGCCGGAAAGCTCTTGATCTAGGAGATGATCCGTCTGCTCTTCCTAAAGGACAGACCATCAACGTCGGGTCCAAGGATGATGTCTCTGCCGTTAAAAAGGTAGGTTGTTGCTCAAATTGATGGTTCGATGGATCTCACTGTTGTTTTGATCTTGTTCATTTATTTGTATAATCATACCTTTAAAAAGCATAGTAATCAACACTAAACAACATTTGTGTTGAATGAATCTTATTATGGTCTATCACAGTGTATATTATCAATGTGATCTTGAGACTAAACAAAGAGCATGAGAAGCACCAATGGAGACTGAGATAACCTTGTGCGGTTTAAGTTCATCTTCTTCGGTTAAGAAGTTGACTTCCACCGGAGAAGTTTGGATCTCCGGGAGTCCTGGAACTCCGAGCTGGAAATCTTTAGCGTTTCCCCACATCCAGAGTTTACCTTCATCTGTCAAAAACCATTCCCGTTATGCTGAGATATTTATTATGTCAAATGAAACATAGCAAAAAGCTTTATTTTACCTGTTATTGCTGCACAAGAGGAACCTCCAGAAGCGATGAAGACGATCTTTTTGTCTGCTAATGCTTTGATTTCTGTAGGAATTTTCTGGTTCCGCAGCGAAGAACTACCCAATTGGCCGTGACCACCGTGGCCCCAAGAGAGTACTTTACCTTCCTCTGTTGTCACACACCAAGCAAAATTTCAAGTCAAACTTGTACAAAACCGGTAAGAGAAAGATTGTTCGGCTTGGAGAAAGATTGTTTACCGGTTAAGGCGAGAGAGTGATATCCACCGCACGCAATCTGAGTGATACGAACGCTTTCTAGACTCGGAACCGGCATTGGTTTCCAACCTCCCAAGTTATCACCACGTCCGAGCTCATAATTTGAATTTGCTGATACACATAAACATCCAATGAATTATTTTTACAATAACAATGATAGAAACTAAGACTTTATATTAACTTTTACCTCCCCAGTTCCAAAGTTGTCCTTCTTGTGTAAGCGCCATTGTGAAGAAACCACCACATGAGACAGACGCTACAGGAACCGTTAAAGATTTGACCTTTGAAGGCACACTGAGCCCACCACCTTCGTTCGGTCCTCGGCCTGGCCCGAGTCCTAGTCTGCCGTCTCCTTCCTCTCTACCCCACATATACAACTCTCCTAGAACCAAGAACAATGCTCGATTATGAGTCAAACAGAGCAATTAAGAAGATGAACAGTGGTATTAACCGGTCAAGATTCTGTACGCAACTGCAGATATGTAACATGAAGAGAAACCTGATTCAGTAATAGCAGCGGTATGAGTTCCGCTAGTTGCAATGGCAGAGATTTTGCAGTCCCAAGAGCCTTCAACACGTCGAGGGACGAGTTCTCTGGTGTAAACCGAATGTCCAAGCGCACCAAACCCTCCATAACCCCTGCCAACTTCATTTTTAATTTACGGAACCATCACATTATGCAGAAAAAAACAACAAAAATCAAACAGAAATGTAATCTTATTGACATTGCTTCAATTTCAAAATTTTCTAATACTCAACTACGATTCAAAAACTCAAATTGAGATCAACGGCTTTTCGAAAATGGAGAAACTTTATTGAAATGATTCGAATTTGAAGCTATAGCTTACCAAGTGAAGACATCTCCTTTATGGGTTAGAGCAACGGAATGTAAGCCACCGAGAGCGACGCAGCGAATCGAGTGCTCCTCGAAAAGCGGATTTAAGTTTGGGACGAAGACTGAATTCTCTTGACCAAATCCTAGCCTTCCTCCGTCTCCTTTCCCCCAAATCCATAGATCTCCGTCGATAGTTAAACCCGAGTGGAACAACCCGCAAGAGATTCCGACCCGGAAATTCGATCCGTTTGTCGGTGAATCGGCGTCTAGTCTTCCAGGCGTTTGGGCGAGAGATAAGGATTGATCTGAGCGAAGGAGAAGGTTGGCGACCGGAGACGGATACATTCGTATTTCTTCGATTCCGCCGCCGAGCTGACCTGAAGCGCCTCGTCCCCATGAGTGGAGCTGGAGGGTGACGGAGTCCGATTCGATCTCTGGGCTTGTGTAGAGTGTGGGTACTTTTGTAACTCCGCCGCTTCGTTGAGTGCTCCGTGTGGAGGAGAAGCGGCGCGACAAACTACGGAGGCGGTGGCTAAACGCTGCCATTGTTTCGTCGGAGTTTCTTCACTACCGAACCGTTACCGGCGGGTTTTAAGTAACATTTCAGGGATTTGCGTTGCTTCTTGAAACGGCAGCGTTTTCCAGAAAGATGGAATAATTGCTCGTTAGGACCCTATATTATTCTTGTTTTTGTCAAGAAGACCCCATATTATTTCCAATTATGGCTTAGAAGGATTTTGAAATTGTGCAAAACAAAAAGATTATAATTTTCAGTTTATAGCAGAATTATTCTAATGATCAGGTTCTTGTCATCTCTTATGGCGTTTTTAGCATGATTGTTTGACACATGGTGGCATAAGGTGCAAGACTTTATAGTTAGATTGGTTTTCAATTTGGGTGGAGTGTGGAGTAAATGGAAAGTTTTTAAAGTATGTAAACCCACATAAAGTTCTCTCACTAGAGATGTACATTCAACTTTGTTCAGTAACAGATATATGTAACCATCAAGACATCAAGAAACCGATGATTTGATTTCGTTTCTTCTTTTCAGTTTTTACTTGTCTAAATAACATCTCTTCAGCAAAAGCTAAGAAATGTAAAATCGAGACTGTAGATTGTCTCTCCACTAAGAGTGTTTGTTTACTCAGAAACAGAGTAGTACAAAAGAATCTAAAGACACTTCTAACACGTTTTTTCTTTTCTTCAGAATCTACAGCATTGGAACCCTAAAGCAATCGGCTTCTGTTTCTTGGGAGACAACTCATCTAGTTTAGGCATCTGAACAGGGCTTCCCATCCACTCAAGTCCCAATCTGTATATGATTTTCAATCCCAAATTATCAATTCAGAAACATTATATTTCCAAACAAGACAAACAAAAAGCTATTGAAATTAAACTCACATAGGAAATGCAAATGATCCCCTTCCTTCATCTGAGTGATTAGACCCGCTAGATGTTTCTGAGGCCTCAACTTCTTCTTCTTCGTTATTCTGCAACAACCGAAAGTAAATAAATAAAAAAATGGCAAATTCTTACGCTTGAAATTTGAAGCATACATTACCTCATGAACATCACAAGAGACAGGCTTATCTTTACGATCTTGTGTTGCCACTTTAATCTCCGGCGATTTCTTATCATCTGTTCCTCCTACCCCTTGATCTCCATAAATAAGCTGTTCTTAAAGAAAAAAACAATAAAAAGTCAAAAACATTTAAGGCAATGTTTTTCAGAACATTGTAGGCCCTTTTTCAACTTTTATGTTAGACATATTTTGGAACTCTCTTCTATGTCAAAACATAAGTAATCAAGTTTTTAACAAACCTTACGATTCACCGTCCTCGGTGACTTTCCGGACGACAACTCCATCTGTTTCTTCTCTTGTTTCTCCTCTTTCACAACATCGAAACCTCCGTCTTTGCCGTCAAAGCAGAAGACAATGAAGCCAGCTTCGTCTGAAGCCGGTGGCTGAGGCCAGCTCAAACGCCGGTTCTGAGACGCCGACGTGGGAGAAACGCTGCTGCTTCTTAGATGAAGATGATGATGACGTGTCCCTGGTGGGCTTAGACTGAGTTTCCTCTCTGATTTCTTCTTCTTAGTACTCTTCATCTTCCTCTTTATCCTCTTGAGCGTTAGATTATTGTTGTTCGGTGTGCTTAAGTTATTATTAACTCCATCTTCATCTACGTCTGATTGAGATATATAAAACGTGTAAAAAATATTGAAACAATAACTTAAAAGAAAATGAAATTAGGAAGAAGAGAATGAATAAAGGAAGACCTAGAGGAATCTTGCAAGCCAAGAAACAGGAAGCCCAATCTTTGACTCTCCAAGTGACAAGTTTTTGTATTGTCCCTTGTGAAGCCATTGCAATTATGTTTTTCTGGAAGAAGAATGTTTCTTGGATCTTTTTTCACGAGAAAATGGTCTTCTTTGCGTTTGTCTGTGTTTTGGCCTTTCAAGAAAAAATTTAAGAAGGGAGAAGGAATAAAGAGGGATTTATGATGAGGGAGAAGAATGATTTGAAATTTGAAAAAAAAAAGGGAGACAAGAAAATAGACTGCCATGAATTGGGGAAGGGGGTTACAATGTGCAACACATGAATGCATTTAATATTATTGGGAAAAAAGGAAATAACTTCTTTCTTTTGGAACTGTAATAATTGGGCAGTAAATGCTATCATAGTTGATACACTGCAAGAAATTAATTTTTTTCTTTCACTTTTTGTAAATTTATTAATTCAGTTTTTGTAAGACGGTAACGGTATGCATAACGCCATAACCACGGAACGGTGGCTAGAGATATATGGATGCTATTTATGATGGGCAAAATCAAATGAGAGAATTTGAAAATTTCAGCGCAAAATAAAATAAAATTTGATTTTTTGAAAATTTTATAGAATTTTCTTACAAGTTATAACCTAGCAAGGATTCTTGAATCCCTAGAAATACGAATGGACCTGTATGCCAAGCCCATTTATATGATTAGAAGATTACTAAGGCCAAACTAAAATTGTTTTGCTCTGCCTCCACTCTTGATTTTGGTTTTTGATAACTTAACATTTATTTTTCTTCTTGGGATGACTAAACTAAAATTGTTGGAGCACAGCATGAATATTCAATGGACCAAGGATGAGAGATGAGACACAAAGCCACCAAACTCAATCACATCTATAGGATCAGCTTTAGATTCAACTTGTTGCATCGGGAATGAGAAACCATCAAACTCATACCACATGAAAGCTTCACGTCAGGTCCTAGTGGTTTACATATGCATGTGCGTGAGAACTTCCGAAATAACAAAAATCCAAAATATAATAGCTTCTGTATAATGTAAGACATAATTCATACTGTACTGAGATCTAAAATACAATAGTTTCTAACCCTCTTTCAGAAAAAACAAAAAATGTTTCTGTGTAATCGAAGAATTAATTACATATACCCACATCTCAATGTTCCTTTTTCTTCACAAGAACCAAACTAAAACGGACAGGAGAATCAGAACAGTGTCATCACTCATCAGTGTGCAAGTCCGTGTGACCGCGAATTCTGACAGATGCTCGACTAATCCAATCATAATACTACACATCGCATTGCACTACGTAGGGTGAGTTGATGACTCAGTGACCTATGTAAAGAAAGTAAAGATCTCAACCATTCCTCCTTAAAATATAATTTTTTAATTTCTTTTTAATTTCTTTTTAATTTCTTTTTAATTTCTTTTTAATTTCTAGTCATATACTATGCAGTCTATGCAGCTATTCTTCTTCTCTCTCTCTCTCTCGTATATATATAAGAGCATCTCTAGCGACTATCTTCTGTGCGAGATAGAGAAGAAAAAAAATCGATTGTTATTGTTTGAAAAGCTTCTATATAATGATACTGCGTTTACGTGTTCCTCGTGGAAAGAGTGTGTCCGTGAGTACAATCTTCAAGTGTCTCTTGGTTTTGATTAGACGCTCTATTCAATTCTCGTAGCTAGTCATCTTTTCAATATATATTTTTTTTTGTCAATTTCACTTAAAAAAACAATGGACTATAGAGTCATTCTTTAGGAAACAGAGCTTTAGTTTCCAACAATCCTTTGTTAGCCCTAGCTAGGATTTTACGTACTTAGGTGTATTAAAATATTAAAAGAAAAAAAGAGTCAAGAGGAAGAAGAAGAAGAAAAAGAGATGGTGAGGACACCATGTTGCAAAGAAGAGGGAATAAAGAAAGGAGCTTGGACTCCTGAGGAAGATCAAAAGCTTATTGCTTATCTTCAACTTCATGGTGAAGGTGGATGGCGAACTCTCCCCCAAAAAGCTGGTAACTTTTATTTATTTATTCATGTGGCTCTTTATGAATTATGATATGAAACTGTATTTATATTATTACTATTATGTGTATACACACTTAGGACTGAAGAGATGCGGGAAGAGTTGTAGATTGAGATGGTCGAATTATTTAAGACCCGATATTAAGAGAGGAGAGTTTAGTCCTGAAGAAGACGACACTATCATCAAACTTCATACACTTTATGGTAACAAGTAAGCCATTTCTTCCTCATAATTATATATATCTCAAATTTAGATTCCAAGTTCTATAGTATTGCGTTGAAAAATATAATACTAATTTATATTTATATCATGGTGTTGTTTATTAAAGGTGGGCCGCAATAGCCGCTAGTTTGGAGGGAAGAACTGACAACGATATAAAAAATTATTGGAACACAAATCTCAAGAAGCGTTTAAAACAAAAAGGTCTCAATCCTATCACTCATCATCCGATCAACTCAACCGATCAAACCGCTTTCGAACCCCCTAAACCGGTTGGTTCATCCGGTTCCGCGAGGCTTATTAACCGCGTCGCAAGCAAATACGCCGTCGCTTCAAACCGGGACCTACTAACCGAAATCATCATCAGAAACTCCACATTCATCGCCAATGATTCACAAAACCCCGGCCATATCGATTCTCCGACAGCAAACTCGACCAACAAAATGGCGGCAGAATCAAGCGCTCTCACATCTATTCTGATCAACACTACGTCGCCTTCTTCCGCATTTTCCGAAAACTGTTCTTTCTACGATGATTTCACCGATTTCTTTAGCAACCAAGAGATGTCCGATATGTATAAGAATGTCGATAGTTTCGAGTTTATGGAGGAGTTAAAAGGTATTTTAAGCTACGGCAATGCTGGCGCTGGAGATATATATTAGAGAATCCTCAGAGGTTATTAGGTTAATGTAACTGATGATATGGAGTTGCTTGATTCTTGGTAGGAAGAAGACGATATGGGTTTTGGAGAAGTTCGTGAGTTCGTTCGTTTTTTGTTAGATTACATGGTTGGTTTTTCTCTTTAATCGATATCGATATGGATTGTACTATTTGTATCGTCAGATTCGTCACGTAGCGAGAAAATACATTAAAATGGACTAAAGTTTTGTTTTTGTTCGAAATCTAGCAAACTAAATATTTTTTTTCTTTCAAAAATAACAAAAACTGTTTTGTAATACACTTGTTTACCATAAATAAATTACACAACTTGGGTTTTTCTTTCCAAATTAGGATGCTTACTATGCATAATATTTGGCAACGGATTTGTATTGAGATCAACTAGCACATTACGACCAAGCTTAGGCACACTCCGATCATTAACTTTTTTTTTTCTTTTTAAGAAAAGGGTTTGATCATTATTAACTTTTTAATTCTTTGATAATATAATTATATTCGAAACGCAACTTTACTTTAGAGTAATTTGTCTTCTTCAGATCAATAAAGTGTTGGAAAAATAGAATTTATTCCTCTGCTAAAACTGCTATATTCCTTAAAAAGTGAATCCCATTCCATATATAATAATTTTCCCATATGACAAAGATAACGTGGTCAACCTTTTATCAACAACTACGTCGACTATCTTTTTGTCATTTTTGGTGGGGTGCAATTTCACGTGGCTGCGTAATTTGGGAAAAAAATATTTACATATACGAACGACGGAACGAGTATATGCATAACACGTCATTCGAGAATCACTTATTTATTTTTTTTTTTTTACAGAGAAAAGTCCAAAAATAAAATCACTATTGCTATGCAAGTTGATGTAGCATTTTTGTATCTATTAGTTGTGATTTTTGTACGTGTCAGATCAGTTGTTACTATATAACCAATCATAGTTAAACATGTATTTATCACAATTATAATTGGAGAAAAACATAAAACTTTAAAACCTTAGAATTATCAATTATGCATGGACTGACACACGTATCGCATATATCAAGACCGGGATCCAGATTTCCTGGTACTTGGTAAGCGTTTCTTACGCACCTTAACGAATGTATCGCTGTCGCCATTCGGATCTCTGAAGCCGTAAGACAGTGGAAACTTCTTCTTCCAACATAACCGATCTCTTCCCAGCACCACCGCTGCACAAAAACAGTCCTTGAGACAAGCAGCTTTGCAGCTTCCTTCATCATAGTTCGAGTACCTCTTGTAATCCCCAGACGGCCAATTTGTCCTTTCCAAAGTTATAAACTCGTAAAGATTTGCATCCGAGTCCTCGGTCTCGGTTTGGTTATTACTCTCCGGTCCACAAGTTTGCATCTCAAAACCCGGTTTACAGTCACCATACTCATCACTTGGATCCACCAACACAAACCTTTCGGGACATTCACATTTTGGCCTCTGGTTATCTCCTAAAACACATATATTGTTAAACCCACAAGCTAGATTCCCAAGCTCATTAGCATCAAGACTCTGACCAAATCTCTTCCCACATATATTCTCTGGCTCTGACCAAGCCAAAGACCACCCGTTATTATTATCATTATTCACCTGACTCTTGGGATGATAATACTGAGCTAAAACACCGTCGAAATGGAGAACGACACGGTGGTAAAACTCTCTAGAGGATACAGGACCTTTCTTATTGAGAATGAATCTTGTTGTATTGTCTCTCAGTATCACATACACGTAGCCTGACTCACTGAAAACCAGTCGATACCCGGGGCTCCGAGGATCGTTTGTGTTACTTGAGTAGTACGCAAAGTATACATCTGTTTCTGCGAGCGTATCGCTGTTGAGTGTAAGAAGCTGAAGATCTCCATCACCACCTAAACGTAGCCTGAATCTTCCTTTCTTCAAGCTTGTCTCTGTCCGGCGAGATGAGAGATTCCCTCTAACCTCAATACTCTGCATCATATATTTAATCAAGAAAATTATTTGCAAACGCAAACGCAATTGAGGTCTCTGTAATCAAGACTCACCTGAGTAGGCAATAGAGTGTCTGTAGGATTAGCGAAGCTAGACCACAAAAGCTCGTCGGAATAATCTGTCGCTTCGCCTAACAGACAGAAGTTTCCGGCGTCGGTTATGAGCCCTCGAGAAACAGGGCTCCTAACTCGAGGAAGTGAAGAGCTCCAGAGCTGCTGACCTCGAGGGCCAGTGAGAACCAGACCGCTATTTGATGTTAATGTAACCCTAGAACCATCAGGGACAAGACCAGTGGTTGTTCTGACGGCTTGTGCGTGCCACACGATGGTCTTGTCAGGAATCTTGTCGAACCATATGGAGAGGCTGAAACCATCGTTTGGTTGAATCTTGCGGAATCCGAAGGCAAATTCACCGGAAGAGGAAAGCCATGAGCTGGGGAATTTTTGGGAAGCGGTGAGAGATTCACCGACAGGAACAGAGCCGTTTATGATGTTCTGAGACAAAACGACAAGTGTTTGTAGCAGCAGAACAAGAACAAGTTGGAGTATGGGGAAATTGATAAATCTCATTTTGCTTTATCAAAAATGTTGATGTGATTTGTTCGTTCTCTTATAGTTATTAACAATTCTGTACAGTTATCTTATCCCTGACCGACTTCAAGTGTGTGTGGAGATTTGTTCGTTACCACTGATTGTCTGAAGATGGTAGGGATAAGATGACATGACTTGGATTCTTCTTTGTTTTTTGTTCTCTCAAAATCAACGGAACAGATTTTGAATAGTCAAAGAAGTCTTCTCTTTGTTTTTTTCTTTATATACCACCTTGTGATTTAGGACTGTATTTTAGATTTGGAAATTTATTAAAATATCTTTCATACAAATCCATCTTAAATAATTCGCAAATCTGTTAGCAGAAAATTACTAAATTGTTTGAATCGTTTGTAATTCACTTTACTGTATTCACCAAAAAAAAAAAATACAAGATAGCTAATGGAAAGTATTGCACTTATTGAAAAATATTCGTTACAAATGTCTCTAAAGAATAGCAAACAAAGATTCAAAACTGAATAACAAAGCTCAAACACATGACACTGGAGCACATGATAGATACTAATCACAAGAGATGATGCTATAAGGAGAAGGGTTTGGAGGATCATGAACTTGAGCCACACCTTCAAGCATCTGCGTAACATTTCTCATGTTAGGTCTCATTCCTGGTTCTTCTTGTATACACCATATCGCTATCTTCACATATCTCTCCACCGTTTCCATATCGTCAATCGCCTCTAAATCGTCTTCGATAAGATCGTCCAACCTATTTTCTCGGAAACAATCGTATGCCCAATCAATGAGAATAACATTTTCCTTAAGATCGACGGCTTTCTTGCAGCACACGGTTTCCAAAAGCATTACTCCATAGCTATAGACATCTACTTTTGATGTAATGGGACTGTTCCTGAACCACTCGGTTGCGAGATAGCCTTTGGTTCCCCGGATGTTCGTGAGAGTATGCGTTTGGTTCATCATCAGAAGCTTTGCTAGACCAAAATCCGCAATCCGAGGGCTGTCATACTCATCTAGCAGTATGTTCTGCGGTTTTATGTCGCAGTGTATGATTTTCTCGCTGCATTCTTCGTGTAGATACAAGATTCCACGCGCAATCCCAACGGCGATTCTCCTTCTATCTTCCCAGCTCGGTCTCGGACGCCTGAAGAGATAATCTGCCAGTGTCCCGTTTGGTAAGAACTCGTAGACGATCATCCGGCTCTGCCCTTCATTGCAGAACCCAACCAGCTTCACTAGGTTCTTGTGGTGGATCTGACCAATGACTTTAACTTCATTATTGAACTCTTTTTCGTTTTCTTGAGCGAGACGGTCTAGTTTCTTGACAGCCACGACAACTTCAGAATCGCCGCTAACTTTTAAAAAACCTTTGTAAACGATCCCAAAAGCTCCTCTTCCAAGCTCTTCCGTGAAATCTCTTGTAGCCTCCGCGAGCTCTCTGTATGTAAAGACCCTCAGATTCAACTCAAGTGCAGTAGCATTAGCTGTAGCTGTAGCAGCACCTATATCTCTTGCTTGATTCGGTTTCTTCTTACTCTTACTCTTCTTTCTGTACAGAGCAAGGAATATGAAATTCACAAAAGCTGACGCTCCAAGCAGAACCGAACAAGCAATGATTAACCATTCATGGTTTTTTCCTCTCTTTCCGTTAACTGGAACATCCGCGGCTCGTTTTAGAACCTTAACGAGTGTATAGCTATCACCAGTCTTTGATCTGTGACCGTAAGACAAGGGAAATTTCTTCTTCCAACAAACTCTATCCAATCCAAAAACAACCGCAGCACAGAAACAGTCTTTAATACAAGCATCTTTACATTTTTCTTCATCATAGTTTCTGTACCTCTTGTAATCCCCAGAAGGCCAATTCGTCCCCTCTAACGTAACCAACTCGTAAAGATTCACATCTGTGTTTGCAGTTGCGACATCGGTTTGGTTATTCACTGGTCCACAAGTCTGCATCTCAAAATCCGGCAGGCAGTCACCATACACATCACTCGGATCCTGCAACACAAACCTTTCAGGGCATTCACATCTTGGCCTTTGGTTATGTCCTAAAATGCAGATATTATTAAACCCACAAGCCATATTCCCAAGCTCATTAGCATCAAGATTTGGTCCAAAGGTTTTCTCACACATATTCTCCGGGACAGCCCAAGCCAACACCCACCCACTATTATTATCATTCCCTTGCCTCTTGGGATGATAGTACTGAGCGAAAACACCGTCGAAATGTAGAACGGCACGGTGATAGAAGTCTCTAGAAGACACCGGATCTCCCTTATTGAGAACAAATGTTGAGTTGTCGCGCCGAAGAACATACATGTAGCCTGACTGGTTGAAAACTAACTGAATCCCAGGGTTCGGATCCTTGGTGTTACTTGCGTAATACGAAAAGTATGTGTCTGATTGTTCGAGCGTCTCGGAGTTGAGAGTGAAAAGCTGAACATCTCCATCATCACCTAGACGTAGCATGAATCTTCCTTTCTTGAAATTTGTCTCTGTCCTACGAGATGACAGATCCCCTCTAACTTCTATACTCTGCATCCTCATTAACATCGATCCGTAACATAAGTACACAATCAGCCAAATACTTTTGAATGCATAGGTGTGATAGGTCCACCTCATCTCGATATTTATATCCACTAGATTAGGTTTTATTTTTTACTTTTTTTAAAAATGTATGATACTGATTCCTAGTACGTTTATAATTGTTTTCATAAAAACCACACTATATTGCTAAAAAGCCTAAAAGGAAAAACAATTATATGACATGTATAAAGTATAAACAGAGACAAAAACAAAATGCTATCTTGATTGAGGTAGAGGTAATATATGAGATCTCACAAGAAAAGAATTGATTACCTGAGAAGGTAACAGAGTGTCGGTAGGATTTTCGAAGCTGGACCACAGATACTCATCAGGGGAATCTTCTGACGACAAAACGAAGTTGCCGGAGTCAGTCATGCGCCCTCGAGAAACAGAGCCACTACTCAGAGAGAGAGACGAATCCCAGAGCTGGTGACCTCGATGGTCAGTGAGAATCAAACCGCCAGCTGCGGTTAGTGTTACCTTCGAACCATCAGGGACAAGACCCGTGCTTGTGTTGACCTGTGCGTGCCACAAGATGGTTTTGTCGGGAATTTTGTCGAACCATATGGAGAGAGTGAAACCATCGTTTTGTTTGATTTTGCGGAATCCGAAAGCAAAGTCACCGGATGGGGAACGCCATGAACTGGAGAATTGTTGGGACTCTGACGCGGTGAGAGATTCTCTGACAGGAACAGAGCCGTTTACGATGTTTTGAGACAAAACGACAAGTGTTTGTAGTTGCAAAAGAAGAAAAAGATGGATCAACAAAGAAGTGAGAACTCCCATTTTGCTGTAGCAAAGATCTTGGAGATTATGTGTTTATTTTTTTTTTATTTTTTTTTTTAATATAAAAAGGTTTAGTGTTGATTCGTTCGTTACTACTGAACGTAGAAAAAGGGTTAAGAAGACTTATTGAATGATTTTTTCCATCGGAGTCAATGGATCAGATTTTGAAGAGTCAACGGAGTCTTTTCCACCATAGAATTCTGAATATGTGTTTTAAAGTCTTTAAACGTAAAATAGAGCACAAGTTTGGTCGTATGTTTTACTGTGGAATATATAGAGGACAAGAAGTATGGTTATATACTTCATACTTGTATGTTTTTGTCTTGAAGTCAATGGAGCAGATTTTGAAGAGTCAATGGACAATTCTTAGCTTTATTAAGTTTTAAGTTGATCAATGCTACTCTTTCTATTTCTGAAATATGATTCAAAGAAAAATGTTTAAAGAAAAATAATGTTTTCTACTTTCAAACATTTTTTATTAGTTAATAATGATAAATTGTAAGCTTCAAGAAAAAAAAAAGTAATTAAAACTATGCATATTGAGTGCTATAAAAGGGGAGCAAATGTGGGATATAGAGGTATATATAGAACAAAACAAATTGTATGAGGGCAAATGAAAAGAAAAATAAGAAAGAAGATAGGTTTTACATGAAGTAGAGAGTTGGTATTTTTGGTAGCCAAGGATGACTTGCCTCCGCCTAATTATATTCTTCTCAATGGTTCAATCATCAATAAGCATTTCAAAATATGTATCAACATAATCATAAGATTTTGGTTTTGCAACGGAGTATTAACTTACAAAATCATTACGTTCGTGATTCACATTTTCCCTTTACTGTGGTGTATACGAAGAAAACAAGAAAGCTACTTAAATGGTATTGCACTTTTGAAACATGTTTCTCAGGAATAGCAAACAAAGAATCAAACTACATAACCAAAATTAAATACTTAAACTTCTTATTTAAAGAAAAAGCTCTTGAGGGAAAAAAAAACTTACAAGTTCAAACATATCATGACACTGGAGCACATGACAGATACTCATCACAAGAGATGGTGCTATAAGGAGAAGGGTTTGGAGGATCATGAACTTGAGCCACACCTTCAAGCATCTGCGTAACAGTTCTCATGTTAGGTCTCATTTCTAGTTCTTCTTGTATACACCATATCGCTATCTTCACATATCTCTCCACCGTTTCCATATCGTCAATTGCCTCTAAATCGTCTTCGATCAGATCGTCCAACCTCTTTTCTCGGAAACAATCGTATGCCCAGTCAATGAGAATCACATTTTCCTTAAGATCGACGGCTTTCTTGCAGCACACGGTTTCCAAAAGCATTACTCCGTAGCTGTAGACATCTACTTTTGATTTGATGTAATGGGACTGTTCCTGAACCACTCGGTTGCGAGATAACCTTTGGTTCCGCGGATGTTCGTGAGAGTATGCGTTTGGTTCATCATCAGAAGCTTTGCTAAACCAAAATCCGCAATCCGAGGGCTGTAATACTCATCTAGCAGTATGTTCTGCGGTTTTATGTCGCAGTGTATGATTTTCTCGATGCATTCTTCATGTAGATACAAGATTCCACGCGCAATCCCAACGGCGATTCTCCTTCTATCTTCCCAGCTCGGTCTAGGACGCCTGGAGAGATAATCTGCTAGCGTCCCGTTTGGTAAGAACTCGTAGACTATCATCCGGCTCTGCCCTTCGTTGCAGAACCAATTCAGCCTCACCAGGTTCTTGTGGTGAATCTGACCTATCACTTTAACTTCATTCTTGAATTCTTTCTCGTTTTCTTGAGCGAGACGGTCTAGTTTCTTGACAGCTACGACAACTTCAGAATCGCCACCAACTTTTAAAAAACCTTTGTAAACGATCCCGAAAGCTCCTCTTCCCAGCTCTTCCGTGAAATCTTCTGTAGCCTCCGCGAGCTCTCTGTATGTAAAGACCCTCAGATTCAACTCGATTGCAGTACTTGTAGCAGCACCGATACCTCCCGCTTGATCCATTTTCTTCTTTATCTTCTTGCTCTTATTCTTCCTTTTGTACAGAGCAAAGACTACGAAATGCACAAAAGCTGAAGTTCCAAGCAAGACTGAACAAACGATAATTAACCAGTTGAGATTTTCCCCTTTGCTTCCGGTGACTGAACATCTGCGGCGCTTGTTAAAACCTTAAGGAGTGTATAGCTATTACGTGTATCGTCGATATTACCAATCGCCGCTCTCTGGCCAAAAGACAATGGAAACTTCTTCTTCCAACACACTCCATCCAATCCAAAAACAACCGCAGCACAGAAACAGTCGTTAAGACAAGCTTTTTTACACCTTTCTTCATCATAGTTCTCGTACTTCTCGTAGTCCCCAGACGGAAAATTCGTGCGGTCTAGAGGGATAAGCTCGTAAAGATTAACATCCGCGTTTGCGTTTGCGTTTGCGGTTTTGTTTTTCTCCGGTCCACAAGTCTGCATCTGGAAATCCGGTACGCAGTCACCGTACGCGTCCTCAGGATCCATCAACGAGAACCTCTCGGGACATTGACATTTCGGCCTCTGATCATCTCCCAAACTGCATATATTGTTGTACCCACAAGCCATATTCCCGAGAGAGGAGCTCCGCTGACATATATTCTCCGGCAGAGCCCAAGACAAGAGCCACCCGGTACCGTTACTCCCCTGCCTTTTGGGATGATAGTACTGCGACAACACCCCGTCGAACAGTAGAACGACACGTTGATAGTAATCTCTAGAAGATACCGGATCTTTCGTGTTGACAAGGAATCTCGTCGAGTTGTATGTTTGAAGAACATACATGTAGCCTGACTCGTTGAAAACTAAGCGCGTCCCTGGGTTTGGATCCTTGGTATCACTTTCGTAGTAGTTGAAGTTTGCATCTGTATTGGAGTTGAGAACGGCAAGCTGAAGATTTCCGTCATCACCTAGACGTAGCCGGAATCTTCCTTTTGTAAAGTTTGCCTCCGTCCGGCGAGATGCGAGACTCCCTCCGACTTGAATACTCTGCATCATCATTCATCAACATCAAACAACATCCATCCGTCACTTTACTTACTGTTAAACTGAACTGAATGTTTATTATTCTCATTAATTGTAGAGTAATCTCATACTATAAATATTCATGTTTCAGCTAGAGGAGACTTAACCAGAATACTAAACCAACTATATAACCGGTCTGTACACTTTAATCTTATTTTAAAAAACCGCACTTAATTACAAAGTTATTACAATAACGAATTAATATGTTAACAATATACCTGAGTAGGTAATAGAGTGTCGGTTGGATTAGCAAAGCTCGTCCACAAATCCACGCCGGAATCTTCGCTGGACAAAATGAAGTTGCCGGCGTCAGTCATGCGCCCTCGATAAACAGAGCCACTACTCGGAGAGAGAGACGAATTCCAGAGCTGTAGACCTTGGTGGTCAACGAGAACCAAACCGCCACCTGCGGTTAGTGTAACCTTGGAACCAGCAGGGACAAGACCCGTGCTTGTGTTGACCTGTGCGTGCCACACGATGGTTTTGTCGGAAATCTTGTCGAACCATATGGAGAGAGTGAAACCATCGTTTTGTTGGATTTTGCGAAACCCGAAAGCAAAGTCACCGGATGGGGAACGCCATGAACTGGAGAATTGTTGGGACTCTGAAGCGGTGAGAGATTCTCCGACAGGAACAGATCCGTTTACGATGTTCTGAGACAAAACGAAAAGTGTTTGTAGCTGGAGAATAAGAAAAAGATGGATTATCGAAGAAGAGAGAACTCCCATTTTTTTGTAGCAAAGATCTACAAATTATGTGTGTCTAATTTATATATGTATATACATAATTATAAATCTGATTTGTTCGTTACTACTGAACGTACAAAAAGGGTTAAGACTTAAGAAGACTTATTGAATGCTCTTTCGTTCTGAGTCAGTGGAGCAGATTTTGAAGAGTCAATGGAGTCTTTTCCTCCATAGAATTATGATTATGCGTTCTAAAGTCTTTTAACGTGTGTAATAAACAGAGTACAAGTATGGTTATATGCTCTCTATGATTCGATGGAGCAGATTTTGAATATTCAATGTACAGCTGAGTTCTGATGTAGTTTCTTTTTCCATTCAAATAAAGTTCAAACATTATCTGTCCAAAGCTTTTTGGTTGAATAAATTAACATTCATTAAAAAAAATGAATATTCAATGAACAATGATTTTTTTTTTAAACTTTACGTCATAATAAATTTACTATATAAATAGATTCAAAAGGACAATGACTTTGAAAAAAATAAGAAAAAATTGTCATTGTAGAATTGTTTTTAACCATTGACTTCTTTTTTTTATTAAGATCATGCTACAGTTTTTTCTTAAGACATTGATCTCTCTGATTCTTAATTAGAACTGTCACAGAAAGACACATATCAAGAATTAGTTCTTACTGTTCATTTGATACGATTAGATAGTAACATATACTAGTTAAATAAGATCACAAGTTGATGTTAAGAAAAATACAATTTATAACCCATAGTTGTCTATTTATGTAACTAAAATGTGGTTGCTTTATATTTATATTTATTTGTACAAACCTTTTCCTTTTTTTTTTTCAAAAATCATAATAGTTATTTGTTCCATGCGGTACCTTGCCGTGCCAACTTTAGAGTGCAACATAATGAGCAGATTTACAACAAGAGTAAAATTGAGCAAATTTATAAATCAATCTTTTATAAACCTAGAGAGCGCATTTACAAATAATAGAATACTAATATATTGTTTTCACACATTTATGCCACTGTAAAAGGAAAAAAAAGTATCAATACATCATTCATCAGAAATCATCGCAAAGATACGAATCTAGTGATGAATCTATCGTACGTACGTCTTTACTTTGGAGTTCCATCATAACATATAAATTATGACTAGCCAAAATATATATATCAGTAATTAAGTATTAATAATGAGTATAAGTCACCATAAAAAAAAAGAAGCTGATATATGTTATGAAAATATTAAACATTAATTATATTATCATATATATAGCGATCTACTCATTCGTAGTAGGACGTAACATCCAAGCTGGAAGAAGAGAGTTTGGTTCCGTCAACGACGATGCACTGCCGTTCTCTCCCCCAACTCTCCCCACAAAGCCATCTCTGCCCGTTTAGTCAATAATCAATCGATCAGAATCAGTTCATAGATATGTATATATACTAATACAAAGTTAATAAATCTCCAATTAATAAAATAAAATAGAGACGAGACCTGGAGGAGGTTACGCAGTATTGGGGCTGAAGAAGTGTAGAAGAGTTGGAGCACTGGACTAGTTGTCCTTCTTGCTGATCCGTTTTCTTCTCCCTCTCCTTAATCTATCATATCATCATTTCGTCATTATTAATACTAATCCTAGCAAATCTACAGATGCACGAATTGTATGTTTGATTTTAATATTTACTATGTATAATTATAATATTTATGATACTATTTTATACAGATACAAAAAGCATAATCACATTGAATTTAACAAACAAAATGATATATATATCCCAAACAATAACAATAAATAATTAGACGTCTTTGTTAAGGTAGGTCAAACAAATCAGGTCAATTAATTGTTTAGGTATAATATATTTTTACAACTAATCCGCATAGAAAGTTAAATCCGATCAGCCTATTAACAGTTAACACCTAGTGATGTTTCCAACGTTATTAGAAACACTTTAAAAAAACATTTCTTATGCTGAAAGTACACTAACCATTTATACAAACTTCTTCTACATCTATTGAAAAGTCCATAATAAATTTTAAAAATGTCTATTTTACAAGCATTACTCATATACTCCATTTATGTATCAATATCATTTTCTTGCTATTATAATTTCTTTTCTCAACATTTGTAGAGACTTATGTGTATGTAGTAATTTAAATTAAATAAAAATACATACATTTTCATATCCTTCTGGTATATACAGTTAGAAAATATTGTTGAAGATAATATTTTAATTACAAAATTTGGTAAGACATACTTATGTAAATTATTTATTCGCAACTTTCAATCCCATTCCAATGCATATAAAACCATTTAACTAATAATTGAGTTGTACTAATTACCTTTTTGAGAAGCGTATTATTGTGATCTTGCAAGGCCTTATCCTGATGCATTTAAATAAAACAAGGTGGTAAAGTTACATATAAGGGAAAAAAAAAAGAATTGTTTTTCTAGTGTGATTAGTTGCGACACGTTACCTTCTTCTGAAGCGCAGATATGGATTCGAACATAGCTTGGTTCTGCAAATATTAGGCGTACATTAAATAACACCATCGCGAATTTGAACTCTAATTCATTGCCAATCTCTAGTTTTCAATCCAATAGCTTACAAGTCACACACATATGTAGAAGAATGCATATCAACGTTCTCATATTACCTTTCTTGACCTAATGCTCTTGATAGCAGCATCGAGCTGATGCTCCAAGCTTTGAAGCTCCTTTAAACTCAATGAGTCAAGATCTTCCCCCATAAAATTCCTGCACATTTTCACTTTAGTAACTATTGATTATCTAGGCATTGTGCTTTTTATGTTACTTCGCTACCCATGTGTTAGTGGTATCACGCCTAAGTTGTAAGATCAAAGTTCCTTACAGGAAATGAGCTTTGTGACAACCCAAGATAACGTATATAGTATTAATAGGAGATCTCGAAGATTACGAGATTGACTTGAAACAAGATAGTATTAGTTATCATAAGTTATGTTAACAACAAAGTCCATGAATCAGATGATGCATCCCCTCATAAGTTTTGTTGTATATGAATTCAGCCCAAATTCTAGTTGAGTTGGGATAATTCTTGTATAAATATGTTTTAATTGCGATTGAGTAAGTACACGGATTGCAAAGCAATATTAATTTGACATTATACACTAGAAGATACATAATATATAGTAATACCAATGTATATGTATATACCTTTTGTTCTTCTCAAGTACCTCAACTCTTGCCTTGAGCTTAGCATGTTCTAGAACCCAATTTTCCTACAGCATTGGTACACGATAGACACTTGTTACTACAACAAAGATACATAATTGAGTAAGACTCATGAACATAAAACAGCTACAAGAAAAAACCAAATCGTATAACTTACACTCTGCGAAATTTCTCGGCCAACAAGTTGTTTGTCTGAGTATAAATAGCGATCATAGCGTTCAAGTATCCTTTCCATGCTAGATTGCAGAAGAAAATAATCAAAATGTATTTAATAAATTAAAATATCACACGTTCGAGTCTGTAACATTTGTTCCAAAATGTTACCTTGTTTGGTATTACCGACAACGAATAGCTAAAAACAAGCACATAACACATAAATGTATATAAAACCTGGTTTTGGTCAGTGCACAACACATCATAAGAAACATACGTACAATTTCAATGTAAAGATTCGAGTTTCCCTCCTGACTCGGTTATCTAAGCAAACGGTATGATGATTATACATATATAGATATATGATCGTACAAACAAACATATATACACACACAAAACGCATTTATATCAGTACGACCTTACATATATGTTGAACGTTATCTTATTGTCCATTGGATTATAGCAAAATCCTTGTAAAAGCTTACTTTCATCGTTTCAAATCAATCTTTCTTTCCAATATATGTTATAATTAATTAAGTCTTGTACATGTTTATATACATACATAAGCGTACGTGTCTGTGTGTGCACGTGCTTCCATACATCAAAAGAGGCAATCAAATCGTGAGTCTGTGTACTAAGTATCATAATTTTATGCTATTTTCATTTGGTAAAGCAAGGGAAAATTAACATAAACAGCTTTTTCATGCGTCCGTACGTAAAATCCCAAAATAAAACCCTAATTTCCCGAGCCTCTTCTTAGGGAACAAACAAATCTACAGCATCAACACAACACACAAGGACAGGATTTGGATTTCTTTTCAAGGCTGACGACGATCGAGATCGACACGTAAGAATAAAAAACAAAATCTAATTAAAAATTAAGAAAACAGATGGAAGTGATCGATGTGAATATATATTATAATATATATATGGTTTATGAATGAAACTAGAGGATAATAGTTACCAAGAGTCGGTGGAATATTCGAAGAGTTTGCCTTTGGAAGAGAAGACGATAAGAGCAACCTCAGCATCGCAGAGAACAGAGATCTCATGAGCTTTCTTGAGCAAACCAGACCTTCTCTTTGAGAAAGTAACTTGCCTATTGATCTTGTTCTCTATCCTCTTCAGTTGAACCCTACCCCTTCCCATATCTCTCTCTTCTCTCTCTCCCCAAAACTTCAAGAACAAGAGAGAGAAACGGTGACCCTTAAATGACCAAAGTATCTATCTCTCTTTCTTTCTTATGTCTCTCTGGGTATCTTTTGTGTTGAATGTGATAATATTTAGTTATTTTTTATTTTTATTTTTTGTGGACTTTTGTTGGGTTTCGCGTGAGTCTACAGTGACGTAAGCGTGTGAACAGTGACGTAAGTCATGTGGTATAAATACGGTATGCTGCTGATTGTGAATACATAGACGATGATATATGTGGAAACAGAGAGAAAAGGCCACAGAGAGAGTGGAAGAGACCAGAGTGGGGATAAAAGTTAAGGGCTGTTTGGGAAATAAACCATCTGATGTGTTGTCTACTTCTCATTGGCTCTTTTCTTCTGTAATAATAAATCGTTCGTTAGTTTTGTGCCCTCCCCTTTGGCCTACGTTGTTTCCGTACCGTACGGAATTTCCTTCCTATTGCTTTTAAGGTTAAGAAATGTGATCAATAACTCAAATCTAAATGGGTATCAAAGGGAAAAAAGAAAAAATACCCCTAACTACCTGATATTATTATCTTCTACAATAAAACTGTATATATTTAGATATATGATCAATTGTCTTAAATGCAAAATGTGTTTTTATCAAATATCTTGTGCAGATTGTATACGCAAACATGGGAAACATTGTACAATTTCAAATACATGTTAAGATAAAAATCATATATTATATGTTTTTAAAATAAAAACAAGATATTATATATGTTAGATCTTAAACACAAGACCAAAATCTGCATTACAAAATGTAACTTTACTTTTGTCCATTAAAGGCAAATCGTCACTACGACAAAAATCGACTCTACTTTAATAATTTGTTTTATTCCTCTCATAATAATTAGGAAATTTTAGTATATTGGTTTATCTTTTTGTTGAATATCGATTTTCTCTTTCGTAAAAAAATGATGAGATTACAACTTAAACCAACAAAACCAAAACATACAGTATAAAATACATCAGCTCGCGTTGTTTTGGACCAATAAATATGTATGCATATATGATATATATCAGTTCAACTGATATGTTTACAATTTCTCTTTCTCTCTTTTGACCGAAAAAAGTGGCCTATATATGGGAAGAGAATCTCAAACGTATGATACTCTCAATGTAGGAAAAGTCTTCACCCTATTTACCATTTTCTTGTACTCCTTTATATAATTAGGTCTAAAATCAATATTTAGACCCTTTATGTATATGGGATAGAAAACTGTAAAGATCTTTGATGAATACAGTACATCTGTACATGTTAATGTATATATGGTAGTATTGTAGTCAGCGTAAGAAAATCTCTTAAGAAAATTTATGTATTTTTACTAAAACTTAACAACTCGTTCCAATTCCAGTAGGATTAACATTATGGAGTACAATACAACACTAAAAGCTGTTTTATCGCTAAATGATGTCATTGAAGGTTCAACTTTTTATGTGGTTATTAAACAGGGAACGTGTGCCGATAAGAAGTTAACAAACAAACATTCATGTCGGTCCCATGACTAATATATCTCTGACCTCTGTGTGATATATATATGGACACAACATAATTTGATCTGAAAAGTGAAACTTATTTTAAGATTTGATGACTGATACACGAACATGAACAAGTTTTTGTATCAAATTATGAGAGAATTGATAAATGACCTAATGAGTACCACCGCAACTAATTATTATTTACATTACTTTCATATGTACAATTTTTTGCTCGTTTTATTGTTCGCCCTCTTTATTATTCGATCAGAAACAATTAAATTTCTGTCAAGCGCCTTTAAAGAAAAAGTAACAAAAATCTGCGAAACAATGCATTCTTGTGATTTCTAATGTCAAGTTGTCCCAATGGGTACGCCTTGCGAAAGAGATTTATTGTACTTCCAAAATGTTGAACTTTGATCAATTGTAGTATGCAATCCTAAAACTATTTATTTTTCTTTCTTTTTTTTGGTCTAAAACATCTAAAGTTTTTTTTTTCGGTGCAACTAAAACATCTAAAGTTGTACTACTGTTAGTTATAACTAATCAACTCTAGCACCAGCCCTTGAATTATTTGAACCACAGAGGCACATATGAAGAACATTTAATAATTTAATGTGAGTTTCAGCAAAGTTGACCGTGCAAATCCGTCTTACGAATAGAAAGTTGATTATCGCATTACACCAAATTAAGAGAAAGCAAATTTCCAAAAAGAAACATAATATTGTTTTACCGAACTTTTTATTGTTGGGCATTGAGTTTCATTAAAACCTACATTGTCTCGTCTGATATGCTTACAATCTGATAACCGGAATACATGTTTTTGATATTGACAGCAAAAAAATGATAATTTATCAGAAAAAAAGGTCAACACATCTTATCTTATAAACCAAAAATCATACTAAAACTTAATATAGTTTACAAACGAACATACAGTGCAAACTGTATTAAAATATCAAGAAAGAATAAAATCCTATAGCTATTGCCTATAGACATTAGGGTACTGTTTGGTAAGCAATATTTTTGCATAGAAAATACTCCCCAAAATCAGATGTATGTAAAGGTATGATAGACTATATAGTATATACCAAAATTGGACCACAATAACAAAAAGAAATGGACCACATTTGGGTGTTGATGAGCCCTAAACATCTAAATGGGTGGATAGTACCTAAACGTATTTAATTTCTCTGAATCGTTATTAACATAAATTTGGTTCTCTCCTTAGTACGATACATGTTTGCCCTCTTAGATCAAAACTTTGGATCTTTTTCTCTTATCATACCTTATGTTAAGTCCACATCGCAAGACCGCATGTATAATATCGCACGTTGTCTTGTCAAACTTATATACCAATATATAGTGGACATAAACCCCGTAATTTCCAATATTAATATTTACATCGAATCATCGTTTTGTGAAATTTGAAATTTTAGACATCGATCGCTAAAAGCTTTTAATTCACGAACATTACATATGTCAACTTAGGACCATTTAAACATCACGCCTTGTCTTCTTTTTTTGTGTGACCACACTCGTACATGATATATAGTACGCATATGGTATAGTGAAAAGAAAAATTATACGCCAATATATCGACACATGAGAACATTGAGAAGTTTATTTCATCAAAATGTGAGGTAATGATTTACCCAAGTTTGTGAGGTACTTATAATTTACCTAAAAATTATCAAAACTTCTGTAATACATAATTGTTGAAATAATGTTAATAGAGAATGTGACAATATTTTATTAGCGAAAGTATATATTAAATATTCTATTGAAAATCAAAACTTATCAAATTCTTTTAGCTAGTTTGGTAGGAAATGCTAGACCTTAGAACTAGAATCTTTTTTGTTTTGGAATTAACTGTTGATATATTAAAATGTAAATCATCCATTTTAGCAGAGAGTCGAACTCGTGAACAAAAACTCAACCTTTTGTTCGGTGTTAATCAAAATCTTACTATGATAAAAGATGCTACCTAATGAATTTATAGATAAGTTTCGAGAAAATAAAAACAGGCGGGAGTAGTACTGTAGTAGTAAGTCAACACCGAAGATAAACAATTGTTTTCTAAATTTGACAAAAGGGAACAGCTTTCCTTTTTCGAAGTTAATTTTAGGTGAATCAAAACTTGACACGTAAGTCGGGTTTTAAATCATTCGACAGGGGTGATTACGAATAATCCCACAGTGTGACACATGCCACGTCAACTCTTATGAAAGGAAAACGACAAAAGTACTTTTATTAAAACCAAAGTAGTTTATTGTCCTCGACTCCTGTGTGCAGAAATAAAATAAGATAAAGTCATCTATGATCATACTGTATTCCACAAATGTGGACGACTTTGAGTACGCATCTCAGTGAAAGCAGTAGGAAATTGAATAGAATCACTTTCTTCTTTGCAGTTTTCTCGTCTGTTAAGTTAGAGTTTTTGTTTATGTTTCAATTTGAAAACTGAGACAAATTTTTCTTTATTTTATTTTGGAATATCATGGAGTGAAATTGGCGTTATTATAAAGTTTAACGTTATTCTAAACTTCAATATAAAGTAACAGATCATCAGTGTAGTTATGACGTACATTAAAACGGAATAATATCTGTGTATTAAAAAACAATCAATCAATACACATGGTAAATTTCAACGTAATCAAAGATGAAAAAGAAAAAGGTTTTTGTGATTAAGAATAACATTGACATTAGGGTTTGGCCCTTGTCATTTCTGATCTCCTTTTTTCGGAAAAATAAAAACGAAGAATCCCATTTTCCCGTTATGTTAAAATAGGCACCTCTATGACTATTTGAATTATATAAAGGGAATTGATAATAAACACGATAATGCAAAGAAGGAATTTTAATAAGGATCTAACTTTACATACTTTAATATGTCTTGCTTTGTTTGCTTTTATGGAAGGCTTGTGTAATATTAGGGTTTAGATGCAAATATGGAATCGACAGCGCACACAAACTTTTCTAAAGCAACTTCTCACTTTGTCTCATTTTGGATGAGATTCTCTGCCACACAACTAATCAAAGCCCCCATTTTTATGAGTCCATTATCTCTTCCTATTTTTTCTTTAATGACACTCATACCCAACAGATTCCCAATCCAATAATTATACTATTCGAAAGTAACAGCTAAGATATTATTTTGTCCTTTTCCCAATTTTTTTTCAAAAATGTAATTGTATTTATTTCAAGATGGAATTGGAAGCTATAGAGGACTAACTGGTTTTCTACTAATTTCAAAGCTGACTCTGTTTTAATCACAAAACTTGGTTACACAATATATCTCTTGTTTCAAAGACGGTCCCTTTATATAACCTTTGACAACGCTTTGTGCCCAATCCACACAGATTTTTCAGCCGTAATTGACAAAACTGAGTGTTACCCTATGGAGGAAAATGGGCCTAGTAGAAACCCATCAACTACTTTCTGTGATCACATCACTAATCAGATGTCCTCCAAAGGATCTTTCACGCCCATACAGTACAATTTTTAAAGAACATACCATCTGACATTTACCATCTTCTGTTTTTTCTCTCTCGAACTTGTACAAGGACAGAAACCACAAGGGAAGAAAAAAAAAACAACAACGAAGTTAAAAACTATATATATGGAAGAAAAAAAACGTATCAAAAGTTTACAATGGAGACAAAAGAATTATAAATAACGTTTATACCACTCCACCGTACAATCAAACCAGCCACACCGCCTAAACCCTAACCATATCGGATAAAGGATCGTCGTCAATGGCAAAACCGTAAATCCGAGCTTACATGACGGAGAAGAAGAAGAAGACAATAACTGGGAGTAACACTGCGGCGAAGACTGAGAATTCTGACCGGAAACCACCGTTTGGAAGAAAAGGGTAAGTGTCAGGAGGAGGCATGACGCAATTGTCTCCATTAAAGTAGATTCGGCGTGGAAAAGCCCATCCTTTCTCGAATGTGAAGGTTGATTGATCTTTACGGAACAAAATCTCCGACTGCACATTCCCTAGAGGCCCTGCTTCTGATAGGAAATCGTTGTAGAACTTCACTCCCCACAACATCGCCGTGTCGTCTGCAAAAACCAAAACCAAAAGTTTTAATCTTTGAGGTAAACAGAGAATGAGAGAAAAGAGAAAGAGAGAGTCTTTGAGTCTGTGTGCTTACTTAATCCGGCGTAAGGAGTGAGAGATTTGTAATTGAAACTGAAGATCTGAGTGATGTTGTCGAGATTTGGATGCTGAGCGACCATGTTCCACTGTGAGTAGTTTAACCGATAGTTGAAGTTTGTGATTGTGATCTTCACTCGCCAATACTCTTTGTAGTTCTGCTTCACGTGCCAATGCACTCGTATCGGGCACATGTGCCTCGTGCACTGCACCAACGGCGGCAAAATCGTTCCTTTCTTCGTCGGTGGCGACACCACAGATGCCAAATGCGGTGTATCCGGGCTGCAATTAACAAAAAAGTATAAGACTTTATGATTGGAAACTGAACCGGAAGCAGCAAAGTTTGGGACTTTGTGATTGGAAATTGAATTAGAAGAAGCAAAGTTTGAGACTTTATGATTGAATATGAACAGAATTAGATTTGAACACTCACTCGAGACAGGCACCGGCTTCTGTTTTGTTGTTTTGGCATCCGCAAGCACAAGTTGGACACCCGACGATGGTTTCATTGTAAAAAGAAGATAAAGAAACGCAGCAAGTCGGAGTTCTCTGAGCAAGGAACTGTGAGTATGTGCACGTAATGTTCCATGTCACTGAAAAACAGAACAGTCTCTTAGATTACAAACAGCGATAACATTTCCGTTCTAAGAGAAGTTCAAATGGTTACTTACTCATAGCTTGAGTGGTTCTGCGAGTGTCAGAAGTGACAAACTTGGTTGGTTTCACAACCTTAGCTGGACCACAAGTGTATCCTGGACCAGGGCCCAAGAGAGTGAAGTTTCTCGGCACACGAACGGTTTTGTTGGTGGTTCCAGCTGCGCCGACACTGATCTGGAAAGAGCTAGCTGCATTGCCAGGGTCTTGAACCCATGAGTTCATGACACCGCCTTTGCAGCAATTAGCAATCTGCTGGTTATAAGGAGTTCCAGGGAGCAAATCTACAACCGTTGGATCTTTCTTGCAACAATGCGGTATGTTTCCTTTGTACTTTGAACAATCACCTGTTTAACAACATTAACACTTTTAGTCACAAATCATTTCCTGGTTATTTTGCAATCAAATTGTAACATTTAGTTACCTTGTTCGGTTGTTTGTGCTCCGACCATGCTCCATATAACTTCCTTCTTAGCCCATTTCCAGCCTAATGTCCATCCTGGAGACTGAATGTGTCTGTATTTCTGGAAGTTGAACATTGTAACCACGGCCTACAACATTGAACAAGTGAACAATTTAGCAAAATTGTTTTTTTTTTTTACATTTAGATGAATCGAAATCGGTAAATAAGGGCAATTTTTGGATTTTGTTATGGTTCTTGAACTTACAACGTAGCCATCAGGGGTCCAGTTCATGACATCCCATTTCATAGTAATGTTGCCTTCTGGATCAAGCGCATCATATGCTTCTGCAAAGGGATTTTAAATGTAAAAAAAGTCAGAATTTTGGTTTTGCTGATCCAGCTTTGCTCATCCACATTGCATAACTAACAAAAGTATTGTAGAAAATTGAAGTGTTAAACTTTTCAGAAAGTTTCTATTTTTGGATCAGAAAACTTGAAGCTTTGGATTTTGTTTCCTGATATAATATAAGTAGAATCGAAGTGTTTTATTAAGATCTGCACTTTGCAAAACGAATTACTGTTTCACTAATCAAACAAAGATCTAGAATTGATTAAAGAAGACAGTTATGTAACAGAGAAACAAAAAAACAGATCATGAATTGCCATGCAAGATTTCATATGATCTTAATCCAGTTTAAGAGTAGAGGATTTATCAGATCTCTCTATCAATTCCAACTTAAAAATCAATCACAATTGAAGATACCCAGCTGCCAAAAAACACAGTCTCAAATAAAAAATTTGGAACAATTTCACGATCGTAAACCTTGAAAACTGAAAAACCCAATCAAGAAGCAAGTTGAGAAGTTGTGAAAAGCTTTGAGATGAAGAAAGAGAACGAAGAAGCAGAAATACGTGATAAAGAGCATGAAGAAGTAACCTGTCGAAGTAAAAGAAGAGGAAGAAATGAAGAAGACGATCACAACGGCCAAGAAACTCAATTTGGCAGCTACGGAGCTGGATCTGGAGAGGAAAGACTCCATTTTTGCTTTTTTTTTCTTCTGATGATTAGACCAGAAGCAGAGACGAAGATTGTTCCAGATCCCTTTAGATGGGACTGGTTGAATCTAAAACCCAATCAATGGCAGAGGAAGAAGAAGCAGAAAATGCTTTGCTTGAAGGAGGAGTGGACTTATAGAGAGAGAGGCAGAGAGCAGCAAGTTTTTGCAGCTTTGCGAATGCGAAGGAGAAGCAACGACAAAATTTGGGATCTGGCTTCTCTGGCTAGTGGCTGTGTTTAGTAAATCTTGAGCCGGAAAATACTGATTTGACCCTTTTACCCTTCTGTCACTTGGAGTGAGTAGTGAGTTAAGATTGATTTCCAATTAAAGAAAACTAAAGCCTCTTGCTAAAAGTGTTTATTTACTCTATAAATAGGAAAATTATAAGTAAGAATCAATGAAGCTACGTTTAATTTCTTGAATTATCTGTTCAATAATCTTAACATAAAAAGTTAATCTGTAGATGTTTGTTTAAAATTTTTATATTATAAATGAGAAAGGGGCTTTTCTGTAATTTCAATGAAAGTTAGTTTAATAACCAGAAGATGTTACCGCCGACGACAGCTTTAAGAGGGAACGTGGGCCATTGACCGTGTTTTGGGCTGTCGGTGGAGAGAAATATCAAAATGTTATGTGGACAGATTCTCGATTTTTATTCCTTTTTTTTTTGGCTTTCGTAGTTTTACTTGTGATTTTTTTGCATGGCGATATTAAATTTTGTATTATTTAGGGGTAATATCATTTTTTGATATCGTCTTACCAACCGGATAGCAATTTACAAATCAAGTGATTATAGTCCAACTAATTATTATTGGGTTTTGTGACCGATTGTCACTAATTCACTGGAATACAACATTCCATTATATATTGTATATCGTCTAGTAAAAGCTATTGGACTAGTAAAAGCTATTGGACTACAAAACCAAAAAGTGCAAAACTATAGTTCGAAATTTTAGTCCTTCGATGTATTAAATATAGAGGGGTTAGTATACAATCGTTGTCAACATGTGAAAACGATAAGACTACCACTCCAAATTATTTAAGTCGTATGGTACGTACATCGCTACCAACTTGAAAGAATAGGTCTTTAATTACTACATTTTGGCTTATTTCCTCGTTAATTTATTTGTTTATTGAATGACACGTTATTACGCACAAAAGTAAAAGTTCCTACAATTGCCGACACTATCAAGTACTAATCATTTTACTCCCAACTACATGTTTATAGATGAGCAAAAATATCTGGTATAACGATAAATAGACAAAACCGACTTGTGCTATTAATGTTGAACCTAATCAACCATTCAGATGAGAAAAAAATTATATTTTGATTTGTGTTAGTGATATGGTTATACCATCATCCAAATTCAAACTCTGTAAGGGTTGTTAGGGGAAAAAATGAACCAGTCGGTTAAAAAGCTTCAGAATGATGACATTCATTTCGGTTTATACTCAATTTTACGGTTCCACAACGCTAAACCAAACTTGAAAATTATGAAATTCAAGTTCTAGGATTTTGGGAAGTTACTCTGAGAGAGGGACTCACAACAGAATCTGAATTCACAACCCTAAGATTAATGTGTGTGTTTTTTATGTTCTCTCATCACAAACAAAAGACAAAACAAACCCTTGTTTCCTTGCTCCTCAAGCAACATATCTGTTTCCTCCTGGTTAGATCCGACGAGTGTGGTTCTCCTTTTCATCTGAAGTTCTACTTCCACTTGCCCTACCCGAATTGTTCTGCACAAATCCGCCATTACCGACTGATTCACCGCCGTTTTGATCAGCGTTTCTCTCTCTCAGCAAGTTGCTGCCATTAGAAGACGCTGACCTCATCGCCCTCGGCAGCTTCAGTTTGATGCCATTTGCCTCTCCCGAGTCGCTGTTTTCTGGCTTTCTCGCTGCTTCCAAGTCCATATTCACCGCATTAGCTTCTTCCTGAGATGAAACTTGTGGCGTTGGTTGTGGCGGTGGTGGACCTACTACAGGAACAAGCTGAAGCACTGTCTTCTTCCATTTCTTTCTTTGGCTTGGCCTTGGGACATTCGATTTACCCTGAAACCAATTTGATCAAATAAGAATGCTGCTGTTTCCTACATACATAAACATATATTAGAAAAAATCAATTCACTGGAAGCTCTAGAGTTCTTACCGTTGTGTTTCCTATGTCTGATAGAGGTTTTCTTCTCCTTTTGGTTCCGTCTTCATCGTTAGTCTCCTCCACTGGTTTGTTAGCAAGAGCGTTTTTTAGCAGCATAGCTCCACGTGAAGCAAGGACTTGTTGTTGGTCTTTGCTCTTTTCATCAGATTCTTGCGAGTTCTCACTCTGCTCCAACGCCTCTAGTTCCGAGATGGAATTGTTCTGCTTTCCGTCTGCATTTCTGTTGGAGCATTTGACTGCAGAACACCCGCATGATGGACCACAAGATCCCTTCGTAGATCGACACTGACACTTCATTGTCTTGCAAGAAGAGCTCCTACTGCAAGTGCAACACACATCAGATGATAATGTGGACTTCACTGCATCATCTGATGGAGCTTCCGAGCTCTCTTCATATGAACGCCTCATCACCACACTAGAGCGCCGTCTCCCAACTTTAAAGTTCCGTTTCCTGTTCAGCTTAATAGCCGATTCCTGTTCCGAATCACGCTCTGATTCTTGTTCAGGTTTCCATTCATCATCACAGTCTGGATCTTCCCGTTCATGCTCCGACTCTTCAGAATCAGAGGTATCCATGTCCTCAAGAACTATAACCGAGTTCCGGGCTTCCTGCTTTTTCAATCCATTCTCGTTGTTTAGGTTCTCCTCTGCAGACCATTTCTTCACTTGAGAGGCCTGTAAAATGGAATGATAGGATGAACTTCAGCTAAAAGGATAAGACATTAGCTATCGAATCAAGCAAGAGTAGTAGAAGCTATTTTACTAACCTGTGCCTTCATCTGATGGGTGAGATCTGCTTTTTGTATCTCCAAGTATCTAACGTAACTGCTAAACTTCACTATTTTTTCTTTCAGGTCTCTTATAAGGACATCCTTTTCTCTGCAATCCGCCTCTTTGTCTCGGGCTAGACACCTTTAAAATCAAACAACGGACAGAAAGTAGAATATAGAATGAGTCATATTCGGAAGATGATGGTTAAAGAAGCAACATATTAGCAAAAAGCTTCAGTCAGTAAGTGAGATTTTACCTCGCAGTTGATGCCAAGTTGAACAGATAATTCATGATGCTCTTTGCGTCACCTAGTGTTCGAACTTGGTTCCATCTTCCTCTTCCACCAAACACACGCTCACGTTCCTCTGCTTCAGATAACTGTGATGCCATGGAAACGAGAGTGCTTGAAGAGGTCGCAAGCATATTCTCCAGAGCAAAAATCCTCGAGTTTCTTGCACCCGGAGACATGGTGTCACCATGAACACTGCTTTGGTCAGAGAAGACAAACTGTTAACTATGCTTGCTTATGAACTGGTACTGGTTTATGCAAAGTATTTGTCTTGTCCAGATCATTCACCTTATATTGGCATTTTTGAGCACCTCGTTTTCTTCCCTAAGCCTAGCAACTTCCTTAGCCATTCTTGCTCTCCTGAATTTATAGACAGTAAGGGTTATTTGAGAGAGTGTAGTTGTAGATTCATTGTTATAAAATTCACATAACATTTCTTGTCAGGGCATGTAGAATCTATATGAAACAAACATGAAGAAAAGACATACTCTTCCATTTGCCTCTCGTATTCAGAACGCACTTCGTGAACACGAACAGTGACTTCAATCTCATGCTCAATGGCTTGCATCAATGCCTGTAAAGAAATAATTTTTATGTTAAGAAAGAAAGTTGGATTTACAAACCAACCACCGCAATCACCAAACTCTCCAAATCTAGTTAGTAACTGGAAAAAAAAGCATCGGTTTCATAGATATTGGTGGGTGTTACCTGAGTTCCAGGACCATTTACACTTGCCCCACCTGCATATTTGATAGGATACCCAGTAAGTGATGTAGTCCACATACAAAAAAAGGGTGATCATACTAAATCATGTTATATGTTATACAAAAATCCTCACTCAATGTCTCGCGTGAAGACGCCTTTCGAGTTTCTAAAAGGTCTTTTAGTCTTCTCGTCACCTGAGATGCCTCTTCTGTCTTTCTTTGCAAAACCTGTTAAATCCACATAATTTTGAGCAGCCATGGTAATAGGAAAGATTGATACCATTGGCCTGGAAGTTTAAAAAATGTGCTCACCAGCTTCTGTTTTTGATTCAAAGCCATGAGTTTGTGCATCTCATACTCATTTCTCCTTCCCTCCTTTTTGAGCTGGTCAAAATTAAAATACAATATACTAAGTACACCTGAAAATTCTAAATAACTAAGTCAATATGTCTTTCGAACTGCTTCGAGACCTTCTACTAGCACTGGTCGTATTTGAATAGGGATGATTAATGTTTGAGAACATGACACTTGTTTAACTTATTCACTAGTAGCGCAAGACACAGACTCACTTTTCAATGTAATCAAGTAAGCCTCAAGTCATCAAGAATAACGTTAACTGGCTACGAATTGAAGAATCAAATTACCTGCATGACTTCCTTCTCTCTCGCAGCCTTCCAAGCCCTGAACTGTTCTGACTCTTGCTTAATCTTTTGCTGTAATTGCACCTGAAGAGTTCCATTAAAGCAGGTTAGGATAGTTAAGAAATATAGAGTACTAAAACAGAGACCACAGGACAAAAGAGCACCTTCTGAGACTTGATTCTGTGTATTTCATCTTGTAGATTTCTTGCTGCGTCATCACTTTTCTGCTTTTGCCTCAAGAGTTGAGCTTGTGCATCTTGTTTCTTCTTCAACTCCGAAACCTAAAGAAACAATGCATCATGCAAAATCATATGTAAATTGAGAGTATATATGACAAATTAAAACAGGAATTACCTGGGTTTCAAGGGTGTTCAGTTTCTGAAGATACTCTTCCTTCAGTTTCTTGGCTCCATCGCCTGGGGCAGATGGTATGGTAGCAAGGTTCTGTCTCAAACCTTCAATTTCTCTCTGCAATTGCGTATTTAATTTCATCAGAATTTGAGTCCACAAATTCCATTGAAGCACTATATAAACCACATAACACTGACCTGCAATGCTCTTTTTTCCTGTTCTAGTTCATGAACCTTTTTCTCATAATGTTGTTTGAGAACAGATGTACCACCACTTGAATAGCGCTTCATTTCAGCCTTCATGAATAAATTGAATTATTATTGAAGTCTATACGCATACTAACTAACTTTAGGAAACAGATGAAATAGTACCTCCTTTTCTTCTAGTCTCTTGTCCAATTCCTTTAGCTCCATGTCCAACTTTTCTTGAAGTGAGCAATGTTCAAGCTCCTTTTCTTGAAATTCAATTTCATCTGCTTAAAAGGCAAAGATACTTAGGGATAATACTTATAGAGCAAATGATATCATCTATATAAACCAGGGAAAACAGTTCACCATAACATATACATTAAAGAAATATAAATCAGAATTTGAATCCAAAAATTGCTAAAACAATAGTTAGAGTACCAACCCGTGACATCAATCCCTTTGTCTTCACAATCTGACGACTCATTAGATGAGGGAAACAAAACGTTACTCGAACGGGGGCCATCATCATAGGAATCAACAGAATTAGAATATTTGAAATTGCTGACTTTCTTCAATCTTTTGACTTGCAACAGCTCTCCTTCTAGCTCTTGAATTTTTGAAACATACTTGGTGATCAAACCAACATCCTGAAAAAATATGCACTTTAGTCAAAAAAGATCACTTGGTCGTGAACTTCAATTAAGGAATCATAAAGAACATCCACCTCATTTTGGCAGGATTCAATCTCATCCAAGGATTTACCACTGCGAACAGATTCAATCGTCATTACAAGTTTGTCCTTTTCAACCTATGAAAAAAAAGTGTTAACTGCTAGATCTCATATGAGTTGATCGATCAAAAAGAAAAGAGAATAGAAGAAAAAAACCTGAGCATCAAGAGCACACTTTGATAAATGCTCACAGGCGACTCTCCGTCCTTGAAGTTCATTTTGTAGCTCACGATTGCTTGCCTCAAGCAGTGATACTTTATGCTTGAGAATCTAACAGAGGTGATATAGATTAAGCATTTGATATAGACAAGCATCAAATTTAATTGTTGGTCATAGTTCAGTATTGAATACCTGGAGCTCTTCAAAAGAACCACTGTCACCTCGATAGAACATGAGTTCTGTCTGCAGCTGCTCAATTTGACTCCGCATGCTTTGCATCTGCGCGGCTGCTGGGTCTCGATTGATCTAAACATTGCAAGAATAACAAGTCAGTAAGGTCATAAAGAGTTAAATATCATAAAAACATCAGAGTTAAAAAGCAAGAACTACGTACCACTGCTTTGTTTTGAATATTGCGTGTACGATTTGCGTACTTCAGCGTGTTTAATGTCTCCTCAGCATTTGTATCAGCTGGACTTACACAAGCTGCATTGTAAAAGGCGTGATTAGAATTAATGCTTGAATAAAAAAATGAGTGTTCAGAAAGCTAATAGATGTGAAACACATACCAATCATCACGGTTTTGCTATTGCCACCAAGGGAATCCTAATTTACAGGTTAGTTACTGTTAGTATACTAGGTCGTATAATTCGATTGACAAGGTGTAATAAAACAGATACAAAAAAGAACATTAATACCTGAAGCAAACGAGTTAACTTGCTGTCACGGTAAGGAACATGACCTCCTTCCTTTCTCTTTCTCTCGTCTCCTAGCGCACTGATTACATTTCCCAAAGCGAGTAGACCTTTGTTGATGTGGATTCCTGTGAAAATGTTGAGAACACAAATCTCCCAGTTTAGTCATTCATCTCACTTTAGTTAACCAAAGAAGAGTAATATAGGTGTGAAATAACCTTCTTTCAAGCGCATTCCATCTGCTCCTGTTCGTTTTGCACGCTCCGACCCTGCTAGATCAACCAGATGAAGCTTTGCACATAGTATATCTTCACCACCATCTACAGCAGTTGTGGAAGAACAGCTGGAAATTTTCTTTTGTTCCAGAGTGATTGTAAAGATTGCATGGGACCGACTAAAAAACAAGAAACAAGCATTACATTAACATATATTCTTAAGGTATCTGATATAATATTGGGATTTTATCTTTGCTCACAAGTATTCACAATCCTACTAAATGGTAACACCACATTGTTCTAGCAAGTAGGTATGAAGAAAACAGAACAAATTCTAGTGGACCAAGTCTGGTTATAGATTTACCTTGATTGGCTATTCATGTTTGTGCTGCCAGTAGCACGGGACAAAGAACCTCGTGCTAGATACGAGCCCATCTCCTCCTTCGTCTTCACTTCTGCCTCAGTAACGCCTGCCAAAGTTATTCCTCCACTGGCAGTTTCTCTGATTTGAATCGGAGCTCTTGAGAGGGCAACGTGCTTGGCCTGAACCCCACCATCATTTTTTAGAATAGCCGACGAATTTGAGTCAAGCAAATCGAAAACTTCTTCCTTGAAAATCTGCATTTTAGAGGTAAGTATTAGAATTAAAATATACAAACCAAGATCTCCATAAAACAAGCTCAACGGATGCTCTTACCTCAATAAAAGACACCCGTATCAACAGTTCGGTTGAATCGTTGGCTGTCTCCACTCTTTTAAATATATCTTCCATCACTTTGGGTATAATGCCACCATTTGTTTCATCTCCACTATAATTAGTACCCATGGTGTACGTTTTACCAGAACCAGTCTTCAATAACAAAAAAAAAAAACAAAAGACAATGAATTTGATGGATTAAATGTAGGTCTAAAGAATTGCAGAGTTAAGAGAATCTCAGATCAAACCTGGCCGTAGGCAAGAACTGTAGCATTATATCCTTTAAATAGTGCGTCCACAAGTGGAGCAACACAATGATCGTAGATCTCGAAACACGGGTACCCACCATTGCCGAATACGAAATCGTAAGTAAAAGTATGTGAGCCTATGTGAACCTATGCAATTCAGAAAAACAAATGTCAGCAAAAATCAGCTCTTGTACCTGCAATTATCAATAACTACGAAGATCCACGAAAAAATTTAGGCCTATTTCAAAGTTCGAATTCTTAACTCGAAATACAAACTTTTTTGAAAGCCCCTTTCGCCAAAACCTTATAATTCCCAGTTCATGAATAAATTGATTCCCAAAATGAAACCAATCTGCTCTATATGAGAATCAATCCTTCTACATTTGATTCTAATCACCCACGACGAGCTCCCCAGAAAAAATGGGAAAAATCAAACGCGAAAAAAAAAGGAAAAGAAAAACCCTTCGGATTGAATACCTGTGGCTCCTTGGGAGCAACGGTGATGCAATCGGTGCATCCGTTAAGAAGCTCCGGCGTAATAAGCGGACGTATGTTGACGGCGACTCTGACGCACTCCGTGCTCTCCATCTTCGCCGATTTGAAACCCAGAAACCCTTAGTTACGGATCCAATCCAGAAACAGAACAACGAGAAAGCCCAATCGACACCACGAAATGTAGATCGAATCCAGGAAAGGAGAGCTGGGATGATTCTCAAGCTGAAAATTTTCGCGAAATGCGAAACATAGGAGAGGAGAGAATTCAAAATTTTTTAGAGGAGAGAGAAATGAATAGAGAGAGAGAAAGAGAAAACCAGAAGGAGGCTTTTGAGAGGCTGATAATAATATTAAGAAAAAGGTAACAAATTAAAATATTCTGTTTGTGGAATGAACCGCTCGCTCAGGTCCGAATTCAAATTTCTTTGCGACCGTTACGCACGTGATGATCCCACGTGAGCACTAAAAATTCAAGGCCCATTAGCTTATTTTCAGTCCATGCCCATTGGGCCCATATTGATTTTTTATTTTTCTGAAGTGACCGGCGAGAGACGAGGAAGACGATGGTTACCGGAAGCGACGGCGAGTCTGGTTTTGAATTGAACTTGAGAGAGAATCAGAGAGAGTTTAAAAAGGATAAAAAATGGAGAATAGTGGCAGTTTGGAGCAAACTCTGCAAGACGGAAATATCTTGAGACAGCTCAATGCTCTCATCGTCGCTCATCTCCGTCACAACAATCTCTCACAGGCATGTCTTTTCAGTTTGGGATTTCTGGGCATTGCTATTTTTGGATTCTTATAGTGTTAAAGTGTAAAAATTTGAAATTGATTTATAATTCATAGTTGGTTTGGATTTGAAATCTAGCTGAAGCTTCTTCTGTTCCGGAGATAAATCATGTGTTCATTTTGATATTTTAAATTTAAAGGATCATGCTTTGGATTGAGTGCTCAAGTTTCTGTATCTCATTACTGCTAATTGGTTAAAAGTTTTGACTTTTGAGATCGAAACTTTCTTAGGCTGCAGGTGTGGTTGCTTCAGCCACGATGACACCATTGAATGTTGAAGTTCCTCCAAACCGTCTTTTGGAGCTTGTTGCAAAGGTTTTTTTGCTTTTTTCCTCTTTTCCACATTTTGATGTTTATGTCACTGGAGCTCCTCTGGACCAAAAATCAGAAGAAATGTTTGGTATCTAAGATGAGAACAGGGTCTTGCAGCGGAGAACAACGGGACACTGAGAGGTGTTTCTTCATCAGTCTTGTTACCCTCTTCTTATGGATCAATCACTACTTCTCGAACAGCTTCTATTGACTTCAGGTGATGTCCCTTTCTTCTTTTCCGAATTAGTAACATTTTGATGTTTCCTAAGAGATGAAACTAACACTGCTTATCATTGTTTGGAATTTGCCAAACTAGTGTTACTCATGTGAAGGGATCATCAAAGATTCTCCCAAAGCATGAATCAAAGCAGCTATCCGAGCACAAGGTATATATATGCATTATTCATTCATTGTCTTCGTAGACACAACTTGGTCTATCCTTAATTATGTTGTTCTTTGAGCAATTTGGTTTTTAGCTGTTAAGCTTATGTATTTGATAGAGCGTTGTTAGGTGTGCAAGATTTAGTTCCGATGGAATGTTTTTCGCAACTGGCGGTGCAGACATGTCAATTAAGCTTTTTGAGGTAATGATGAACTTTGTTCAATTTCATTGCACCTACCTCCTTCAAGAATCATAAAGAACTGATAATTCTTTGGATATCTTCGTGTTGTTTCTTTGAGGTGCCAAAAGTAAAACAGATGCTTTCAGGAGATACTCAATCTCGACCATTAATACGGAGTTTTTATGATCATGCTGAAGTAATCCTTCTCGTCATCACTATTTTTGCCACAAACTTCTTGAATTTGTTTGTATCTCTTATTCTTGTTGAATTCATTTTGCAGCCAATAAACGATCTTGATTTCCACCCTCGGAGCTCAATCCTTATATCCAGTGCCAAAGACAAGTGTATAAAGTATCTATTCATCAATTCTGTTCTCTCTACCTAATTGAACTCTCGCAGTGATTACAAGAAATTCTGTGCTCACCTCTTTTTTGTCTTTCCTTCGCTTCTAATGACCTTGACAGGTTCTTCGACTTCTCTAAAACGACAGCTAAACGAGCAATCAAAGTTTTTCAGGTAGAGCGCATGGTTGTTATCAGTTTACGCTTAGCTACACAGCGAAATAAGAGGCGTGCCATTGAATCTTTAACTCTAAATTCTGCAGGATACACATAACGTGCGCTCTATAGCTCTTCATCCTTCAGGAGACTTTCTTCTTGCAGGTGTGAAATCTTTCACAAGACTACTATAAAAAGCTACTAGATGATATGTCTATTGTAGAGACCATTCAAAAATGGTTGTGGAATTAAATAGCTTGACTTTTGCAGGAACTGATCATCCGATTCCACATCTTTACGATGTAAACACACATCAGTGCTTTCTTCCTTCAAATTTCCCAGACAATGGAGTAAATGGAGCCATTAACCAGGTACTTCGCACGTTATCTGATTGATCTTAAATTCTTAATTATCATCTCTAGTGATGATCATGGCTTTGAGAATCTTGGTTTGTCTCAGGTGCGGTATTCTTCTACGGGATCTCTCTACGTCACAGCCTCAAAGGATGGAGCTATTCGACTCTTTGACGGGGTAAGCTCAAAGTGCGTACGCTCCATTAGTGGTGCTCACGGAAAATCAGAGGTCACAAGTGTATTGTTCACCAGAGACCAAAGGTATAAAGAGATTCAATCCAATTTTCTCTTAGAAATCACTAGCTTTCTAAACAGTTGATTGATCCATTGGCTATTGTTTTGTTAGGTTTGTTCTGTCGTCCGGTAAGGATTCTACGGTTAAGTTATGGGAAGTAGCTTCAGGGATAATAGTAAAGGAATACATCGGAGCAAAGCGGGTAAAACTCCGGTCTCAGGTGATGATCTTCTCAACCTCAGAGTCAGAACAGTAAATGTTCACTCGGTCCGACTTATTTTAAACGGTGTTCATTTTTGTGTGTTAACGCAGGCAATCTTCAATGACACGGAAGAGTTTGTAATCTCCATAGATGAAGCAAACAATGAGGTCGTTACATGGGATGCAAGAACCACAGAGAAAGTGGCAAAGTGGCCTTCGAACCATAACGGTGCACCGCGCTGGATCGAGCACTCTCCGGTAGAACCAGTCTTTGTTACTTGTGGAACAGATAGATCAGTTCGATTCTGGAAAGAATCCGTCTAGAAGACAATCCAATCAAATTCAGTGAAGTGTACTACTTTGCCTTTATTCTCTTCTAATAGATAGATAAAACTTACATAGAAAACATAAAACAACAGAAAACTCTGGAGATTTATTTGGTTATGAGATGTAGCTTGCGTTGTTCATGCTGACTTTTCGAAGACACAAGTAATGTTCCAAGTCACTGCATGAGAACACAAACAAAGCGAGTTTTTAAGTCATAACCACGTAGATTTGGTAAGGTTTGTTTTTTGTTGGGGGAAACTTACTCAAGGCTGAGGTCATTCTTCGTTTGTCGGCGGTTATAAACCTCGTCGGTCTAACGTTCTTAGACGGACCACATGTGTACTGTTGGTTAGGTGCCATGAACATGAAGTTAACCGGCATCCGAGCAGTCTTAACCGAGGTACCAGCATTACCAACGGATAACTGGAATGCGCTTTCTAAACCGGGTTTCAAGACACCGCCTTTGCAGCAGTTAGCGATCTGCTGGTTGTAAGGAGTTTTAGGAAGCAAATCAGCGACTGTTGGTTTACTAACGCAGGAATGAGGGATGAATTCTTTGAACATGGAGCAATCTCCTTGCTCTGTGGCTTGTGCACCAACCATGCTCCATATCATTTCTTTCTTGCTCCATCTCCAGCTCATTTTCCATCCTGGTCGAGTAATTGAACGTTGTTTCTGGTAGTTGTAAGCTGTAACCACAGCCTGAGGAAACACAAAGATAGATTCAGTGTTGAAGCCGCCTGAAGCAATCTCTGAGATTTTTGTGAGACAAGAAGTAGTCGTACTTACAACGTAGCCATCAGGCGTCCAGGTCATGAGATCCCATTTGATTGTGATGTTTCCGATGTTGCTTCCGAGAGCTTCTGCAGATCAGAGAACAGAACACAAAAAGGTTAACGAGAAATTGAGTGGAGAGAGAGAGAGATCTTCACATTCACACATTTAGAGACTTACCTGAAGAAGTGAAACAAGAAAAGGAAACCAAGAGCAGGACAATCATGGCGGAGAAGAGAGACTCCATTCTTGTGGTTCCAATGGAGAGAGAGAGGGAGAGAGTTTTGTAAGAAGAGTGATCAAGATCAAGGCGAAGACTTTGACTTCATCATGTGGGTCCACAGTTGTACCACATTGAATGTCAACCATAATTAACAAAGATTAGTTTATCGGTCCATTACATTCAACATCCATCAACCATAACTAACAAAGATTAGTTTATCGGTCCATTACATTTAACATCCATCAACCATAACTAACAAAGATTAGTTGACCGGTCCATTACATTTCGTTTTTATTTTGTTGTGAAAAGTGGAAAACTCAACCCAACTTTATGAGAAAAGCAATCAAATAACCAATCAAAAGCAATAAAATTTTACATCTGATTCTTGAGCCAAGCATGAACTGTGTGTAAACGTTACAATGAGCTGAACCAAAATATTATTGAGACTATTTTGCTCGTGATCAAGCAAACAAAATCATAACAAAGGAAAGAAGAAAGACTTTTACTATCAGAATACGTTGAAGATTATCAGAATCACATTCTTCGTCTCATCTGATTACGCGGTTTCTTAACAAAGCTCATATTGATCTGCTTGAGCCGTCTCCTCTTCCTCGCAGTCTTCTCAGGCAAAGTCTCTCTCTTCTTCACATTACCATCAACTTCCTTCGTCTTCTTCTTCAAAAACCTCGGATCAACTCTATATTCCTTAGGACTCACAGCGACACCTCTCCTCGCCGCTTCTTTATACAAACCATTAGCTCTCATTAGCTGGTTCATCGAACACAATTTCCCCATTAACAAATCATAACTCTTGATCCCAGGTTTGCATCCATCAGCTTTCATAGCCTTGAACACACTCATCGCATGCTCAAGCCTCTCAATCCCACACAATATCTTCATAAACCCGTAATACTCTTTCTTATCCAAAGACTTACCGTAACCAGCTGATTTCATCTTGTCAATCATTTCGTCTCCTTCACCGATCCTAGCTGCTTGATACAAGCTTCTGATCAGAACAAGGTAAGTCTCAGCATCTGCTTGACATCCCCATTCACTCATCCTCCCAAACAGCTTCATGGCGTCTTCCGTTCCCCTGATCTTGCACAGATTGTTGATCAACACATTGAAAGTCGCTGTATTTCTCGGCACACCACGCTGGTCCATCTCCAGGAGAACCTTCTCTACCTCTGGCTGGAGCCTAAACGGATCTTTCTTCCTGCAGAGCTTGCAAACGCAATCGAGAATCACGTTGTACGCTCTTGTTCCTATCTCGAACCCTCCTCTAGCCATCTCACCAGCTAACCTAGTCGCTTCGTCGAGTTTCTCAGCGGTGCACCAACCGCTAATCAGCAAATCGCAGATGTTTTCGTCGGGAAAGATCTCGTTAGCAGTCTTCTTCACCATCTTCTCCGCGTAACTCGCGTGACCTTTCTCGCAGAGCTTCTCTACGATCAAGGTGAGTGATTCCATATCGCGTTTCAATCCGTAATCGATCTCCATTTTCTCGAAAAACTCGACGACCTGCTTAGGTCGACCTGCTCGGACTAGCCTGTCGATTGCAGACTCTAGCGTTTTGGCTCCGGCGATGCCTTTGTATTTGGTGATGATCTCTTGCATCCCTTTGAAATCCTTCCGACGGCCGAAGTAATCGACGAAGAACGACACCGTTTCATCGGTGTGGGAGAAGCCGGCGTTCGAATCCAACCAATCGTTGAACCCTATGGCCGCGCGACCAGCTTCCGGGGAGAGATTGAGGGTTTGGAGAATCAAATCGGGATTTGGCGTGATGTGGGAGAAGCTGAGATGGAAGCTCTGCGAAATGGAGCTAGGATCAGCATCCGGATTTCCAGTGAGCTCCTTCGAAAAAGAGAGAGCGATCTGATTCGAATCTAAGGTTTCCGATTCCGCATTTGTTTCGGATGAGAAGAATCTAGAAGGGAAGCTCGAGAATAGAGAGGAACGTGGAGGCGGGAGAGGAGGTAACGATGAGTTAGGAAAAATGAGACGGGACTGAGACTGGAGAGTATTGCCGGAGGAGGAGGCGAATCCACGGAGGAGAAGACGCCGGAGTTGAAGAGACGGTAACGGCGGCGGCATTTCTGATTGAGTAAAGGGAAAATGGTAACTAGAGAGAGAGAGTGGGATCGGAGTGATGAGTAGCAAGGGGAAGTAGAATCAAAACCCTAAGCTCAAGATTTTGGAACATCAATGAATAATTGGGCTTCGCTTTAGGCCTTTAACTTGGAGCCCTTTAGGTCTAATAGATAGTCTAGTAGCTTTAGAAGTTCTTATTTATCAATTGGGGATGTAGCTCATATGGTAGAGCGCTCGCTTCGCATGCGAGAGGCACGGGGTTCGATTCCCCGCATCTCCATTTTGTTGTTTATTTAACGAATTTTTATTTTGTACGAGTGCAGTTTTTTTCTAGCTTTAATAATTTTTTTGTTCAAAGCTTTTAATACCTAAAGAGAAAATACATGATTTTTACATGGAATTTAATGAATTTTTATTTTGTACGAGTGCAGTTTATGCAGTTTTTTTCTAGCTTTAATAATTTTTTTTTCAAAGCTTTTTATACCTAAAGAGAAAATATATGATTTTTACATGGAATAAATTATATGATTTTTTATATGATTTTACATGGAATATAAAGTAATTTACAACATGTCAATAGAACAAAGAAAATTTATAAGGAAACGATCCAAAATCTTAAAAATAAACGCCCAGGTAAAAATCTAAGCTTGAATCCCCAGTAAACACACTGCAATAAAATCTCTGAAAATTCTCGCAGACTTTCACAAATTTTAGGGCTCTTCTTCTTCTTCACCTGATCAAATTCGTGGATTTCTTCCTTCCCTCTCCAGTCCTCATCTCTCTTCGAAGCATATCGCGCATTCTGATGCGTCGCAACTCTTAAAAAAAAAAAAATTTGGTGAGTTTCCTGTCTTCCCCGAAACGTCAACTTTCGCGATTGCAAATCTTCGTTCACCGTCTGGTTTCTGCCTAGAGTTGGGATAAAACGAAGAGAGCGATGTTTCCTTGAGATTTTAAATTTTCGTTTAGGTCGGAGAAACAATGTTGACAATTTCCAGAACGTTCGGTTTCGTCGATTTCTATATCCGATTGTCTCGTTAGGGTTTAAATTATCCATGTAGCTCGCAGTTAGGGTTCTAATACTCCGGCAAAGTAACCAGGAAAATCGATTTTTTTTTTAAATCCGGCGAAGTACACTTTGATTATCTCTGTGCCTATTTTGTTTATTATTCGTCTTTCGCTAACTCATGGTTTCTTACTCTGCAGTGAGAGCACAAGCATCCCAAATTGGCTCTCAACTTCACACATTGTGAACAAAGAATGCATTTTCCGATGTACAGCAATGAAACCTTACATCCTCCACCAGGAAATGGCCCTCCTAATCAGATTCATCTCCCGCATTTGCAACAGAGTCATGCCTCTCTTCCTCCTCCTCCTCCTCTCCCTGCGGTACAACAATCCTACATGTACCCGCCTCCAACTCCACCTCCTGCTTCCTCAACCCCTCAAGCTCAGCTAATCACAATGCCAGGAACAACTCAAACATATCCATATCCGGTTTCAATGTTACCTCCCCCGCCACCATTACCTCCTGGCACTATCCCAAGCTTCCCACTTCGAAGTTTGGAACCTCCTGGGATGCCTCTTCCTCCTCCTCCACCACCACCTCGTCGATCTTCATCTTGTGAAAACCCTGAAGCTGCAAAGAATGTTTGTGAAAGTTTGCCTTTAAATGGCGTAGCTCTTGAAGACGCTGGATCACACAAACAGAGTTCTACTTCTATCCATTGTGATGAATCTTCTCCATCACTTGACAAGGCAGAGCATGGTTCTTCATCATGTAGTTCTGATCCTGACATTGAAATGGAAGGTTCGTGTGAGAAAATTCGGAACTTTTCAACTATGGCTTATGCAAAGCTTGGTGCTTTCTTGTTTTGCCGCATTTTGAATTTGGCTTCTTTTTTTATTTTCAGATGATATCACTCTGCCTGAGGATGAGACTTACACAAGCCAACCTCCACAACATATCTCTGCTGAAACCAATTCTATCACCGTAAATGTTCAAACAGAGCTTCCTGGTTCGAAGTCATATGCTCTATTACACCAAGATGCAGATGATGGCTCAAGACAAGCTTCTTCCTCGCCTTACTCCGGAAGAGCCAAGATTGTCCCTGAAGACATGTATGATCCCTTCGTAGACGGCTTTGAACCAGAGTCTGTGAAACTGGATTGCGTTCAGGAGCATGAACCAACTAACGACTCATACACTGTACCTAAGGCGAGCATTTCCTCAAACAGACCACTCGATGTAGAAGAACACAAGCAAGATGTTGATAAACAAGCTGTAAGCGAGTCAGACATGACAGGTAGGGTCAGTGTTTCCTCAAACAAACCACCAGATGTTGAAGAAGAAGACACCACAAGACACGATGTAGCAGCAGTGGTTTCTAGAGACAACGATGGGTTTGGTGAGAATGCAGAAAACGAAAACAGCCATGAAACAGGGACTCCAAACTCCCATAACGAGAATCTGAAAGCGAGTAACGATGTAGCTGAAGGCGATGATAATAGCACGAGGAAAAAGTCTCGAGGGGATTCAAAGGAGGAAGATTCGTCAAGGTCCATGAAGCTTTTCAAAGTTGTGCTAACGAAATTCGTGAAGGATCTTCTGAAACCGTCGTGGAGGCAAGGGAACATGAGCAAAGAGGCGTTTAAAACTATTGTGAAGAGAGCGGTGGACAAAGTTGCGAATTCAATGGAAGGTCGTCGTATACCCAAATCAAGAGCTAAGATCGATAAGTACATTGATAGTTCAGAGCAGAAGCTGACTAAACTAGTTATGGTAAGAAACATAAACAAAAGCTTGGCGTAAACCACTCAAAACTTCGTCACTACGGAAACAGACTAGTGATGGTTCTTCATTTCATTTTTGTTTTTGGCAGGGTTATGTAGACAAGTACGTCAAAGCATAGAAGAGAAGAGAATCACGCACGCAACACGGCTTTGCTGCTGCTGGAGAAGAACTAATGTTACTCTGGCAATTTTTTTTGTTTTGTTTGAAAACGATTATAATGTTTTAGTCAGAATCGTTCTTCTTCGGTTGAGAGTTTTACAATGGTGAAGTTACTGTGGTTCTTCTCGTAATCTTGTAATTTCATGACATTTTGCGTACTTGAAGAATCATCCATTTGTTAAAGCTCGTTTAGTTCGTGTACTTGATATCTATCAGTGAAACCGAAAACGATAACAATTGAAGAGAACACTCTAACATATAATCTAGGTTATAGTTTGGTAATAGCTTAAGCTTGTCGTAATGCCTCCGTAGCATAGTGGTATTGCGTTCGCTTCGTAAGCGAAAGGCCGCGAGTTCGATCCTCGCCGGGGGCTCATTATTTATGGTTCCTTTTTAAAAAAATTGAGGCCCATTAAAATGTGTACCTCCTCCGGTCCTCCACATATTTTAGTAAGGAATTGAATGTCACGTCGTCTTCACGTAGGTAGACACAACAATGATGCATATACGGCCCAGATTTTATCTTTTTAAGTTTTGGATCCGATCAGCGACAGCAATGTAACACGGCTTTGACGGTGCATTCGAAAGCAATCCACAACTTCTTCTCTCTTTTTTTTTGTCATAATTGACATATGTACGACTATGACTCAGTTTTCTCAACAACAAACCTCTGTGTTTGCATTTATATGAACGCACGAAATCAGAGAATGCAAATATTAATTAGCCTAACTTGATTTAGCCTAATGAGTAATGATCAACATATTACACACTAGGACGTGCGTTTGGAACCTGTACTTCGTATCTTAATACTTTTTTGGAGTTGGCATGTTTTGGTAATTACCCTAAAGAGATGATGCACGAGAATTTATGTCTATACGCTATGACAAGCTGATTTCATCTACGTCGACACCAAACTATACTTGTAGACTATACGAAAGCCACACAACTTCCAATATTTAGGTCCGTAAAAGATCTTTAATCTTAGGGGAAAAAAAGAAAAAATCTTTTATTAAAAAAACCGCGATGTTCAGTCTATTGAGTGAGGAGATTTGGATGGATCTCCATCTCGAGTTTTTATATTCCTTTTGGGGAGAACACTAATGGAAACAAATCGGTATCAGAATCCTTTGAAAAGATAGATATACTAGATTGTTTTTTTTAGTGGACTACAAAAAATAGGGAACAAAAATATACCATAAATATATAATATCCCCAAAAAACAAAGAAAAAACAAAAAATTGAATTGAAAAAAGAAAAAGGAGAAAACAAAAAGAATTGCATGCCTAAGTGAGTGAATTATGTGAAAATGAAATCAAGTGGACCTGTTTTCTTTCTTCCTCTCTTAACTTTGAAGCATGCTGGTGATGATAAAGAAGTTTACAATCATATGGACCATATACATCCCATTTAAGACAAATTATCCCTTGCCACTAAAAGATTCTAAGAAAACGTATAAATTCTCCAGAGCAACGTCGTATATATCTCTTACTATTTTATCATCCATTGCCCATCATGATATGTATTGGATCACATCTCATCATCACTCTGATAACAAAAATGTTAATATTTACTGTATTGTAGATTACGTTAGAGAGAAAGTGCGATGAATATCCTTTTTTAAGTATTAGCATCCATATATTTTCAACTGAACTATATGAAGAGATGTGGGGCAGGTAATTAATTGAGTCGTGGTTGAAATTGGAGAAAATGAATCTAATATCAAATCTTTGAATTTTCTTGACAAGTGTGTGCCTATCTATATCTAAACACATGATTTATAAAAGATCAAAAGGACCACGCAAAAGGAAAATAAGTTATGTTTTCAAAACCAATAATTTACCAATGGGGATTAATGGCCCTACAACTTGGAGAAGAGAGAGAGAGATTGAAAAAGAAAGAGTGAGAGAGGACTGAAATTGGAAGATAGGGATCAGTGCTTGACTGCAATTCAGTTGCTGTCTTAACTGCTTCTCTTCTTTCCCTTTCCTTCTCTGACCCCTCCAATCCCAATACTCGCCATCATCTACTTCTACTTTTTCTTTACATATTTAGTTACTTGATTTCGAGGGTATTATGACCAAGAGAAGTTGAGGTTAGACTCATATCGTATATGTGTCAAGATTATAAATCATAGACTGTCTATTAACGGAATAAGACCTATATATACATAGAGAAACAAATATTCATGTGGTGTACACACTTGTGTAAGTAAAATAATATGGGATAGGTGTTTGTGAATCCTTTTATTTACCTAAGCTTCAAATAAATTGTACTATTTTGAATTCGTATGTACAGACAGTTATTCACCTTTGTTTTTGAATTTTTTGTTTATGAATTCAATGAAAAGAAAACGAAAACTTTCAAAGTCTTATTTACTTAATTTCCACACTTCCTAATTACAGTACGTAATACGTACCACTTATATTTTAAAGTCAATATCTTTTAAAGTTTTTAAGTATAATAATATATTTATAACCATAAGTATATATGTTACGCACCATTTTTTATGCTCCCTGCATTTTTCGACCTAAATATAAAAGATCTCTCTCACACACACAGTCACAAACACGTGAATGTGAATGTACTTGTGAAAAACAATTTCATTACATTTATTAGCTCTTTTATGGAAACCAGTCGAGTGTCGACTAAACACCACCATGCGATTTTATGGAACCTTGATTTTGAGGGATGAATCAAAAGTCAGCAATTACGGAGATGATGAAAACGCTAGCTATCTCATCTAGTTTAGTTTGCGTTACATATATGTTATGTACTTATACATGCTCACTTTTTTATATAGTACATACTCACAATTATGTATATACATATATATGAGGTGTGACGCATATATATACGCACGAGGCTAGCTAGGGTTTGGCATGCATTATAAATTGCCGTGCGTCTAGGCATTGTGAACAGCAACCTAGCTATATATACTTTTAATAAATTTTGTATCGAGAGACTCACATATATGTATCAATAAATTTTGTAGAATATGCATGTAGACACACATATATTCCTACAAATACGTACTCGTAATATGCCCGTACAAATATAGTAGTTTGTTGTAAGAAGATGAATGATGGTGAACATAAAATTATTGGAAACTTATTGTTTTTTTTTTGCTGACACATGACATGCAACCCCCTTCTGTTTCTTTCATTTGAATTGTGCACATATAAGTAAATTACCACTTCAAGAATATCTAGCAATAGCGCAGATGAAATATCAAATTTGATTATACGATTGTGATTTAAAATCGTGATTATGTAACCATTGCAAATTGTTTTGTTAACATAGCGTGATCATTTCAATATATTCGTACAAATATCTATCGGTTCTAGCTAAACTAATTTTTTTACTTTAATATAACTGTTTAACCAGGATTTTGGGCAATTATAAGTCGAGTATCAGCGGTTTTTTTTTTTTTTTTTTTTTTTTTCCCAAAGACAGCAGGAGAGAAAAACCTGTAGGAACTTCGAAATAACTTTCACGTTGAGTGAATCACCATGTTAATTTTAATAATATCTGTTTACAATAGTTTATCTAATAGGCTAATTCCATATTTCTTAAACCTAAACCCTAACGTATGACATACGATTATTAAAGGCGATTACTAATCGAAATTATACAATGAGAAGAAAGGCTATGTATAGATTATGTCAAAAATTCTCTATATCATCTTTAGATATCTAAATTGTACTATCCCTTTTATGAGTAACTATATTGTGTATATATAATTATATTCATCAATGGATACAGAAATACAATCAAGGAAAATTTATAGAATTTAAAAAGCAAGCAAAACTAATTAGACATATCAAAAACTCAAAATATATAGATACAACCACCAACGTAACCTCGCATTACGAATAACCTTAGTTTGAATCCAAATCCGAGATTGATCAAGATTATTACACTCTATATATACATAAATGGAAATATATTAATCAATCCAACAATAAGAAACTAGAAAAATTAGAAGAATACGTATGCATATAACATATGTATATATGTATCGTATAGATTATATGAATCTTTCATGAATCTGAATCATTGTCACTACTATGACGATCCGTATTATGATTTGAGCTCATCAAATGATGAAAAGGTCTAATCAAACTCGAATTACCCGTCATCATCTGTTGTTGCGACGCCGTATTAGCATTGGAGCTAAAGAGCTGAAGATTCCCAGCTCCATCTACGATATGATGAGGATGTTGTTGATGATGATGGGAAGCTCCAAGGAACGAAGGATATGTCGGAAATAAAGAGCTCATTGCCGGAGGAGGAGGACCAAAAAACAGCTGAGACCCGTCTCCAGCGGACGTCGACGAAGGAGGAGGCAGATTGAGATTATTGTTGGTGTTGGATATTGCGACAGTCACGTTGTTACCGGATTGGTCTAACGAGTGTTGAAGATGTCCGAGGTTGTAATAAGACGAAGTGTTGTTGTTGTTGTAAGGATTTGTCAGAGAGAAGTGTTGATGATTGATGTCGAACCCATGCTCCTGGCTACAATTCTCATCGTGCTTGATCCATTTTCCTTTATCAAGATCGAAACTCTCTCTCTGCGTCGTACTAGTATCTGATATTCTTGATCTTGTTCTTGAAGAGCCACCAAGATCCCAAGCTTCCAAGAACCCGAGGTTGGTTCCTGGGAATGCTGATGATGAAGATTCTCCGATTCCGGAGTTTCCGAAGGTGAGATTCGGATACATTTGGTTAAACCCGTGAGGAAACTGTAATGGAGGAAGCTTGTCCACGTCATCTTTTGCTGCTTCGAGTAACCAATCGATGACTTTGCTTGGCTGACTCAGCCCTAACCGGTCTTGAAGGTCGTAAAGCTGAATCGCTGTTGGTACGGACAACCTTATCCTTCTGTCTCGAAGGCCACGGACTGTGCAGACTTTGCTGTGTCTGTCTTTGCCACCGAACGTTCTCGAGACTCGAACGATTCTTGGATTCCTAAAAGCTGAGGTCCATTGCCTTGATGATGATACCGAGCTCGGCTGATTCTGTTGTTGTAACATGTTGTTTAAGTTTACTTGATGATTCTGATCTCCTTCTTGCTTTGCTTGAATCTCATCTTCATCGCATTCTCTTGATCTCATCTCTATTAGTTCACTCAGTTATATATAAAAACAGATCTGAAACAAGAAGAGAAGAAACTTAACCAATTTAACATAAATAAATCAAGAATTAAATGAAGAGATAGTTGTAACTAAATTCTAAGAGTAGAGTGAAATTGAGGTATAATCGTTTTTTAGATGTTTGGAAGAAAAAGTCACATGAAAACAAAGCAATATAGATGTGGTAATTATTGGATCTTGCATCTAAGAATTTCAATTGAATTTAAAATTCAAACAAACGAATGTAGAAGATTATATATAAGCTCTCACCGATTGAAGACTGGTAAGCTTGAGTTCCTAGTTCAAGATCTAGCTTGATAGAGAAAAGGAAAAAAAAGGAAGAAGGAAGAAGTAAGAGATAAGAAGGCAGAGGATGAACACTGTGGAAGTATTTCTTTTTTTGGTAACTAGAATTATATTTGTATATTATAATGATTGGGGAAGTTAAATAGTAAATGAATAGATAGCATATTTATATTATTCATTTAAATAGTAAAAATTCTTTCTCATGCTATTTATTTTTTATACTTTATATTCCAGTCCCTAGGGTTTTTATTGGTATGAAAGGAATTTATGCACAAGGACAAAAAGAGGAGCAATTTATGTAGTGTATTGATACTCTGATGGGTATGTGCATGTTTTCGTCTAAGACTCACAGTCACATAAATTTTAAATATATAAACTTTTACAATAAATATTCATAAAGAAAAACTTTACACGATAATTGTAAAATTGTTTGATATTTCAGTTTCTTTCATGAGTTTCACTTTGATTTAATTTCTTTTTCTTTTTAATTTATCCAAGTTACAAACGCTGCTTTGTTTTTTGTTTAGTCTCATTTTCGGTTGGTAACAAAAATCTTGTTAAGAGTAAGGGCGCTGTTATAAATCGTTTGAAAATTAACATTTGACGAAAATTAGGCAATTCATTTTAAAACATTGGTTGAATATTAGTTTTTGATGCTTAGAAAATGGTAAACTGAGGTTTGACTTGCAGAAGAACAATTCCCTGACATTTTTAATAGATGTAAAAAGCTTTCTATTCATTAAAATAAAATAAAAATAACGTCCAATTTATATTCCAAAACACCCGTTTGAAACGATTTCATATAATTGTTGAATTACATTATTGACTGTAAGCAAGTTGTTGAAACCCTAAATTTAGTGATAATGAAATGTAGACTTGTTAAAATCAATTTGTTGGGAATGCTTTTATTTATTTATAATTAATAACTTGTGGGTTATTTCATAAATATACATAAGCTAAGTGTTATCATAGATTGATTGGCAGCTAGAGGAAGTAAGGGTCTCTCTCTTAGATATATAGAGAATGGACCAAAGAGTATAGGTTTTTCTTTAAAGCATCTAATGCTTCAATATACTCACAAAGAGATTTTTGGACCACTTCTCTTCTATGTGTCTTTGCCACTGAGATTTTTGCCCACAATCTCACCATTTTCTTTCCTCTTTGTATTCAACTTGATCGATACTATAAAGTCTTCTATAATTGACCGCTTCTTTAACCCAATGGCTGTTACGACGAAATAATTGTGTTAATTGATACATGGTTGATCAAATTCAGAACTTCGGGTTAGATTTGTTTGCAAACTATGTAATAAATTTATAATATCGTTAATCTGTAATGAAATTCTTAGTAGAAAATGAAGTCATTATTAATTTTTATTGATCTTATATAAAACTAGCCTATAGAAAAATATGACTTTCCTGAGATTCATTTATAGGAATTTCTTGATCCTACAGGGTAACTTAATCATATAGGTCAGTATTTATATATACGTATGTGTACCAAAAGTTTCAATGGATCGCACATCAGACGAGGAGTTAATTATATATATGATGAATTATGAATGATGAATGGTGATTGATGATGATGGGACTTGAGCTTCTGGGCTTAATTTCCTTCGACTTTTCAAGCGTATAGGATCTTGTGAACCTTATACAGGCTTTACCATACATTATACGTTATACATACATCTGTGTGTATGTTCGATACTTCTGACTTTTGGCTGCAAGATGTCAAAGCACTGCCAAATTTAAATTTCAGTCTGCTGAAATAAGCTGTCCATGTGCTTTTTTTTAATAATCAGGCTGTTTTTCTTGCCATAATATCTCAAAAGAAATATAGCTAGGCACTAGAAACCCTAACACACTCAATACTTAAATATTAATTACACCTAATTAGGCCCTTTTATATAGGAATGTTATAGTGCCTGCCTGTACTTACCTTTTTGGGATTTCTCATACAGCCGAATTTAAATTTGAATATATAAAGCAACGTTAGAGAAAATTAAAGTAGTAGAGTAGAAAATCCGAACTGCTCGCGTGGAGGAAATATGAAACAAAAATGGCAATAACTAACGGTGTATTACCATTCAGCAACAATAAAAAAAAAAAGAAAAGGAATTTCTCGCAGTTGACTATCCGTAAAACGTAGAAATAGTCATTAATTTCGTTCTTACAAAATTGTCATTGCGTAACATACCATTTATATGATTGAACTTGTTATACATACCATTTTATGTGGAGTGGAATCACAGAGTCTTGGTTCCAAAACTCACAACAAGTTGTCTTTTATCATCTTGACATTTTAGGTCAGTAAAAAGCACCTCACTATTTTCTCTCCACTCTCTACTATTTCTACCTTAAAATAAATTTACTACATACGTTATCTTAAGGTTTGAGAAAAATATCTCATAGAGATTAGTATGGATTTTTTGCACGTTTACTGAAATATCATCTAATATAAAACACTGAAAATATCAGAATCTCAATATATAAAAGTATTAGCAGAACGAACAAATGATAGAATTGTGAAAGAATAAAAAAAAAAGTAAAGTAAAGCAGAAGGAAATAAAAATTAATTTATAATTTTCCCAAGAATGTATATACATTATAGTTAGTTTTATACAAGTTGGTCTTAAGCTATCACCATCACACCGTGTACAAAGTCACAACTCGATCGGACTAGATACTAGAATTCCTAACAAATGATGAAAATATATCCAAAATTTTCAAATTTGGGGTATGTGATATCAACGAATCATAACATATCCACATCCATCTCCATTAATTATCTTCGACTACAAAAGAATGAAAAGTGAAAACACAAATCTTAGAGCTATGCTAAAACGTTGTCGTTCACTATTTAACAACGTATTCTTCTCTTTTGTCTTTTGGCTCTGAGCCGTCGTTTTCGGGTCTGAACGTCAGTAAATGCAGAAGGCTCATGCTGAGACAGAAAAGGACATGTCCTTGTAAGAGACAACACCAAAAGGAGTAAAACCTCCAAAAAAGTAATTTAGTTATTACATATATGCAGTGGCGAATCTAGGTAGTGGGACACGGTGTCAGTTGACACCCTATTAATCTTATAAAACCTTGAAATATGGCTAAAAACACAAAAGATTCACTAGCAAAACTGGTAAATCATGCTTAATGACCCCATGACCCAAGTTCGATTCCCACCTTGACCCCTTAACATATTTTTTCTACATTCGCCACTGCATATATGTGTGTGTATATATATACATGCTGATGCTGACATTATGACATACATTACATAACTGCTCTTCCTTTTTGTATTATTGATGCAGTAAAGGTGTCTCCAGAGTTTGCTGCAAATAAAACCACTGAAACTACCCGTTTCTCTCTGTGTTTTACTGTTACATTACGAAACCATTCTCTCTTCATATTTGGAAATATAATAATGTAGAAAATCACGGGTCTAGCTCTTAGTCTTATATAAGACAAACATATATAAAGAAAAAGTATTTATATGCCAAGACAAGGATTGGCTTTTATGGTTATGGAAGTAAAGGACGTACCCCATAAGGGTAGACAAATTGATTTACTTGCTTGATCTGTTTTTTGCATTTTCGTTTGTAGTATTCATTTCATTTGGATTCCTCTATTTGTCGGTAAGCGAAATAGAAGTAAGCCTCGAGGGATTGAGAGGAGACAAAGGGGAAGATACATGGACCTGCAAAGGAGAAGAAAATGGAGTAAGAAAAGTTACTGTATGGAATAGTGAAGTGCCTTTAATGTCTGGGAAGCAAGGGGACATACATTGAGTAAGAAATTATTGCGGATAATGTTTTTTCGAGCTTGGACCTTGAAAATAAAGCAAAATCCCATGACGACTCAAATTTTTTAAAATGTACTCAATGCACTGAACTTTAACAATATTTGCTGTGAACATTTATTAGCATCTATTGAGCTTAGTGTGACAAGAACTCAGAGAAGGGGATGAGTAAAACAAGTCAGAGTCATCAGTATATTCAAATATCGCTCAAAAGCTAGTTAAGAGAAAGATGATTGTCCTTCTTACTGTCGGTTTCTTGATTGACCTGAGATGATTATTCAGCAATAAATTAAAAACCAAGCTTTCCCACAGAACTAGAAACCAGTTTGTATGACTTGATGTAGGAGAAATTAAGCGTTTTACTGTTTTACTGTTTTCCGCAAAATTTGTTTATTTTCTTTTTCGGATTTATTTTGATGTTAGGGTTTTGTTTTAGGTTTTAAACAGTTTTGGATGTAGCGCCCAAGCGACACAAAAATTATTATTCTGAACTAAAACTGAGCTTTCTCTTGAAGATTTGATCAAATATTGTACTGATATTATGAAATAGTACGTCCACTAGTGATATACCAAATACGTAAAATTAACGACCATTAAACTGTGGCTAAGCTTATGGTGACAAATCTCACAAAGTGAAATCTTCCATGGAAAACTCTCCACAGCAAGAACGCGAGGAGCTCTCAGAAACCAAACCTGAAGCTCATAACAAACTATTTCCTTAAAGTAATCAAATTTAAAGAAACTAATCCTAATATATACCCCAGGGCTGAAAAATATTAATTAATCCATTGAGAAATCGATTACCTCACTTGTTACAAAAACAAAAACCGAATGACTACAAACCGGTTTTATTGGTTTTCATAGTGAGCTGTACGCCTGTACCGAGTTGTTCGTTATACATATTTCACCTCCTCTCAATAGTCAACATTTGTGTAATGAATGTTGCTCGTTTCATAGAAGTGGGTTTGGACTCAGTTTCAGTTTTAGAATCTGCTAATCAAATCAGAACAAGTAAACTGCTAATATTAACATACATGATAAATACTCGAAGACGTTTTGTAAAGTCAATTAATAACAAAAACTCATTTCTTCCGGTATAAATAACTAAAGGATCTTAGTAGTGTTCATCATTCAAAAACAAACTCGAGAAAGAAACATAAATTTGGGCCATCTAAAACTTTTTATTCCCTCTCCATGGCTATCAAAAATGTTATTTTTCTTCTAACGGTCATATGTGTTATGGTTGTGACCAATGCTCAGTTGCCACAATTTCCACTTCCATTTCCTTTTCCATTTCCATTTCAACCAAATCCTGGTATGACAGGATTACCTGAGTTAACAAAATGTTGGTCATGGGTGATGAATATTCCAGGATGCATCACAGAAATTTCTCAATCTATATTCATTGGAAAGTTCGGTAACATAGGTCCTGCTTGCTGCAAAGCATTTCTAGAAGCTGAAGCCAATTGCCTGCCAAAAATTCCATTCAATCCGTTTTTCCCTCCTATGTTAAAAGAGCAATGTTCAAGAATTGCTAGCGCAGCTCCTCCACCTCCAACCATATAATAATTCTTTTTAATATAAGATATGTTAAGTGTTGATTGTTTTTAGTTTTTAAAATAAAATTGGTCGAAAGATATTGTACTAAAAAAATTACGATGATGGCATTAGAATAATCAACTAATAAAATTTTCAGTATTTCATTTTTCAGTTTACAAAGTAATGCTCTATAATGTAATAACCCATCAGTAATCCATTTCCAAGTTAATAGTATAACTAGATACACCATGCATGGATATAAGAAAAAACTGGTTGATCTACTATGGTAGAATTGGACATAATCTACCAAGTTGTTGATACAATTGCAAAAACAAACAAGCTTTCTAAGTTCGCTACTTATACAATTCTACAATCGTTTGATGTTGTACCACATTGGCTCTAACTCTAAGCCATAGCTGCAACAAATAAGCTTAAGGACTTAAGCGATGGGCTGGGATTCCCTGTCGGCCCAAATAACTCAAAATTTAGCCCTAAAGCCAGAACTAGAAGAAAGCAATATACAGTTTGTAGTAGAAACAAAAGATAAAGTTGATATCGTACCAAGAAATTATCTAAAAATATAAAAAGACAGAACTAGAAGAGAAGCCCAAGTTAGAGTCTTCGTGGGCCGAACTGAACTAAACTAAACTAAACTAACTTGGTACTAGATTTGTTCCTTCTCTCACTCGAGTTTGTTTCTCTCTCTCTCTCTCTTTCTCCGTCTGTCGCTGTCTATCTCGTCCTCCTCTGTTTCGTAGCTTCTGCAGCAGATCTCTCTTTGTCCTTCTCTCTCCCTCAGATCACTGTAAGTACAAACTATACTTCCTTCCTCTTTCGATCTGTTACTTTTTCTCTTATCTCGATTTGGTCTAAATCTTAATTCTCTCTCTCTTCTTAATCAAGCTTGATCTGACTCATTCTTTCATTTACTCTTTTTTTTTCTCGATTCATTTATGACAAAAAAAATTCTGACTTAAATTAATTGTTTCTTCGTATCTGGATTAGTGTTGTTCTTTTAAAAGTGTTCTGATATTTATATTCATTTTAGGGTTTTTGTGTGAGCCTGTGTTGTGTGTCTGTGGTTAGCTTAATTCCCATCTAGAACAGTGAAATGTTCGACTTTTTATTAGATCGTTGACTTTTCTCTGAGTTGTACGAAATCGTACAATTCTTTAGGTTATTGATCCAAAGTAATTAAGTGTTGAAATGATTTATCACATTCTGTTTTTTTCTTCTCCCTGAATTAGTCTCAACAAATTTTTAGAAGTTAGAATATGCATTATACATCTTCATCGTTGTTGATTCATATTCTTCATAAGCCTAATCCTAATTTGTATGAAGAATATGAATTTTACCTACTTGAGTTGATGTAGTACGTCTTCTTTAGCATTTTCAGTTTCCGTCGTCGACATTCTTCCATTTCTTCGTATTTTTTTTCATACTTGAATATTTGGGTACTTCGTAATTAACATTCAGTTTCATAAGAGATCCGTTGTAATGTTTTGTTCTTTGCGCAAAGATGTTCTTAGTTTTGTGTGCATCCGAAGTGAACTAAACCGGTATTCTCTAACAGAATGGTTTGATCTGTTTCGTTAGTTGCATTAGCGTACCGAAACCCATAAAAAAAGCAAACGGCCAAATTTTTTAGTCTAGGCAATTTCTTAGAATTTTGAATCAAATGATAGAATGAATACACAGATTGGTGATTATTAATGTTAAACTTAAGCTATGTTAAAATTTGTATAGAGAAGATAAATCTTTGCTTATTATAAGCTCTTAATGTATGTATATGCTTTGAGTGTAGATGGCACAGCAGGAAGCTAGCCCTTCCCCTGGTGCTGAGGTCGTTGGTCGTGCCTTTGTGGAGCAATACTATCATATTCTTCACCAATCTCCCGGTTTAGTTCATCGGTTTTATCAGGATGCGAGCTTGTTAACCCGTCCTGATGTTTCCGGTGTTGTGACTACTGTCACAACCATGCAAGTGAGATTATTATGCTCTTTCTTTATAAACTAGTCAATTACTTCAACATATTTATATGTTGTTGTTGTTCTCTTCTGAGTTATATTAACTTGGTTCCACTTTTAGGCGATCAACGATAAGATTCTGTCGTTGAAGTACGAAGACTACACGGCTGAGATCGAAACCGCGGATGCTCAGGAGTCTCACGAGAGAGGCGTGATCGTGCTGGTGACAGGACACTTAACCGGGAACGATAACGTGAGGAAGAAGTTCAGTCAAACTTTCTTCTTGGCTCCACAAGACAAAGGGTACTTTGTCTTGAACGACATCTTCCGATTCCTCGAGGCGAAAGACTTGACGACGACACAAGCCCGCTCTGTCACCATCAATGGAACCACCAGGGATGTTCAGGCTCCCGTTGAACCAGGTGCGATGTGGTTAAGCACTTCGTTTTTTTCTTTATTTCAGGTTAGGATATTGACATTCCCTTTACTTCGTTTCAGAACGTGTTATCGTTAGTCACGAGGCGGAGATAGAGCCGGAGCCAGTTGCTACGATTGAGGAGGAGGATCTTGACAATGTGGCGGAGGTGTACGATCCATCTGATAAAGATGATGGAGTTGTTGTTGACGTTGAGCCTATGGAACCACCAACTCAAATAAGTCATAATGAGATTCTATCTGTGCCTCAAGGAGATGCTCCTAAGCATTCCTACGCTTCAATCGTGAGTCAAAACTGCTTGATAACTGATTTTTTATCTTGTTTTCTTGATGTAGTAAGACGTTAGAACTCTTTGTTTGTGTGTTCGACAGCTCAAACTGATGAAAAGCGGTCCAGCACCAACACATGTTGCTCGGAACAAACCACGAGCAGCTCCGGTCAGTGCCAACCAGAAGCCGACTGCTCCTCCTGCTGAGCATGCAGCAGCAAACGAGGCTTCGGGTGTTGAGCATGTTCCAAACAGTAGCAATGTTGATGTGGACGGTCTGTGAATACTTTTTCATTTTGCTGTTTGAATATGCATGCGTAATCCATTGGGTATTGATTGGTGTTCTTGTTATTGCAGATGATGGTCATTCGATTTACGTTCGGAATTTGCCATTTGACTCGACACCAACACAGCTTGAGGAGGTGTTCAAGAGCTTTGGTGCTATCAAGCATGAGGGTATTCAAGTCAGAAGCAATAAGGTTTGATATATTAATCTGTCATTTTCTTTCTAAACCACTCGCTTATTGGTGTTCCTTACACGTTTTTGTGACTCTCAGCAGCAAGGTTTCTGTTTCGGTTTTGTGGAATTCGAAACAGCTAGCGGAAAGCAGAATGCCCTCGAGGTATATGCATATTCTCCTGTTTTCATAAGCCTTGTAGACCTTAGTGTTGTCTTCAGAAAGTCTGACACTTTCGGTTGGGTGTGTAGGCCTCACCGGTTACAATTGGGGATCGTCAAGCTGTTCTAGAGGAGAAGAAAACAAACAGTCGAGGTAATAAAAATGAGAGATATCATCAAGAAAAGCTGTGGTTTAGTGAAGAGTTTTGTGTATATGAAAGATGGGTTTTGATATTTTTGCAGGAGGCAATAATGGAGGTGGTAGGGGAAGGTACTTTTCAGGAAGAGGAAGCTTCCGAAATGAAAGCTTCAAAGGAGGACGCGGTGGAGGAGGAGGGAGAGGAGGCTATGGAAGAGGAGGAGGAGGAGGAGGTGAGTTTTCTGGTAGACCAAAGAGCTCAAACCCACGGAATGGAGGAGAAGGTTACCAAAGAGTTCCTCAAAACGGAGGCGGTGGAAGAGGAGGTGGAGGAGGACGTGGTGGGGGTGGGCCTCGCGGTGGTGCTTCATCTTGACTTGGCTTCTAAGGTGCCTCCATAAGAGAGTAGTTTTTAATTTTTGTTTTTCACCTTTTTTTTCTTACTACTACTTGAGTTGAGTTGTTGTGGTAAGTCTTTTTGCCTTTCTTTTTGTGGGTTTTAGTCTTCGATCTTTTTGGCATTTCTTTTTATACTTCGATCCTTCTTTGGGTACTTTCTTCATAAACATTCAATTTCATAAGAAATCCATTATAAAGTTGTGTTCTTTACTCAAAGATGTTCCAAGTTTTGTAGTTAAAGTCAAAGCAGAGGAAGTGAACAAAACCTGCTTATCTGAACCGGAAAACACAACCTGTTAGCCGGTTTTCTACAAGTTAAGTGGAACAACAAATGTTGCACTGCCACAATGAACAGAGAGACCTGAGGCCTGAGCTTTCAAAAACACTTTTATTATAGCATTTGAGTCTTTAAGAAACGAGTACAAAATTGATTAAATTATCCAAGTTAACACGGAAAAACTGAAGAAACAAATAATTCAAAATTTTTGGTGAAAGCTTGTAATTCAAAAACAGAGCATATCATCGTCTGGACTTCTTGGAAGACCTCTTGTCATTGTTACCTCTCTTGTCATTCTTACCTCCCAAGAACCTCTCACTCTCTTCATCATCTTCTCCCCTTCTCTTCTTCCTGCCTCCTGATTCTTTCATATTCTATAACAACAAAAATAAACACATAATTCAATTCTCCATTAATCTACGACGTTACAAGCAAAACAATCAACCTTTCGACATAGTAGAAGTGCGTAGTAAAAAACATACCATTTTAGATAACCTGTGAGCTTCGTCAACTCTCCCCTGCAATGACATGACTTCGTCATGCTCAGCTGGATATTCTGGTAGTTTCTTGCCTGAATGTCAAAACATAGTCAAATGTCGTTGTCCTATAAGAGAGAAATCAAAAGTATCTCGCAGATTTTTTTGAACTTACCTATGAGTTTTTCTATTTGCAAGTACCATTCGAGCTCATACTGATTCACAAGTGATATCCCAACACCAGAACGTCCAGCACGAGCGGTTCTTCCCACTCTGTGGATGTAATCCTATGACCAAAACTTGGAAGATGAATGAGAGTTCTCAAGATCATTGAGTCATGAGAAACAAGAAAAAGGGGCTAACCTTTGAATTTGTGGGAATATCGTAATTGATAACCGCATCAACCGATGGGATATCGAGCCCTCTACTAGCCACATCCGTGCAAACCAATATGTTACATTCTCCTGCTTTGAACTTATTCAAAGCTCCGAGTCTATTTGACTGCAAATATTTCAAAAATAAAAAATAAAGAGACTGCAAGTTTCATGAAATGTTTTGAACTTGTGAGTGTGCGCATTATTAACCTGAGTCATTTGACCAGTGATGGGAATGGCTCTAAAACCAAGGCTCCGAAGCAACAAAGCCAGAAAACGAGCACCCTCACAAGTACGGGTGAAAATCATTGCTATCGATTCAGGCATTTCACTCAGCATGTATACAAGGTAGCATTCCTGTTAAAAAACATAGAAAGTTCATTGTTTTAAAAGAATATTACGTGTTTGCTAATTGCTTATACTATCTATCTATCTATCTACCAGGGACTATTGTGAAGAGAATAAGGTACCTTGTCTTTAGCAGCAACAAACCGATATTGCTGTTTTAGAGTATCAACTGTAGAATATTTGGAGGCAGCCTCAATCTGGAGGAAAACAATAAACATAAAACTGTTATACCTTTGCATTATGATTGCTGCAATGAGAGAAAAGAAATGAAGCCAAATTAGTGTTTCCTTACTTTAACAGGATTCCTTAAGCATGCTCTTTGAAGTTTCTTAACCTACAAGGCCAAAGCAAATTTAGCGACTTAAAAATCACTTGGATCGTTCTTAACCGATCAAAACCACAACACTGTCAAGCAAGGTTCCTACCTTTTTGGTCATAGTTGCTGAAAACAGAAATGTTTTACGGTCACGAGGGATTTCTTCAAGAATCAGGTTAAGAGATTTCTCAAACTCTTCATTCAGCAGCCTATCTGCTTCATCAAGAACCTGATGGATAATGTGACGTAAGTATAAAACTGAAAGGAACCTTATACCAAAACGAAAAAGATAAAGCTTAAATTTTTACCAGATATTTCAACGTCTTGAGAGAAAAGCCTTTTGTGTCACACATATGATCCCAAAGACGACCAGGTGTTGCAACCTATGAAACAACATATCAAACTTAGCTTACTAGATTCGCTCAGGTTAAGTGGAGAATCAAAACAGTTTCAAGAAATAAAACATACAATCACATGAGGCCGTTTCGCAAGAGCAATCGTTTGCTGCATCCGGTCTAGACCTCCAACAAGCTGGAAAATTCATGAAACGGTTTATATCCATTTCCAGCAGCAAGATTCAAAATTGGGATAATAAACATGGATAAAGCATCTCTCTTACCACAACACACCTAAGACTAATATCAGATCCTAGAGCTTCAAACTGCTCAGCAATCTGGATTGCAAGCTCTCTGGGACAGAAGAAAACATCTTGAAATCAGAATTACCCCAAAGAGAAAAGACATGAAAACTCAATTGAGCGAATCATCATACCGAGTTGGAGATAAAACACAGGCGAAGAAGGCAGGATCAGGTCTACGCCCTTTCTTAGGCTCGGAATCGAGAACATGCGTAAGAAGTGCTTGCAATATTGGCAAGGCAAAGGCTCCGGTTTTACCAGAACCGGTTTGCGCAAGTCCGATTACATCTTTACCTAAACGAGAGAAGACATCAATCAACACATTCGAATTCGAATTATCGCATTGGAGAATTCAATTGCAAAAATCTTACCTTCAAGAGCATGAGGAAGGGCTTCGGCTTGAATTTTCGTAGGGTTCTTCCATCCCAATCTATCGCAAGCTAGCACGAGCTCCTGACGAACACCAAGTTCTGCAAACGTCTTCACCACTTCGTTCTCTTCCTCCATTTTTATCTCTTCCTCCACTTTTATCTCTTCCGCCATTTTCAATACTCACTGAGAAATTCGCTCTCTTTCCCTCTCTGTAGCTCAAGTATTGCGCGTGAATCAAATAGCTTTAAGAACGATCGCGTGTTTAAGGTTTCCGGTGACAAAGCGCCGTCGAAGGTTTAGGGCTTTTATATAAAATCGAGGAAGTCGGTGACGATTGTTGGTCGCGCGAAATAGCAGAGAGAGAGAGAGCCAGAAATTTGGCTACGTAGGGTTTTAGTTTGATTAATTGGGCCTAGAATGAGCCAGTAACTCAATCTTTGGGCTCAATAGACATATTTCGAAAGGCCTATTTATTTGGTTATATCATTTCCTTGTAACCTTTTGGAAACCTTGTTAGTGAGATTGGTCTCTTATCCTATCTAGGTTCAAACACTACTGTAGATCACTTGCAAGCCTGAAGCAAGCAGAGATTACTAAGGAATTAAGCTTTTATCCAGTTTAAAGATGTTAAAACTCTGATTGTATTCGACCAAAAATAAATAAAAACACTCTTGATTGTATTCAAAAGAAGAAGCAGATAAGCTTATATTACAAGCAATGTTTTGAGACTTTTTAGGCTAGAAAAAAAGAGTGAAGCTTAGTGAGATGCTTTGTTCTTCTTGGAGATATCTTCGAGCAACAATCTTGTTTCAGCAGCAAAATCAAGAGGAGCTACTCCTTTCACAGTTACCCTCTGCCTCTTCTCACCGTTATACTCATTCTGTGTGACACTAACCCTGAAGACATGAGACGACCAGGTTGCTTCTTTCAGCTTTGTCTGAAACTCGTTCACTTCCCCTCCCTCTGATCTTAGTTTGTTGAGCTCATCAGCTGAGCATCCAATGATCTTCTCAGCTTCATCGTTGAATGAGGACAACCAAGTTTCTCCTGTTGAGTCAGAGACTTTCACCACCATTATGTACCTGGAAACACACAAAGCAGACCGAAACTAAGTTGTCTGAAAAGAATGAAGAAAATCTCCTCCTACCAAGTTTTGATCTATGAATCTGAGTTTCTAACCTTAAGCTGCATTCTTCATCTTTCTTCTGGCAACCTTCACACCAGTAACCAGAGTCCATAGCTTCAGTCACTTTCTTGTTGCAAGTCTTGCAAGCTTGGTACCACATTGTCTGGTCTGGTTTGATGAAGCTTATGTAACCCCTAGTGCTAAAAAACACAGGCTGCAACACAAATTCAAGTTCTTAGTAAATTGATAACTATCTACATACTTGAGCATTATAGTCCAGGACTGGAGATTGAAGTGTTTTAGTACCTTGTCCTCGCCTAGAGACGGGTTGCTTGTGATGTGAGAGAGAAAGACTCGGTCGGTATACATAGACCGAGATCCATTTTTGGCTAACGGGCTCATCATTGAGCCAATGGAAGACATGGATGTAACCTTGCCTTCAGAATCATACCAAGATTTCAACTTTTTAGCTTCAGGTGATTCAGGATTTATCATCACATTGCTTCTGCTGATGGTGGACAAAGAAACACCTGGAGAGATTGGCTTAAAATCAGCAAACAGGTTTAAAGAACAAGTGACTTCAACATATATATTTCAATCAGACCAGCCAAGATTACCTTGAAAGTCTCCAACTTTGAGAGACTTGATTGCAATCACAGGCGACATATCAGCCATGTCTAGCAGTTCTTGACCAATTCCGGTAGCCAAGTCGTTCCACAGGGACACCACAACAGTCTTGTTAGACTCATCAGCCAAAGTTATATCCCTCTTGGGGATCATCTCATTGTCTGTTCTCCTTCTGATACTCATGGTAGGAGAAACGCTTTGAACAACTCCGATAAGATCTGTTAAAAACAACATAACATTCGAGTCATTATCATCAAAAACCAACCTTGAAGATGAATATTCAATGAGAAAGCAGTTCTTACCAATAAGCTCCTTCTGATTCACATACATTCCCAACTCTTCAATGGGTACAAAGTTGAATTTCGTCTCAGGGATGAACATTTCCTCGCTACCAGCTTCCTCCACCTCTGAGTTCTCATTCAGAGTCATCTCATAATCGTTCTGAACCGTCTTGAACTGCTTGTTAGCAAGTTTAAGTGACCCTCTTGATATATAATACACCTTTCCCAAATGGAATATATCGAAAAACTTCCGTGCAGCATCATTGAACATGGTGGCTTGAATTTGTGTCCCCTAGATTAAACCCACAAATAAACAATATGAGTAACCGTATAAAAGTCTATTACCAAGTTTGATATATCATGGAAAAGTGAGAGTTTTTTCTTACTTCTTCATCTGTTAGTTCCACATTGAAGACACATCCTTCGCCTTTAGCGTTTCTGTAGTTTCTCATGAGTCCTTTGTTAGTGACTCGGACTTTGATGGTCCAGTTTCCTTGGTAGGGGTTCAAGGAGACGAGTGGATGGACCCTTCTGGTCATGGCCATTCTTGCAGCTGGCGCAGCACTGTAAAAACCCAAATGGAGGATTAAGCAAAGAAAGACTCATAATTTTTTGACGGAGAAGAGACAAAAAAGAGATTTAGCTTACTTTCCCCTTTGTTCATTGATTATCTGAGAAGCTGACTTGGAAACAAACTCCTGCTTTGGTTTCAAAGTGATACCAGTTGAAACATTCGTTTTTGCATCGTTCACAGGAGAGTGATCTAGTTTCTGCTTCTTCGGCTCACTAGCTTCCTCCTCCCTCTGACTCCCCAAGTTAATCTCGGAATCAAGCGCAGAAGCAACAGCCTCACATTTAGTCACAAGGAAATATCTGCAGGGCAATAAGGGGAAATTATATGTTAGCAAGTGTTGATTTCAGGAATCGAAGAAAAAAAGAGTGATCATTCATGTGAAGAAGCAAAAAGGAGATTCTCACTTTGTTGATTTGGTTGAAATGTCGTTAACAGTGAAATCCTGGAGACGAATTAAACCCAGATTCTGGATATTCCCAGAAATGATTTCAGGTGTCAGTGACGGTGTAAAGATCGCTTGGACTTTCATCTTTCCGTCGTTTGCATCAAATCTGCAACCCAAAAATCACAACATGTTATCAATCCAATCAACGAAGAGCACAATGAACCAGATCCATCAGAATGAATCCAATCACAACAAGTACAATATCAGATCGGTAAACAAAACTCGAAACTGGTGAATAAAAAACCAACTCCAATAAGAGAAAAAAAAACCCAGATCTCTATGAAGGAGTCACACGTAACTGTAAATCTATACTTCCGATATGAGACGAAATTGATTACTGACACTAATATAGAGGGAGATGACGGATATAAAATAAAACCCAGATGAAGAAACTTACTTATATCGATTTCCGATAGGCCTAAGATCCACAACTTGAACGACGATCTCGGGTCGATCGGAGGAGGACGAATCGAATGATGGGTTGGACAAGACGGCGGAGATAGCATCTGGGGTCACCGAAGGCTGCATTTTTCTCTCTGTCTCTGAATTGAAACGCTCGATTTCTCCTCAATCGAAAATGGAAAACGAAAAGGCTTGTGTGTGTGTGAGTGAGATTGTATCAGCTGAGAGAAGAGACGAAGGGTTTTGTAAAGGGGAGAGTTGGGCGGGAGGTATTAAATTCGATTAATTAGTCTCCCGCGGATCTTTCTCACCCAAAATAAAAACTGTACCGCTTCTTCTGATTTTATTTTTCCTTCTTTTGGCGCCTCATTCGAAACCTTTCGATAGAAACAGATGGTTTTAGACGGACATAAATATTTTATTTCAGGAAATATCAAGCACAAGGAAAGAAAGAAAATAAAATTAATATATAAAGGCCTGCTGTTTCTAATTCGGCCCATTAAGAAAATATATAGAGTATTGACTTGGAGAAATCTGCTGAGGTCGTCCGATGAGCTGTCGTCTACTCGTTTGAGCAATGCACTTATAATCGGACGGTTGAGATCAGTACATGCATCATCCCCTTTCTTCCGTTATGAGCCAGTCAAACTCTTAAGTATTGACTGATCCCCGAGAAAAAGGAGCATTTTTGTTGTACCCTTATATTTTCATAAAACTTAAGCATTTACCCCTAATGTTTACATTTGATCTTAAAAACCCATGAAACAGTTAAAAATTGTTGGTAACGCCGTAACGGAAACCGATTGGAGACATCTGTAAGTAACTAAACGAAAAATGTGTGATATCAGTTCATAATAGGAGAATGTGTATATGATTATTTCGAAGTTCTTTTAACTTTTATTTGTATCCCCAAACTTCAGTTAATTGACATATCGTCCTCTGTGATCGTCCATGTCGGGAAGTCAATGGCCGAATCAATCTCAAAGAGATCCTGTGGCGGCCATAAATCAGCAAAGACAGAATAAACAAAAAATTTATCATTTTCCTCAACCTCTCGCCATCTTACGAAATTACGCGTAGGTTCGCTTTCGCTTGAATACTAATTCCAATTTTTAACTTTCTTTTTAAGAAAGTTGCTCACACAAACAAACTTTTCCCTTTTTGCTTCCTCTTCCCCATAATCTCACCTCCTTCTCTTGCTCTTGCTTCAGTAATTTGTTCTTTGATGCTGTAGAATTCCAAAATTTGAAGTCTTTTCCTGGTTTTTTTTGTCTTCTCACTTGGATTAAGCTCGTTTCACGGTACGTCACTCTGTTCGATCACCAAAGTTGTATGATTATTAATGTTACTGTGGAATCAATGAACATATAAGTTTCAAATCTCTTTCTGAATTTCACCAAAGACATAGTTTTTCTGAACAGGAAGCTTTGATTCAAATCTCTTTCTGAATTTCCCCAATTTTTTCTCCTTTTTTGCAGAAGTAAGAAAGGGTTTTTGGAAAGCTGTTGACTTGACTTTTTCTTTGGGCTCTGTTTCTTCATAGAGAGAGTATGGTCTTGTGAGGAGGAAAAAAAATGTTGGATCCAAAGAGGGTTTCACTGATCTTTTACAACTGGATTAAGCTTAACAAGTAATGATTTTTACCATGTTCATGTGGGGATTCCTCTTCCTCTCCGTTTACTTCATTCCGGGTATTGTCCATGAGAAATGACTTCAATTTTTCCAAGTCTAGTTCTCAGGATCAAGCTTATCTAGTAATCACTTTATTCAACAGATCTTAGTTTATCAGAAAACTTCTCCAGTCTTGTGCCGTTTCTATTTTAGTTTGTCTAGTCAAATTCAGGTTGAGTGTAGGCTTCTAGTCTTTGGGTTTAGGTATGGCAGAGTTTGAATCAAAGCTTCCTCTTGAGAAAAACCATGTCTTTGAGGCATGTCACCATGTTGTTAAGGCACTGAGGGCATCTGATAACAACCTCGATGCCAACTTGAGAAAGCTCCTAAGTGACCTAGAGTCGCATCTGTCAACATTTGTTATGGTTGATGATACCGAAGTTGAAGAAGACGCAGGGTTCTCTGAGATCAAGGAGAGATTCAAAGAAGCTGAGAAGAGAATCCTTGCTTGGGAACAAAACCAATCAACAATATTGGAAGCTGGTCTCTCTGAAGCTGATCACTTCTTTCAAGCCCTGTATGAAGTTCACACAGTTCTTATGGGCTTCAGCGTCAAAGCTAACCAGAAGGAGAAAGATGTTTACAACCAAGCTACGGTTGCTCTTGACATTGCCATGCTGAGGCTTGAGAAAGAGCTCTGTGATGTTCTGTGTCAGCACAAACAGAATGTAAATCTTGAAACTTTGGCTGTTAGTTCCCGTGGGAAGGAGGTTGTGTACAACGACGAGTCTTTCGTCTCTCTAGATGATGAAGTTGTTGTTGTTGCTGAAGCTTCTTCACACGAAGATGACGCGGATTTGGTTGATCCTCTCGTTGTCCCTCACGTCAAAGCTATTGCAAACGCAATGTTTGCTTGCGGCTATGGACAAGCGTTCTCTGGAGCTTTCATCAGCGTTCGAAGAGAAGCTCTGGAGGAGTATATGTTCTTCACTCTCGAAATGGAAAGACTCAGCTGCGTCGATGTCCTTCAAATGGAATGGGAGGATCTGAACGGCAAGATGAGGAAATGGACAAAGGTGTTGAAGATCATCACTCGGATCTATCTCCCAAGTGAGAAACATCTCTGTGAACAGATCTTGGGAGAGTTTGACTCAGTTTCCACTTCTTGCTTCGTTGACATCTCAAAAGACACAGTCCTGTCTCTCCTCAACTTCGGTGAAGCTGTAGCGATGAGACCTTCCCAGCCAGAGATGCTTGAGCGCTTCTTAAGCATGTATGAAGCCACAGCAGAGATTCTCTTGGATGTTGACAACCTCTTCCCTGACGAAACAGGCTCGTTTCTAAGAGTGGCGTTCCACGAGCTGTCGAGGAAGCTAGCTGACTGTACAACCGCGACGTTCTTGAAGTTCAAAGACGCAATAGCTTCGAATGAGTCCACACGAGCTTTCCCTGGAGGCGGGATTCATCATTTGACAAGGTATGTAATGAACTACTTGAAGCTTCTCCCGGAGTACAAAGATGCTCTAAACTCACTTCTTGAGAACTTAGAAGTTGAGGACTCAATCACTGAGATAACCGGACAAGACATCCTCCCTTCCACATTCTCTCCAATGGCGAGACATCTCAGGTCAATCGTTTCAACTCTGGAGTCAAGCCTCGACAGAAAAGCTCAGCTTTACGCTGACGTGTCACTCAAGTTCATCTTCTTGATGAACAACTTTCACTACATGGTGCAGAAGGTGAAAGGATCAGAGCTGAGACACTTCTTCGGAGACGAATGGATCAGAAAACACATCGCAAGGTACCAACGGAATGTCACGAACTACGAGAGGTCCACTTGGAGCTCTGTTCTCTCTTTGATCAAAGACAGCAATGACTCTGTAGATATCCTGAGACAAAGATGCAGACTTTTCGGTCTTGCCTTCGATGATGTTTACAAGAACCAAACCCGTTGGTCGGTTCCTGATCCTGAGCTTCGTGATGATCTTCACATATCGACCTCGGTCAAAGTTGTTCAGTCTTACAGAGGGTTTCTTGGAAGAAATGCGGTTCGTATAGGCGAGAAACATATCAGGTACACTTGTGAGGATATTGAGAATTTGCTTCTTGATCTCTTTGAGTGTTTGCCATCTCCGAGATCATTGCTCAGCTCTCGTAGGAGATGATGATGATTTTATGACTCTCTTTGTTCTTTTGTATCTTTTTTTCGTTTTTGTTTTATGCAGTGATTTGTGATTCATGCAAATAAAAGGGTGTATAATTCACTCCATTGTTGTTGTTGTTGCTCTGTAATTTCATTTCCACAAATCATTTAATTAATAGATTTTTTGTTCGTTTAAAAACCCAGCTACTGGGCTGTCACGGAAAACAAATGACGACCCAATGAAAGCCTTGCATGTGAGATATATTATATTTTAGCTTTATATCACTTAAATTTGGACGGTTACGATTTACTTAGATTGTTTACAACTTTCGCTACATAAACCCTTCATCGAACAAGTAGGGTTTTAACAGAGCTGAGATTCACAGAGCAAGGAAGTGTAGAGGTACTTACTCGTCACTGTCAATTCTTTCTCATAAACCCTAAAAGTTGTCAGCTTCGATTCTCTTTAGCTGTTTTATAAGTTCTCTCGTCTCGGATTTTGAGTGATCTTGGGCTATTGGTTGTCATTTCATTGGATTTCATTTTCATGGGTTTTGGTCCCGATGTTTGCTTTTTGATTTGTTATTTCCGACATAAGCTGATTTTTGTGTTCGGTTTTCTTTCACTGTTTGGTTCCTGCAAAGTCATAGATTTAAAAGGCTTTGATTGTCGTTTTTCAAAAACACTGTTTTTAAGGGGGCAGATAATGAAATTGGTCTGTTTCTCGACTGATAATCAAATGATTTGTCTTTTAGTTTACATTAATGCTATGCCTAATTACGATTAATTTGCTTTTCCATTTCAGATATCAAAACGGCGATGGCTTTTCTTGGTAAATTCGGAAACATATTGAAGCAGACAACGAGCAAGCAGTTCAATGCTCAGGGCTCACTATCAAGCCCTTCGCTTTTTCAGGCGATAAGATGCATGTCATCCTCTAAGCTCTTTATTGGAGGTGAGTCTAGCCTTAGAAAATCTATCGAATTGAAGAAATGTCCATTTGTTTTGCTATGTTCTTACTAACTCTACGAATTTTCGCTGTTGTTGCAAGGTATGGAATATGGCATGAATGAGGATAGCTTAAGAGAAGCTTTCAGCAAATACGGTGAAGTCGTTGAAAGTAAATAACTGATCTATTTACTATTCTTGTATAGATGAACACATAAACACTTGTTTCTTGAGTGTAGTTTGTTTGCTTACCTTTTGCTAACCCAAGCCTCTGTATTTTTTATACAGCTAGGGTTATTTTGGATCGTGAAACTGGTAGGTCGAGGGGATTTGGATTTGTTACATTCACTTCCACAGAGGCGGCTTCTAGTGCTATTCAGGCTTTGGATGGTCAGGTAATTTCCATTGCTGGTCTATATGAGTCTTCTAATGAGTAATTAATGCTTGTGAGCTTCCAGGTGTCTTGTTTGGTTTAACTTATCTTCACAGCATTCTCTATCTTTTTCTCTTAGAACCATTTTGTTTTGAACTAAGAATGTCTGATCCAATGCCTTAATCATCCCTCAGGATCTCCATGGCCGGATTGTTAAAGTGAATTATGCACACGACAGAACAAGTGGCGGTGGTTTTGGAGGTGGTGGCTATGGAGGAGGTGGTGGTGGCTATGGAGGCGGTGGAGGTGGCTATGGAGGTGGTGGTGGAGGTTACGGTGGTGGTGGCTATGGAGGCAATCCTGGTGGTTATGGAGGCAATTCTGGTGGCTATGGAGGTGGTGCTGGTGGCTATGGAGGCGGTGGTGCTGGTGGCTATGGAGGTGATGCTACTGGTGGCCAGGGAGGTGGTGCTGGATATGGTGGAAGCGGTGGCTATGGATCTAGCGGCAACAGTTATGGTGATGGTTCAAGTGCCAGTGCAGGTGCTGTTGGTGGCTATAATGGAAGTAGTGGTTATGCAAGTGGCAATACTTACGGTAGCAGCAACGGTGGATTCGCTGGAGACAACCAGTTTGGAGGAAACCCTGTTGGTGGCAACAGCTCTCAGTTTGGTGGTGACAACACTCAGTCTGGTGTTGGTGGCCAATTTGGCGGCGAGCCTCAGTTTGGAAACGTGGAGAACACTGAGACGAAGATGGAGACTGGACCAGTGGATGGAGATTTTGAAGATGATGTTGCTAAAAGAGCTTGAAGCAACTAGCAAATAATGTTGTCAAGACTCTGTCTTTTCATTATTTTCTTATGATTAGTAGTAGCTATTCTAATAGCTTTCCATTAATGAAACGTTTTTATCTAGAAACCTTATGCTTTTGCTATCTTGAAAATAATTTGTAGCTTGAGATTGAGAATGTTTCTTAAGGTATACATTGAATTTGAACTCAAAAAAATGAGCTTTGTTTCAGCTTTGCTTGTGGTCTGATATGAGAAAATTTCATTTGTTTCTGAATATACTACACTAACCAGAAAAAAAACTCTAATGTAGCCTAATTTTAAAGATTCTGCTCTGTTTCTTCCATGAGAAACAGCATTTTCTGAGCATTCAACACAACAGGAGAACCTTGTTTCGTTTTCTCAACAATCTGCTTTATCAGCTGCTTCTCCATTTCACTCTCAAAGTCACTGCTTCCTTCTTCTTCGTCTTCTTCTTCCAAACCAATAAAGTCTAGCAGTTCCTGCTCCTGCAACATGGAATCATCCTTATGATGGCTCCAAGGTGAGCTCTTGTTTGTTGAAGAGAAATCTTCCTGATGAAGCCCGCTCTCTCGCATATCCACCGGTGAATCATCATCATCATCTTCAGAGTCGTCATTTATCTTCATCAACTCGTCGTAAGAGTCATTGAATGCATCAAGTGCTTCCCCTGTCAAGTTCATCACCAGAGGTTGAATCTCAGCAAGATTATTAGACTTGGTCTGCTCTATCACAACTGGAACTTTCGAGTCACTCTTATATGTCATCACTTCAGGAGTTTCCCACAACCTCGACCATGAAGTCTTTTTGCTCTCTGACTCCGTGACCAGCTTCTCCACCTTCTTCTGGCTCTCTTGCAGTGCAGTCTCGAGCTCTGTAATCCGTTTCTCAAGACGTGAATTGATAACTTCATGCAACCTCAGGCTCAATTCACGTGGAGAGACAGCATAGTTTCCTGGCTCAGGTGTGGCGTTACCACTTGGATCATGGTTGGACTCAGTTTCATCTAGACGCTTCCCTCTAACCAGATCAGTTCTCAGCTCACCCTGTGCAAATTCCACCTCCAAGTCCGGCTCCATCTGCAAAAAGTAGCACTCACAAACTGAAAACTTTGAGCATAGGCAAGGCAAAGCAAAGGGCATAGCTAACAATGTAGATAGATATGCACCTCGATGATATCAATGTTGGAGGAGTTCATGTTGATTTCTAGCCTTTCAAGTTCAGCTTCAAGCTCTGCCTCAATATTACTTATAGACTCTGAATTCTCAGCTGCCTTTTCTGTATCTACCTCCTGCACTACCAACGAGTCTTTCATCTCAAGCTCATTCTCTGCTTGCTTCAGTTCTTGTTTGACTTTGCTCACTTCGGCTTGGCTTGCCATGTACGAGGACATTATCCCAATCGAGATCCCGATTTGCAGCAACACCGTTGCATCACCATGTTCTCTTCTCTTGGTCTTCTCAGTTCCCACTCCTCTCTCAACCAAAGACTCTAACCCTGAGATTCTGCAACTAAGTGCAGCCTTATCTTCACTGAGGATACTATGTTGGTTTAGCCACAAAGAATCTGCATTGCTCTTGCTAATGACTCGAGAGCCATCAGTCACGAGCAACGGCCTTGAAACTGGCGATGGAAATGGGCTTGTCATGTAATCTTCCATTGTCATTTGCTCTCCATGGAACCGAGACATCAAGCAGCTTTCAAGCGAACTCAAAGGTTTCGTTAACCGCCTGTACCGCTGGTTTCTCCTGATGAATCTTCTCTGCCTAAATGAAGTATTCACCTCTGTGTCACCTCCAAGAGCACCATATTCAGTCTCAGGCATTAAACCAAACAAAGAATCTGAATGATTATCCAAATTCTCTCCACTGGTAGATGGTGGTGCATCCACTAGATATGCATCCGGATTTTCCTCATCTGCAAACTTGTTTTCATTCTTCGTCTTGACTCTTGCAAATCTGCTAAGCAGGCATCTAGGAGGAGATTCTTCAGGCTTCACATCTTCAGAAGAGGATTCGAGAATGTTGTCTTTGCCTTTCGTTACATTCTGCAATTGCTTAGCTATATATCCAGTAGCAGCAGTCGCTGCGATTAGCCATATATCCATTTCTTCCTCTCCTGTCCTCAATAATCAGAGAGCAACCCAAAATTCAACAGTTGAATCTCTCCTTCTTCGTTCCGATTCACAGTGCTATAGACGACCTCTTCCATAAAACACTAATCCGATGAACAAAATCTAGTTTCAAATCGAAAGCTCGGGACTTTACAGTAGAGTGCAGAGAACAATCAACCCCTATTATATTAAGAAGAGTTAACGACAGCTTCTGGCACAAATTCACAAACGAATTGATAACACAAGCAACCTCAATTCGAGACTAAGAAAAAGCTTCGATTTTTGAGCAATACCCAGCTGGGAAAACCCAGAAAAAGCTTCGATTTTTCCGCCAGAGAGAAGCTGATGAGCAATAACAACGTGTACCCTTTTGGTTGAAAAGTAGGCGAAAATTTCAAGGAACGAAATGAGAAGAATAAGAGAGACTTTGCTTGTGTAGCTTCAAGAAATGATCAATTAACCAATGGAGAAGGTGAAGGTCTAAGAGATGGAAGGATAAAGACAATCGGAAACGGTGGAGGATCTTTGTCGGAAGTTGGTTCAATGGAACGAACGGCTCTGTATTTTATTTTATTATCTTCTTCGTTTACAAAAACGACGATACGGCAAGTTAGTCAGAAAACTGTAAGGTTATTAAAATTCGAACTAATATCGTATCAGTTATCAAATCAGATAAAATAAAATTGATTTCCTTAATTAAAAGGTTGCCGACGAAAATAAAAAAGTTAATTTGTTGAATAACCAACCTCTGTAAAGAAATGGGAAAATTATTTGTGCTATAAAATCTACTAAACAAGTAAAAAATACAAACTATTCTGATTTTTTCCCACTTTTGCCAAAACCATCCTCACTTAACATTTCCATATTCCATAGACATTTTTCCTCTTGCTTAATTTTGTCATTCAGGTTTTGATATACATTTTGGAGGTAAACAGTGAGTTTTAAATTTACTTACTATAGCGACTTAATAAAAGTTTAGCATGTGACAAAATTAATTTTAACGAGTTTTCAAAACCTAAGGCTCATTAAACAACCCATTTAACTTATTATGGGCCTACTTAAAGCCTTTTTCAAAACCTACAATCTCACTCATTGTTTCCTCTATATATGCCTATATGGCAAGTGAATCCTCTCGCTCACTTTCATTTACACACTCATTAGTAAAGCAGAGAAAAACAAAACACCGTCGTTTCAAAATGATGAGCAAAGCAGCAGGCAGCTCCGGCGATAAGAGTGGCACCGGAGGATATTCCGATCGTGACTGGCCAAAGAACTTTCCACCGATCCGTACGTCTTCCTTCCTTCCTTCTTCTTCTTCCTTCACATTTGTTTTTACTTCCTTAAATCTCTCTCCTTTTTAGTGACTGATCTCTCCTTTTGTTTGGTGTTCTTCGTATGTGTAGCGAGGAACCGTTTCCAGAAAACGGGAAGCCAGGCGCCGTACGAGACGATAGACACGAAGGACGCTTGCGTGATGAGGGTGGACATGCCAGGCTGTCCCATGTCGGAGCTCGTCTACTATGTCGAAGGAAACAACGTCCATTTCTTCGCCGACGAACCTTCCTCCGACGAAAACAACCACGAGGGTCGCAAGTACGGAGGAACGGCGATTTTCGATCCGAGGGGATACAACGTGAAGGAGACAAAGGCGAAGCTCCGCAATGGCGTGCTCTGGATCACCATCCCTAAGAAGATTCCCGGCAAGAACGCCAAGGTCAGTGTCACAGAGCTGATGTTTAATGCGAAGATCACTAGAGAAGACGTTGTTTGATGATCGAGTCGGTTTCCCGTACGATCGAGTCTCTTTTGTCTTTTTATCCGTCGAGAGTCTCTCTTTGACGTGTAATAATGGTGTGGCGTCTAGGGTTTATGGTTGGTCTTCTCTGTGACCTTTCTCTTTTCTTTCCTAGTTTATCTTTTAATGGTGTTTATGACTGTCTGCTTTGTTGCGGAACCATGGTTTATGTTTATCTTTAATGGTGGACTACTTTCATTTATGCTTTTTAATTTCTTCTGATGATATCGTATGATTATTGTTATCAAAACGTTTCTTTGAGCCTACGTACAGTACTACATAGATTTCTCGTTATAAATTAGATTTTTTTTAAAAAAAGAATTAAACTTTGAATTTTGAAATGTATATCCTTCAAAACCTGACTAATAATGGAAAATGAAATCTGAACTTTTTCAAAACATGAAAATCTCAATAAAACATGAAATAACTATTTTACAATCGGACGGTTGAAAAACACTCTGAATTTGTTTTGTTGTCTTTGTCGTTATGTTAAAGTCATGCAAAGAGAGAAGCAAAGTAGAAAATTTGACAGCTTTTTTACCGTAGATGACCGCTGACGTCACCATTAATTTAATGTATCCCTGTAAAATTTGGAAAATGCTAAAAGACAGAGAAGAGAGGTCACATTTAATGTTCTTTTTTTTTTCTTTGGTCGTATTATTAGGCGGTTATGTACCCAAAAATAAACCCATGAAATATAAACTTTTTGTCGCATGCATGTGAAAAGATGGTTTTAGGAGGACAGCTCATATTATGATTTTGTATTACTGCTGACATCATCGTTCGTACTCTCCGGTTCTTTTTTCGCGGTAACAATTCACAAGGGAAAATAAAAAAAGAGGAAAGTGACATAAAGCAAAACAAAGACCACCAGTCAATTTTTAATTTGGTTTCAATCACTCTTGGGAAAAAAGAAGCTCACGTCACAGGCGGTGTTATTATCAACAGAGGCACAAAGAAGAGCAGTAGAGGCGGCACTACGAAGCTCAGAAGCCGCCACCTAACCGAGGATAAGACCCACACACGACAATTAATAATAAGTTAGTAACAAAGAACCATCGATTTACAAATCCACTTTAATGAATCCATAGTAATAAATCGATATCTATAAATATATATTTCTCATATCATCGATTTATCTGTTTTCATATTGGTCAACATGCAATGCAATATTTGTTTCCCATATTATAATGTCTAACATAACGGCTCATGTCACGCTTTGCATTTCCCGCTTACGTCGCACACATCTCAATGGACTTCTCGTAATCCAAGTTTCAGTTAGGACTCAGCTGTCGTCAAGTAATTTTGGGAGTAGTAAGCATTTGAGTAAACAAATCCATAAATACAGTTCAAGACTAACGAATATTACCAAAATTTTTGGTTTATTTGGTATAAATGATACATGTAGTAAATTCATCACAACATAGCTGTAAAATCTAAAGGAATCGAAAGTTTCTGACTCAAAACATTGTTCTCATTTGCAAACGGAGATTTATGTTGCTTCCTTTCCATGAATCCATCTTCACAATCACTCGGTGCATCCAAAGCAGCGGTCAAATGCACTTTAGCAGAGTCGTAATCACCTGATTTAACGCTCGTCAAAGCTTCGTCTATGGAATCACCAGCCGTGTCGTAAAACTCGACGCAACCGCGTAACAACATCCAGAGCCGTGCGTATAGTGTAATGAAAAAGGCATTAGTCTCAGGCCCCCATTTATAATATATACCTTTGAGTCCCCCAATATCCAAATATCGGTGGTAGTCTAGTGGTTAAAGAAAGTTTAGTGAGCACTCCTTGAATTACTTCCCAAGTTCGAATCCGCCTTCTTACTAAAGGAAAGGTTTACTTATTTATTTTGTAACTGATTATTTTTTAAAATATTGTTACAATTAATGTTATAAATATATGAAAATATATATTTGAAATTTGGCCTTGGGCCCCTACAGGCCTTCGCACGGCACTGACAACATCTCAGCACTGACAACATCTCAATACCGAGTGAAGCTCTCTTGTCCTTGAGAATATTTTCAACGATACCTTTCACGTTGATCATCTTGGACGCAGCGTTCTTAGCGGATGCTATGACCAATCCCTCCAGGCTAGTTGCGGTTTTGCTTTGTGGATCTCCTTCAAGAGACTGGACGCAGAAACCGAGTTTGAGTTCTGGGTCTGTCGCTGCGGCTTTCTTGCAAGAATCTCGAATCAGAGTTTGTGCGGTTGTGAAACCGTTCAAGAAAAGCAAAAACGTAACAAACAAATCGAAGGTTTTCATTTTTTTTTTCTTTCTTTCTTGAAATGAGAGTTGATTGATAAAGAAAATTGTGAGTATGTGATTCAATTTATATAGTGAAATAAAACCAATTGAGTATCATATTCAGTCAAAATACTTATGGTGATTAGAGTTTTATTAGGTTTTTAGATGATTTTGGATGAATTTATGGGATTTGTTAATAAATTCTTTGAAATCTCACCTAAAATCATGGGATTAGATAGTTGTACTTTTAATTGAGAGAATCCTCTTGGTCTAACATAAGCTCAGATGCGGTCGCAGCTAAAACCGTGGTTAAGACAAGAAGAAAGTAAAACAGAAACTGTTTTAATTAAACAAATCTCCCATATATATATTTTTAGCACAACATGTGTCACATTCTGAACCGGAATTCAGTAACCGGTGCCTACAACCAATAAGTCATAACCTTACTAGAACGAGGATAACCAAAACACATACAGAGTTTGCTCCTAAGCAAACTCAACCTACCCTTCTTTCTAAAGCACACACTCAAAAGTCTCAGAAATGTGGTTTTTAATGTTACATGAAGAATAACTCAGAAACCTGAAGCTCCAAAGGGCGGTTTCTGGGTGAAGAATAAGAGAACTAGAGAGGTTTAGATGCAGCAGTGTCTATGTAAGCCTCAGCTTCTGTTTCCGAGAATCTTCCTCCTTCCACAAGGCCCCTTATCAAAGTGTTGGCATAGGATTTTGCAGGTGGTCTTAGAGGGATCTCACCAGATTTGAACTTCTCAACAGCAGAGACCGTGCAGCTGCAAATGCAAAGGTATTCAGAAACTGCAGGAAAAAAAAAATGAAGTAGAAAGAGAAAGAGAGAGAGCATTTGCTTCGACTCACGTCATTGTAAGTATAGGGACGTCGCTTTCTTTCCCCAAGCAGACAACGTTTCCATACCAACCACTCTGTCAAAATGTACATACACAAATCTTAGTGTGAATATTTCATGTTTCTCTGAACACACATCAGTCAATTATTTGTAGTCTGACTAACCGAAGCAGCTTCAAGGGGAATGGATCCTTTGCTCTCTACTAACTGCAGAGCAGCTAGATCGAATAGCGGAGTTTCAGAATCTACATTCAAAGCGTTTTCTTGAGACAGAACATCGTTGAACTGCTCAAGCCTGTTCAAGAAAGAAAAAACAACGATAGCAAGAGTAAGCGGAAAAGATCACAAAATGAATCCTAATATGGAAAGTGAAACAGATACAGAAACTGAGATTAAAAGTGGTAACACTTAACGTGATTCTGTACAAACACATGTGAGTTTGATCATCTGGAGTAGCAAGGGGATTAGTGAAAGCAACTCCTCCTACACCCCAAGTAACTGTAGACTCACGGCCAAAGAATAACCTATTTGGAAATGTTTCCCACACTATTTCCTTTGGTGGACTTTTATCCATCGAACCCACACATGCCTTTCTCATTCCCTCAGCCTTAAAATAAAAAAAATTAGGGTTAATTAAGACTGAAGCTCAAGCTTGACCTGGAAACCAAAACTACAAAATAGGGTTACTTACTTGCCCTCCTTGAATGTAGCAAAGAAACCTCGGTTTCCACATGTTGGATCCATAAGAGGCATACCAAATGTCGACCTTTGCGAGATCAGCTCTCCAAGATGTAGGAGCAGTATCTACTTGGTGGTTCTCGATACTGAGTTTCGACATTTGATCCAGGATCTCATTAGCTTCGTCTTCAGTTTCAGAATCAGAGCTTGAGATAAGGATACTCTGGAATGAACAAACAAAAACAATTATGTGATAAGAAATTCAGGGAGTTTCTAGATAAAAGAAGATAGGGAAGAGGCAAATATGTCAAGAAATAGTTGGTAAGAGGAAAACAAGTGAGATTTTTCGAAAATTATGGCAAGGAAACGCTCTCTGATGACCAATGAAAATGGAACTGGAAGACAAAAGGAAATGTTCTTAACTGGAGTAGGTGTTTTCTGATCAATCAGCTTCCACGATAATTCATCTGCAAGTGAAGGCCAATATGCGGATAGCCTCTTGCGTACCTAAACCCACAGAAACAGATGAGCTCTGTCAACTAGTAACATAGGCGCTATAGAACATTTGATTGTGAAATGTGAAAGTTAGAAGATAGGTTGATATAGAGCCATACCGCTTGTATGACACGCCATGAAGACTCAAATGGATATGCTTCAGAAGAACCTTGAATTGCTTTGTCTTCAAGCAAAGTTTGGACGCAAGCGAGAGAAGATTTTGCAATTGAGTCAAGGTTGTAACCTCCCTCTAACGCCATCGCAATCTTTCCTTGTGCAAAATCCATCAGCTGAGAGAAGAGAACATTGGTCAAACATATTAAATGAGGTCAAATCCAGGTGTAGATTATGTAGCTAAACGAAGCAGTAGTTCACTTTAACACCAACCTTCTTTAACATGACAGAATATCCATATGGTGTGACTCGACAACCCCCAAGCGGATCACGAATAGCTGTTCAGAAGAAATTGAAAAGATTACATAACTCTGCATGTGACATATCTTTGAAAAAAAAAATGCTTGAACCATATTTACCTGCATCAAAACCAGCTGACAACAAAATAATATCCGGATTAAATTCCTTCGCCACAGGAATCAAGATATGGTCCCATGCAGCAAGATAATCTGCATCTCCACATCTTCCATGCTCCCATGGAACGTTTATGTTGAAACCTTCACCTGTACCTTCCCCAACCATGCTATAGTATCCATCATCACCAGCTGGATAGAAACCTCCATACTCGTGCCTAGCCACAAAAATGCATTTTCGAGTCACTTTCCAAGCATCAAAACAGAAGTAAACAGAGGTCACAGATACATACCTATGAACAGAGAAAAATAGTACACGAGGATCTTTCCAGAACATCTTCTGTGTACCATTTCCATGATGAACATCCCAATCAACGATCAGAATTTTCTTGATACCTAGATCCGGCTGCATTTAAGAGAACCAAACGAATTAAGGAACAGACACACCAAAGGAATGTGACAAAAAAAATTGAAAGTCAAAAGAAGTACTTACTCTTTCGTTTAGTAAATAACTAGCAGCAACTGCTACATTGTTGAATAAACAAAATCCCATGGCTTCATCTGCCTCAGCATGGTGCCCTGGAGGCCTGACAATAGCAAAGCCACTATCTAACTCTCCTTCTGCAACTTTCTCTGCCACCTGTTAAGTTTGCAAATTTTTAGTTATCGCCACCGTTCTCTATCCTAATATGTGAAAGAGACAAGTGCATCTAGTAATTACCTCTACAACAGATCCAGCTGCAAGATATGCGGCTTCAGATGAGCCTCCGTTAAGGTATATTGAATTTAACTGTGAAGCAATCCTGTTTCTCCGATAATCTTTCTGCTTTGTGCTTAAACTCTTGACTAACTTAACATGGTCCTTTGTGTGAACCAATTGGAGATGCTTATCTTCTGCTTTGCTACCACCAAGAACCACACACCTGCAAAAGGAAAGACCAAATTTGACCGTTCATTGAATGCCATTACAGCAGAATCCAACAACCAATCTTGATGGATACGCTCATGAAAGACTAGATTCTACCTTCCTAACACTAAATGGGATGTCACATTACTACTCTACATGACAGTCTTATAAATGAAATCAAATAAAAATGGGGGGAAAAAACAAATAAATCCAAAGACTTCACACAAGACAAGACACACTAACACCTATACAGACCAAAATTGAGCAGCAAACGAATCTTCCGATTATGTGTAATAAACAATTCAGATTCATAATCTTTTAATGTCGTCATGCCAAACAAGGACAACAAATTGAGACCCTTGCGCAGCTAAGAGGACCGGAAAGCCCAATTTCACTAAATTTCAGCAACAATCTCTCAATTTTCTAGGGCTAATTGTCGCCAGAGAAACAACACATCCGCAAAATAAGAGTAAAGTATGAACCTTTGAGAGACGCCGGCGAGCTGAAGCTTATCCCAGATAACTCTGATGCGATCGGGACACTCTGGGTGATCCTCGCCGTTAGGTGTGTCGTGTTTGCACATGGTCTCGTCGTAAACAAGACCCACCTTTCGTTGGATTTTCCCGCCGACTTTACCATCACAGTCTCCGTAATTGTTTCCGGAGGATTCTCCGGTCGTTGCCATCTTCCGGGAGAGTAGGTGAAAGGTCAACGAGAAGCAAAAAGCCAAAAACAAATCGTTAAGTCTAAAGTCTAAACTCTCTCAACTCTGAAGCTTCAAAGTATTTTACTTTTCGATTTTTTATTTATTTTGTGTCCATTCATTTTTTTTTTTTATCTTTTTGTGGTTTGACCATTTTGGAGATTCTTTGGAGGGAAATTGGGAAATTTCGTCTCTCAACCAATCACATTCTGACACGTCAAATTTTACATTAAAATTAATTTACAAAGTTACTCCGATTGAACCAGAGATAAAACTAAACCATCAATGTTTTTGCAATTTATCGATCTTTTTGAATGATCAAGTACTGTATACAGAGTTAGTGTGAAAATTGTAGTTGAGAATCTTGAGATAGTGTTTAAACTAAAACTGAAAAAGATGCAATACTGAATCTGGAGGGAAACTCTACAGTCATTATTCTCTCGTTACTTGACAAGTAAACATTGTTTGGTTGCAAAATCACAAACTCCACTGTACTTGAGACTCAAAAGATCTCTTCTTCTTCTTCTTACAAAATCCTCAAAAGCTCAAAATACTAAATCAAGATATGTACCTCAAAATACTAAATCGAGATATGTACCTCTAACTAAGCTGCTTACTGTGACTGTACCTCTTACTTAAGCTGAAGGAAGCTTATCTAGCTCTAAGACGGTCTTTCTCAAGAAGATCCAGAAGACCTCGAGGTGGGTATTCGAAGAAAACTAATCCTTGAGGCTGTCCTTCTACTCTGCTTGCTAACCATTCTGCACAAGAGTTCTCTTCTTCAGAGATGTGGTGAATGTCACAGTCCCACTCTCTCAAGACCATGTCCTTGCAACATCCCAGGATCGACTTTCTCTTATGAAACAGGACTGATTCTGTTGTTAGTGCATCAATGATCTCACGGCTTGTTGTCTCCAGCTGGATTCTTCGGTAACCACTGTCCCAGAGATATTTAAGGCCATGGTAAACAGCCAGAAGCCCAGCTGTCACTTCAGTGAGGCTCTTATGACACCTGATGTAGCCAAACAACCACTGCCCTGACTCGTTACGCACTAATCCAGCGGATCCGGTTAGATTGGAGTCAGGGTTTGATGTTCCTTGTATATTAAGTTTCACCAAGGGTAGTGGTGTCCATATCTTCTCAAAACCAGGAGGCAAGGGGAGGTCATTGCTTTTCTTCACTGGAGATGTTGAGAGGTTGCTTTGTGATTCTGCAATCATCTTCAGAGCCAGGCTCGGGGTCAGGGATTCAGTGTCTAAGTCCATGTCAACACAATCTCCATCATCAAGATCCATATCAGTTTGATGACAAGTTCCTGGAACAAGTGCTTGCAAGTCTCTGTCATGAAGAAAAAAACCCCAAAGAAAGTTTTCTGTTTTGTATTGCTTATTGATGAAAACTGCAAACACAAAAAAAAAAAACGGATGTCATTGTTAAAGCCACTGAGAACTTATATGGAGAAACAAAAGAATCTGCAAGAAATACAGTAAGCATACACTGAGAGATCCTGTCCAATAATTTCGAGGAGAATATCAACAACTCTGCGCCGTTTATGTTAGCTTTGATCATGGCATTGCGAGTGGCCATAGCCTCAAACAGATGATCATGTTCCCCTTTAAACCTGAAAGAATGAGTGTGCAAACCATGACAGGATAAGTTTTCTGATACAAGTGATATAAGAAGCTTGTCCTTCGTAGAAAAGAGCTTTTGAGTACCTTTCTGTTGTCTTCTCATCTGGGAAAAAGTACACTTCCACATCCGATGGCCTTGGGCTTCTGTCAAACACAGCATTCAAAATACGGCCAGTAGGAAGCAACTCTACATTGAGTAACGTAGGCATCGCCTTTGAAAGTTTGTGTGCCTTCTTGATGATATTGGATGCAGGTTTAGCCCAAAACTCGCAGTCAAACTCAGGCAGCATGGCAGAATCCACAATGCGTCCCCTGGTACAGATGGTTGAAAGAAAAATTTAATCATGTCCAAGCAAAGAGAAATTGCAGAAGCTAGTAACTTGTCAAGTTCAAAGAATCCTAGTTTTCGAATAAGGTCAAAAGAAAAACACAATATTGGGATCTTATTATAGCTTCTGCATTTGAACATCTTCGGTTTCAACAATGTAGCATATATGCCTAATGTGAAAAAAGATTATAAGTAACTCACTTCCAAGTAGGATGCAGAGCTGGTAGATATTGACGTAACTCCGAAAATCTTTCAACAGAGGCTGATTGACATATCTCGTTGGAACCATGATCTTTAGCTCTATCACCATCACCAACTTCCACAACTGTTCCTAGAGAAAACAACGCAAAAGTATGTTTTTGAGCTACCCAGTGAAAGCAAGTTTAGGATCTTTGGTTTTCAGAAAGAAAACAGAAGAAGCAAAAGAAATAACCTTCTACAACAGGTGTTGCATCAGCAGCTTGTTGCCTAACTCTTGAACGAATCCGCAAGGCACGTGGACTAGGAGGAGGCTCAACCGTCCTAGATTGACTGAGATGTGAAGTGTTTCTCCTTCTCACTCTTGTACTAGTCAAAGTAGTCAAACTCATCGCTTGAAGACCGCAAACAATTTCTCTCTTGGCACTCGCTGCAGGATGAGCCTGGACAAGTGCTTCAGAAGTTGAACGAGCTCGAACAGTGCTTGGTGCTTCAGGACTTGCTCGAGCAGAGACAGGCCTTGGTTCTTCAGAAGTTGGACGAGCAGAGACAGTTCTTGGTACTTCAGGAGTTGGACGAGCAGTGACAGGTCTTGATGCCTCAGGAGTTGGACGAGCAAAGACAGGTCTTGGTGCTCCAGGAGTTGGACGAGCAGGCTTCTTAGGGCTTGGAGCTCCAGAAATTGGAGTAACAGCCACTCCAGATGAAAGATGTATGGCTTCCTGTGGAGAAAGACATTTCACCTTTGACGTTCTATGATTTGGATTCCCTCCTCTGGCTACAGGATTTGAAGACTCGACTCGCTGCTTACTCCTGCCAGGGACTACTTTGATCGAATCTGAAGGCGCTTTACTGCTTTGACCAGGCATTGATGAGAAATTGGCAACCTGCAACAACAAAAAACCAAAATTTCAGTCAAACCAAGAATCTAATATAAGAAGAGAGACTCAAGTAACAATCATATTACGCACTTAACTCTCGGTGGTTGAATCGTCAGGCCAAGAAGACACTCTTGTCACAATCTGATTCAGAATAAGTTCTATTAGCTAGCTAACGCTTTGCTTGACAACAACAAAGTCCTTTTTTTTTTGACACAGGCGAAAAATGAAAAAAATTGGAAACAAAATCTAACCTTTAATCCAGTTGAAGTTGTTTAGCCTCAGTCATGACGATTTCGATCAAAAGATGTGCACAGAACGGCGAATCAGATGAGATAACAAACTAACGAAGAGTGAAGATGAAGGGTCGGCGATAAAGTCGTGATTTTTCGAAGTCTGGGTTTGGAATTTGGTTATTCGACAGAAGCGAGCAAGGCAACGAAGTAAAAAGGAAGAGGAAACGAAAAAGCATCTCACCAAAGCCGATGCCTTTCTCCTTTTATCTCTAGGGCTCAATCTGATAGGGATTACAAAACCTGCAAAACCCTAACAAAAACCCATTTTCAGTTTAGTAGCAGGTAACGCGTAACAACAAATGCCGATTAACCGGAGCACACAGAATCAGCCGGTTTTGTTAGTTCGAGTGAAAAGCAGTAATTTCAGAGAATCAAAACTACCTGGCACTTTTTTTCTTGGGTGTTACGGAATAGGAAGAGAACAACTGATCAAAAAAAAAATCCGAGAAAACCAGTACGGAAGCAGAGCAGAAGGCGAGAAGGATCAAAAGAAACAGAGGAAAGGGAAAGTTTTTGTTGTTGAAAACCTAACGATTCGGCTTCATACCGTGAAATCGGAAACCGACGGCGAGTTTTTGTTGTTGAAAAGGGAACAGACGAGGTGGGAGAGAAAAAGAAGAGAGAGAGAGGTGTGTGAGAGAGAGAGAGAGAGAGGGAAACGAGGAAGACGACAATCGTCCGTCACAGTCAATATGTTTCAGGAGAATAAATTGCAACATCACCCCTCTCTTACCTAAACTAAAAGAAGACCCTCATATTCTATAGCGATTACAAAGGAGCCAACTTTTCTTATGTTTGCATAAAGGCCCTCTGCTAATGAGAAAATCAGAAAATAAAATTCTGACGGTTTGAGTTTTTATTCGTAAATGAGACACTCTTTGTCTATCTAAAAACAAGAAAAGATCAAATATTTTGTGGTGTCATTCTCTCAATTTTCAACTTATTTCATGGTTGTCTTTTATTTTATAAAGAGGTTTTCTTCACTTGTTTCCCACTTGCTTTTGCTTGTATATATTTCAGGAATAAATCCTCAAAATGGGTGAAATTTTGTAAAGAAAACAAAACCATATCTAAATTAGTTAGTTTCTTGACAGTTTAGTTTTCCATTTTTATTATTTTTTTCAGAAAAATATTTGTTATCATCTGATCAAATCTTAAACACATACCATGATACAATGAGTTATAGATATCTTATGTGTTAAATTTTGTAGTGCATATTTTATATAGTAAAATATCAAAATTTATAGTACTCAGATTTGGATATATAAAATTTAGATTAGATTAATACCTAAAACTAGAAACACGAGTTATTAAAAGGAAGATATAACCAAGTGGTAGTAAACTAGTGGTTTCTATTTAAAAAGGCAATTATTTGATTTAGACCAGAGATCAATTCCCTGCAAATGTAAAATCACCTAACCATTTCCATTTGGCTACGAGAATTTGGCTAGTCAATGGTGTTGTGTTTAGGCCATTTAAAAAAAAAAACGAGCAGTGGAATGAAGCAAATACTTGACCCCGGATCATTACAAAAAAAAAATGAAATGCATTTGATACATTGGGCCAACTGGTCCCCTCGATCTATGTAAAAAACCAACACGTGGTTACTATATTTGGAAAACTCGACTAACGAATCCATTTATTGTCATCATGGCAGCTGTATCGTTTTTCTGCGAAACTTCGTAATCGCACCTTCATTATTTTCAACAAAGCTTTGGTAAATCGTATGGGTCCTCAAGTCTTTAAGATTAAAGCTTACTCTTTTTTAATAGGACCAGAAGATCGAAGCTTAGTTAATTATATATGGAGTAAATTTTGGTTATTGGATAATTTTTTTTTTTAATGTATGATACACCTTTTTTGTAACCCGTTTAGATAGAACAACTTTAAGTTAATAAACTCTCTCATCACTCACCAGTGGTTGCTAGACAGAGTAGTGGACACACATGTAACGAAAGAAGAATATAGGTTGAACGTGGCTCAAAACGACCATAAACGAAGTGCAATCTCACTTTCTGTAACAAAACTTGCTATCCAAGAAAAAAAACTCTCTCATAATTAAACTGTTGAAAATATATACACAAAGTATCTTCTTTTAACCCATCGTTTGTTTCTTCTGTACCTGCAACAATAGCATATCCGTTAGTTCTTCAGAGCTCAAATTTTGAAGAGTTAACAAAATGTCACTCAATGGAAACAATTGACAACACTTAGAAGAAGAAAAGGGGTTTCACTCACTGGCCTTGAGATTCTTGGTTTACACTTTGGTGAAGCATTTCTGTTAGAGGTTAATCCAGAGAAGAGATCAGAGTCTGTTGGTGTTTGCCTATCAACCGAAACGTCCGTGGCTTTTTAGGAACGGCCTGAGATAGTTGATGCTGCTCTTTGTCTTGAGATGTGTCATTGAGGACCGAGGAAGCTTTTTTAGCTGCATAAGCAAAATTACAACCTCGTCAAGACTCCTTCAAGCACTTAGAAAAACAGAGGAGAGAAAATTGAACCAATTTAGAGATTCACTGAAGTGGTTAGCAGAATTCCACCACTCAAGACTAAAGTATCAATCCTTTTTTGTAAACTCTTTTGTACGTTTCCAAAGTTGCAGAGAGAGAGATAGGTTTCACTACCTACTGGACTTGTATGTGGCTGTGAAGGTGGACAAATCACATTTCCTGAGATTTCATTACCAGAGTCGCTTGTGGATGTCTGAAGGATTACTGGCAAAGAAACTCCAGCTTCTTCCATGTTATGAGCTCTTAATTTAGCAGTCACATGATCTTTCTCTCCGGAATTGGTAGAGTTCTTTGGTTCTGAGGCACAATGAGTGGTTTCTAAATCCATTAGATCCACCACAGCAGCACCATATTTGATCGATCTGCGAGATGAGGACCTGCACACTTCACATAACCAAATTGGCGGGACAGATGGTAATAGTACCCTTGCGCAATAGCTGAAAGACGCACAAAAAAAGATCACTGAGTTGCAACAGTAAAAGCTAAAAGATGACAAATTTAGACCAACAGTTATGGTTTGTTGCTTAGAGCATAATTTCTTACGTATGCTCTCGTGTTTCTCTGCACTTGAAGCATATCATTATCAAATCCTCAATGCCAACACTTCCACAGATCTCACAAGGCTGCTACGAATTAGATTAACAAACACATTAGCAAAAAGGAACAGTATTTAGAAGAATTGCAAACTAATTGAAGAACATGATGCGGAGAAAGAAAGATGCACAATTTTTATGACCAACAATCCTAGTCTCAGTCTTGAAACAGTTAGAACCCAAATATTCCGATTCTCAGGTTTTTGGCTCACTCATTCAAGCATTTCATCAAACAGTTGAAAGTCAGAATTTTTAACATACATTCTTGGAGCGAAACACAGAACCAATCTCTAACTGTTTCTCGATTACAAGAAGAGGCGAAAACCGAGATTAAAAGATTAATAAGCAGTCACTGTTCACAAAATCACAACTTTGTGAATCCAAAGAAGCAAACCCAAGAAACATGAAACCCAACGAAGCAAGTAAAGAAAAGATTTAAGCTTTAACGCAGGAATTGGGCCTTACTTTCGATTCTTGCGAGCCTTTGGCCGAGGAAAGCGACGAACTTTGGTATCGATCTTTGTTTCCGTTTCTCCTTTTCATGATTATAAGAGCAAAGGAGGAGGAAAGACGACGAAAGATGCAGTTTTTCTCTCTATCAAAGAAAAAGATGCAGTTTTTTTAAAGAATACCCTGAACCCTAAGCTTGATTCTTGATTTCTGATTTCATATAATGCGGAAGGATCAACTTAAATAAAAATTGATTCTTTTAATTCGTTACCTCGATTCGTTTAATTGGGTAAATAAACAAATATAAATAAAACAAATATTTAATTATTAGATTTTTTTTTCTTAATCACAATATTTATTTTCTTAAACCTGTCTCCAAAACATTTTATACATCAACATTTTGTAGCAAAATATCTTTAGCTTCACAAAGTAGCTAGCAACAATATTTGTTTGACTCAAATGACAATTACAAAATGACTTGTGACCTAAGAAAAAGAAAACACCTTTTGAAAAACCTAAATCCAGATGACTCTAAACAGCAATCTGAACAAATCATTCAACTATTCTTCGGATTCTTCATCATCTGGTGGCGTCGACTCCTTGAAAAAACTTTTCCCACACTGGACAGACATATATTGACACACATCAGTTTCTTCATTTTCCATTAAAAGTAGTGAAAGAGAGAAACTTAACCAAATTTAACCGGAAAAAAAGAGATTGGTTTCATGACCGTACCTATTGCACTTGAGAATTAACATCGGAGGTGTGGATCAGGAATTAGGAAGAAGATTTGTCGCTTGCGTTGCCCACAGCTTTCTCCACTTGATTAGTTCTTGATGATGATGGACCAGCTTCGTTATTCACAACTTGATTAGTCCTTGATGACTGAGCAGCATTTTGATCAACAATTTCAGCCGAATCTTCGCTATCCACAGCTTCTTGTTCCACTTGATTAGCTCTTGGATCAGTAGCAAGATCTATGACATTTGAGGGATTAGGACGACGGCAGACTTCACATAGCCACATCGGAGGAACACTTTCTAACTTTACCCTCGCGCAATAACTGAAAACACACACACAAATCAAGATCGTTGCATTGAGTTGTTGTTGTTAAACAGTAAATAAAAGTAAACCAATATCGAGTTTCTTGTTTCTTACGTATGCTCTCTTGTTTCTTGGCACCTGAAGCATATCATTATCTCATGCGCATTGGCATTACTTCCGCATATCTCACAAGACTTCTTCGGCTACATAAATCATTTATGTAACAAATTAAATAAGAACAAGAAACACTACTTCCTCTGCTGAATTATTCAAGAATTGGCGTCAAATCTTGCTATTCGATGACTTTTCAAATTCCAACTGATCGAAGAACGCAAAAAAATTCTCACGATCAACAATTCCAAAGGCGTAAATCAAGAGAAGAGAAAGTAAATAATCGGAGAATGAAGATGTAATCGGGTGTAGCTTTTTTACCTTACAATCGGAATGGCTTATCAATGAGCAATGATGCCAAAAGCGAAATCCAAACTAAAAGTTTATCTAATCCGGTTATAGAAGAGACTACCAAAAGTGCAAAATATGGACATGAATGATGATGGATTAATGATGACGGATTAATCCAAACTTTTTGTTTGGATTTCGCTTTTGATCTAACTTTCGGTTTTGAAGAAGAGACTCACAAGCTTGAAATAACATTTAAATCATGGTTTCTCAAATTACGAGATTTATGAACTATGTTTAAAACAGCTTCTACAAAATGTCAAACCTCAATTAAGATTTCTCTGGTGATCATAATATCTTTTGAATGAATTGACTAACTTCACACTCCTCTCTTGTTGCTTATTTATATATGAAAGCCAAGTTCAAATTCGTTGGCACAATCTTATTGGCACTGCTACTATCGATAAATGAAATAACACTCGCACCAAAGCCATTTCCAGTTGAAAAATAGTTTTTAGAGTAATTGTTTACTGGACAGTAAACATTCTAAACCGAAGCCCTAAACTTTTGTTTAAAATGCTATAGTTATTGCCTATTTGACAGCAAAATTCCATACTTTTGTTTCCAGAAATTAGGAAGTTTGTGCACCACTGGTATAGAGATCTTATATAAAGTTGGATGCGCACAACGTGGTTGCAACACATAGGATTTTTATAAAATATAAGATTACAACACATATCTTGGGAAAAATGAAAAAAAATCAAAGTGGAATCTTAATCTTTAATAATAAAAACGAAAATTTATATAATAAACTGAAAATAATGTATGTCTTGGGAAAAGGGAAAAAAAATTAAAGGGAAAATTTTAATCCTTTATAATAAAAACGAAAATTTATATAATAAATTGAAAATATAGTAATAAAAAATGCCTATTAGTACATGAAATAGGTATGTAAACTAGATATCCTAAAACTGTATGGAATATATTACACAAACCCCTATTTTAAAAAAATCATATTAGTACATGGAATATGTATGTAAAGTGTAAACTAAATATCATAAAATTGTATGAAATTGGTTATATGAACCCCCTATAAAAAGAGAGCTACAATATTCTCTTTTTCTCATCACAAACTCATCAAAGCAAATTCAGCAAATTTCTTTTATTCTCTTTCTCTAATTTTAAAATCGTCTTTGAAAGTTTAAGAGAACATTGGAAATTATTTGTTTCTAGGTCAATTGGATCGAAATCGAAATTACATGTTATTCAAAATAACATAACGATTTTAATCTAGTTGGTATACAAATAACATAACGATTTATTTAGCACACATAAAATCTACAAGGAACTATCAGACTGTAATTTTTACTTCTTACAAACAAACTACCCATTTCCTTTAAACAAGATATAAGCCACTCGCATCCATCAATCCCTCTCCCTGTGGTGTCTCTGCAATTGCTTCCCAGAATTTCCATGGTTTCTGTGTATGAATCGAGGCTGATTCCACCAGAGCAAATGCAAAACAAGAAAATACATGAACATCAGAGATAAGATCAAACCACTTGGAGATTCATTTATTAATCTATCATGATGCTGCTTTCTAAGCAAACTGAATCTACTAGTTTCTGATTTAGAAAAAAAGAAGGAATTAGCCTACTTTAGTGTCATTGTCAACCACAACTCCATCATCAGAATGTTTAGCAGCTTGAGAAGAAATTCCTGGGACAAGTGCTAATGACTTCTTCGTCAGGAGAAAAATGCCCCAGAGGAAGTTGTTTGTTTCCTTCTGTATCTTGATGATATCTGTAAACACAAAACGGATGTTATTCAAGCCAGGGAAAATCAAAAGAACAGGAAATTAAATCTGCAATAATACATTAGGCTTACTTTGGGAGGACTTGTCCAGTAGTTTTGAAGAGAACATCAACAGTGGTGTGTCCTTGATGTTAATTCTGATCATGGCATTGCTACTCTTCATGACCTCAAAGAGATAAGGATGTTCCTCCTTATACCTGCAAGAACCGTAAGTTTTGTGACCACCGTGACATAACACGAACAAGAAACTTGTCCATTGTAGAAAAGGAAGCTTGAGGCTTGAGTACCTTTTCGTAGTCTTGTCCCCTGGGAAAATGTACATCTCAACATCCGAAAGCGCTGGGCTTCTGTTCACAAACAAATCATTCAAGAGACTGCCTATAGGAACCAATTCGACCGTGAGTAAGACGGGAATCCTCTTTGAAACTTTGTAAGCTTTCCAACGGATTTCAGAAGCCGGCTGAGCCCAAAACTCGCCACTAAACTCTGATGGTGTAGCAGAATCCACAATGCGTCCCCTGGTTTAGTGGCAGACAAAGTTATAAAACATGCACATCGTCAGTAATGTAACAAAGCCTATGGCTTTTAGTAGCACAAGAAGACACAGTGTTTTGATGTGATCAGTAACTAACCTCCAAGTGGAGCGCAAAGCAGGTCGATATGGAAGTAGTTGCAACAATTTCTCTGATAAGATTGATCGGCATATCTCTTTGGAAGCATCATCTTTAGCATCATTTCTAATTTTCGACTTTATCCCTTCAGTAGCCAAAAACAACAACAAGACGATCCAGTGAAAGAAGTTTAGCATCTTAGGCCTTTAAAAAGGAAATGAAGGAACAGAGAAAAAAGCAAAACATCTAACCTTTTACTACTTCTTGAGCTTTAGAAGATTGCTTTATGACGCCTGAACGAATTTGCGACGTACGTGTAGGAGGCACAACCTTCTTAGGTGAAAGGAGAATCGAACTGGTTTTGCGAGCCACCACTGGGGAATTCAGACTCATAGTTCTTCGAACACAACAAGATTGTTTTGTTAAACCCATAGGAGAACGAGGTGGAACAGCTCTTGGTATTTTAAAAGTTGGTTTACTGCCTCCACATGAAAGTTTTCTGACTTCGTCTGGCGAAATCAACTTCATTTTTGATGTTATAGGAATCTTTTTCCATCTGGGAACTGGATTTGAAGATTCAACCCTCGCTTTACTCCTCTGAGTTCCAGGGGCTGTTTTGATCGAGTTTTGAACAGGTTTCACTGAACAATCAGCACATACAAAATCTACTGAGGTTTCAAATGACGATGCCACCATGCAGTAACTGGAAAACAAAGATTAAAAAATGAATGAGGGTTAGATCAAGACAACCATCAGTATCTAAACAGCCTTTCTAATGCTAAATGTATAAGATCATATAACTGAGATAGGAAAGTAATACCACAAAGCTTGTATATGTCAAATTCATACTATATGACAGCAACACTCAGGACAGATAAGGAATAAACATACAACATGATATTACTTCTCACCGGTGTTCACAGGCTATACGGCATTTGGAGCAAGTTGCAAGTAGTTCTTTCCATCCTTGGCTTCCACATGTGTCACAAATTGACCTCTACAACAAGTGCAGTAAAAGAGAATCATCAGCAAACAAACACCAACCTGGGAAGCAAAGGATGTATAGTTTCTTCATACGTATGGTGTGTGTAAAGAAATAGAACATCAATGCACCCTAAAGAGAATGTTCAGAACTCGTATACAGGGCATAACCATATGTGTATGCAAACAGTTTTCCAATTGTTCTTCAGTTACTCCTGTTAAAACTTATTCTTGATTCCTCAACGCTTTTAAAGTTGTTGCATTTTTTGGTCCTCTGAAGGAAATATTGTAAAGACTACCTCTGGTAAACTTAAAGTCAATTCAAGTAGCTCAGATCACTGACCAAATGTAATGTATAAACATGTACAGTGAGACTAGATCAAGTATTTCAAACAATAGACTCGTTAAGGAAAATCATTGATCAAATAGAGTCTTAAGACTATGTTACCTCTAGTAAGTAGTAAGCTTAAAGTCAGTCTTTTAACCAAATCAAAGGATAGTCCATGATCGAAACTCAAATCAAAGGATAGTCTATGATCGACTTAGTAAAGTCAAATCACATGTCAAAGCGAACATCTTTAAACAATAATCTCCTATTTACACTCCGTGGCAGAAAATTTGAAGCTTCCAAATTCCATCAAACAAATAAAAAATCGAAAACAAGCAATCAGCGAAAGCCAAGGATTTCGGTTGAAACTGCGCGATACCAAAAATGGAAACCCTAGATAGAAACCTTACACAAGACCAAATACCCATTTCGGTACAGTACCAAACGCGTGATATCAAAATGCAGGAAAATCGGAAATCAGCTCGTCACACGATAAAGAGGCACACTTTCATAAAATCGACAGCAGAAGATATGAATCACATTTGCTTGCAAATTACGGAACCGAAGGAGCCAACAAATTGGGGGAAAAAAACCGAGAAAAAAAGCTACGAAAGCAGAGAAGACGATGTCAGAAACAGAGACGGTGGTTCTACATACCATATTACGGTAAAGCTCCGAGCTGAACGAAGCCCTAAAGATCAGAAAAACGACGGAAAGTTTTCGATTTTTAGAGGGAGAAATGGGTTTAGAGAGAGAAAGAGTGTTGGAGGAGGAAGGTGGGGAGAGGCTGGAGGGACCAACGAGAGAGAGAGAGAGTAGGAAATCACACGGAAGAAGAAATATATTAACAAGGGGAAAATTGCAATAACTACCCATACCTTTATCTTAAATAAAAAGAAGACCCTCAAATTCTGAAACCCATTAAAAGAAGGAGGTACATTTTCTGTAACTCACATAAATAACCTATATGAGCGATATTTTTGTCTCTTCTGCAGTCTGCATTCCCTATCGACGACGAAGGAGGTACAATTTCACTTTATTTGGCTAGCTCCAGAAATTGCAGTTTTTTTTTGTTTTATTCCAAAATTATGTCATTTCACCTTTGGAGTTGATGACGTCAATTTTTATTTTATTTTTAAAATTGATGATTGGAGTTGAGACTTTAAGTACTGTAGAGTGTAAAATCTTGGAGTGTTCCACTTTGTTTTTAAAGGTTTCAAAGTGATTTTATCCGATCAGATTTTTAATGTCTTCACGTCTGTAAAAGTTTATAAAATTCTCATAACCAGTGGCTGTAGCATAATAATGACTCACAGCCAGATTTTATAGGGTCAAAAATTTAAAGCAAAACCTACATCTATAATATCAATTCAATTTAATGTTGTGTGTGTCATTATTCTTATCTTTTATATACAACAGTAAGTAAATAATTTATATTTTGGTGATTTATCAAAAAGTAAAACAAAATTGATGAAGTGATAAGAATTAAGAAGACACTGCGAAGAACAGAGGGTGTCCAACACACATGCAAGACCTTTTGATTGAGGGCAAGAAGGGGATTTCTCTCACTCTGTATTTTGCTGTGCTCTTTTGTTTGTCGTATACCCATGTACCGAATCAAAGTGTAAGCGAGAGAAAAGATTTGACTGGTTGTACAAGCTAATAATATATTTTGTTTACGAGAACAAATGTATACTGTATTTGTCACTAGAACAAGTGTTCTAATGAATTTCCGAAATTATATGGATCTAATGGAAGAACTTGAAAGCAACTCTAACAAAAAGAAGAGTCTCAGTTTCTGATAACTGAAGGGTCATGTACTCATGTTGATTGGTCAAAAATATTTAATATTTAGAGTACTATTGCGCATACGGCCATGTTAGCCAAGAACAATGGTCATGCGTGCAAAGTATAGCACTGAAAATTGATTACAGATAGGGAATGATCAAAAGTTGGATAAATAACTAAGGAAATTGAGTAACTCTTAGGTTCGTATGCATACTACAAAAGAAGGGTCATAACAAAAAAACAAAAAAGAATCGACTGTTCACAGTACAGTCAGCAAAAGTGCAAAACTTACGTATCAATTCAATTCCAGATTAGAGGCGTGTGAGACACGACGCTTGGAATATTTCCTTGTTGTCCAACATTCTAAACAACCTCTTCTTCTCCTTCAAGTCACTCTCATGACGCTCTTTGCTGACTTCAACTTCCCGCTCTTGCTCGCCTTCATAAACTTCACTTTCCTCTGCCAGTCTTCGCTGATATGCAGCTTCAACCAACGGAGCAGCCTCTTCTCTCTTTGCTCGTTCCAAACAATCCATAGTTTTCGCTAGTCCTTGGAGCTTCTTCTCCCTTTCTTGCCTTTCCTTGATCTTCTCTCTCAAGATCCTCTCCATAACAGTTTCCTTTGTCATCACCACCTTCTCTCCATCTAAAACTGTTATCTTCTTCATTCCCTTTCTCATGCGTTTCTCTCTCTCCTTCAGCAACGCCATAGCTTCCTCTACTTCCCTCCATTTGATCTCCCTAAGGATTCTTTGTCTCATTCTCTCCTCAAGCTCTGCTGCAAGTCTCTTTTGCTCTGCCTCAACAGTTATCTTCTGAAGCTTAATCCGTTTGTCCTCCTCCTCACGTTCCATCTCTAGCTGCTGACGCTCTTGATCCTCTTTCCTCTTTTCAATGATTGATTTCCGAGCAAGTAATCTTTTGTGCTCCTTCTCAACAGTATCAGCTGCCAGATTTGATGCCTTGCTTGGGACAGGATACAACATAGCTCTTACTTTGCTCAAAGACTCAGCAAAAAATCCAGATCATCCTTCACTCCATCACACTCAATATCCAAGCTTCCAAAAGTTACAACACCCTTCATGTGGTCAACTTTCATGGCAACAAAAGCATCAACAGCGATCTTCTCCACCACTGAGAACTCGAAGAAAGGAACCAACTGAGATAAACTCTCGATGCTTATAGTCTGATAAACCTTGGACACCTGTTGAAGCAGCCTCAGAGTAGCAAGTTTCTCCAAACAAGGAACATACTGTGAGAGCTGCACTTGTGGTACTGAAGACAGCTTCCCACCAGATTTGGAGATTTTCTCCAGCAAAGGCTGAATCCTGGAACCAAGATCAAGATCAAGTGAGTAAATCTCATCCTCCAAAACATTGAAAACATCTTGAACCTCCTGAGATGCACATCTCAAAACCCCTCTTGAAACCAGCTCCGACACAAGACCTGGTCGGGAGAGCATATCGAGTTTAGGTTCAAGATCAGACCCTATGAGACTGGCCATCCTCAAATCATCTTCTTCTTTCTCGTTTTCAAAGAGTGGAATAGATAATGCCGCCAAGGCAAGAGATGATGCTAATAGCTGCAAATCCTTTTTGCTTAAGTACTTGCTCTGCAAGATAAACAGCTTGAACCATGCATATGCATGATAAAGATGGCTAGAAGAAACCCAGAAGATCTCTGTCAATTTGGAGTAATACACTATCAACAAAGATGACTTGGGCGCTTCTTTGACCATGCACATTAATCCATATACATCTTCAGCAGAACGAAAAGCTTCCTGCCAGAGTCCAAGCTCAGTAGCAACTCAAATCTTGTATCAAGACAAAGCTGAAAACTCTCAGGAGATGATAAGTCAGAACGCTCCCTTTGGTCTCTGTATCTGTTATGATTTCTAATGATTTCACAAAGCCTACGGAACTCTGTTGGTCGCTTGTGCTTCTTACAGAACTGTAAGGCTTTCTGTGCTGTCATCGCATAAAGTTCTTCCAACTTTGAGCTGTGTCGCAATACCTCAAGCACTGTTCTGTATGTCTCCCACAGAAACTTGACATCAGCTTCAAGCTCATCGTCGAAGACATCAAGGGCCTCCGCTAGGGCTTCAGTCTTCTCAGCTTTCTCGGTAGCAAGATTTAGGAAGTGCTTGATCACTTCCTCCAAAGAGCTCACGTTCACATGTTGGCAGATTATACGGTACTGGATCAATCCGTCCTTGGCGAATCGACCGCTCTTCAAGTCAACACAAAGATCCATATGCTTAAACATGATGTTTTCAAGTGGTTTCTCCCAAGCTATGTATCTCTTGGAGGTAGTGATGACATCATGAAGGCCTGGAGGGCATCTTGTTTCTGTCCAACATTAATCAATTCTTCAGCACGCTTCAGTGCGTTCTCAGGTTTGGGAAAATTCGCCATGTTTCACACGAACAGGAAAGACAAGCTCACAAACGTATATTGTACTCTCAATTTGCCTAGTCGCCGTAAAAGAGAAGGAAGCAGAGAGAGACACTAGGGTTTTCGATTATTGTGGATCTAAATTTAATTACCGAATAATGTAAAGTCTTTCTTCTATACTTATCATTATCATGATAGTAAATCTACGAGAATATTTTTCGAATTAGCTTCACGGGCTTGACCTTACAAACGGGCTTCAATGGCCATAACTCTGTTTGCAAGCTACACGCCTTGCTCTCCAAGATATCTTATCTAGGTTTGGGATGTGAGAAGAGTTAACTCTTGCGATAAACCATTGAAGTGGTAAGAGTAAAAGCAAGAGGTGGAATTATCTTACAACAAAAACATAACATAGACCCATAATTAAGTCATAAGGTACACACCAAAGATTAACTACTAAGCTAGACACCAATGTTCTTGAGACAATAACTAAGTGCACCAAGAAAATCAGAGAACGTTAACATCCTTAGAGCATCAGGAAATAATAGAATCCACTCGAAGCGATCAAGAGAAGGCAGATGAACAATTTGCTTGAGTTCTTGAGGGCAAACGCGCCATTATCCGTCGTGTAGTCCGGGTTAATCCCTGTCCCTCCGTTGACTCCGGTGCCATTTCCAAAAACTCCATTGGTTCCTGAATAAGGACTGTTGCCACCAGGAAGTGTGGTTGTGGTTGAGCTGCCTTTTGGATTGGTTGTGCCAGGTGTCACTGTGGTGCTGCCACCGGAGCCGCTAGAAAAAAACAAAAATAAACGACAAATTACATTGATGAAACGAGATTGATCTAATGGAAGAACTTCAAAGCAGCTCTAACAAAAAGAAGAGTCTCAGTTTCTAATAACTGAAGGGTCTTTGATTGGTCAAAAAAGATTAAAGATCTAGATTACCATTGCGTATACAGCAATATCAGCAGTCAAGAACACTGATCATGCTGTATTCCAATAAAGCTTTTAAAATTGATTGTAGATATGATCAAAAGTTGGAAAAGAAATAAGGAAATTGAGTATTTTTAGGTTCATGTGAACACTTAAAAGATAAAAGAGTCATAAAAAAACAGAAGAAAGAATCGACTGTTCACAATAGTCAAATATCTCTTTCACAACAAAAGTAAAGAAAACAAAAAAAAGTTGCAAACTTGGGACCCAAATCAAGCTTTAGTAACTTTTTCTCTTTGCCACAAATATTCGCAAACAATTGATAAAATTCTTGGATTTTTGGTCCTATAAACTGCAAACGTTTCTTTCAAATTCTTGATAAGCCATTTGAATCAGAAGCATACCTGGCACTAGTAGGAAAGGTACATCCTGAATAACCTGTTTAAAAAGAGTTCGACAAACACATAAATTTTTTATTACATGGATTATAATTCACAAACTCAAAGCTAGAAATTCAATCTTTATCATGTATTTGGCATATGCACATTATATCAGAATCTTGAATACCAAAAATCATTTAATAGTTACAAAAACAAAAAGCCTTCAACTTTCTGTGATTATCAATCAATTGAGAACCACAGGAATCCTAACAATCACCCGAAACAAAGCAATTTAAGTTTCTTTAGCATTTGTTAGAGTTACTCAGATCAAATGTAGTCAAAAGAGACTGTATATAAAAGATGAAGGAATCAAAGTGGCAGTCAAAAGAGGATGGTTGAGACTAACTTGGATCGGAGTTAGTTGGAGTGGCAGTGCCACTGAAGTTACAAGTGCCAGGAGATTGACCCTTCTTTTGGAAGAAGCTATTGACTGCATAGTTGCAATGGGACCTAACATTGTCAGGGTTAAAGCAAGGTGCTTTTGGGTGAGTGGGATTACAGTCTGCTCCATTTCCACAGGCATAGTCTAGTGTTTCTTGTAGCACTGTATCACTCAGTCCTGTTCTGCACACACACCATGCGGCATCTACAGAAATCACAAGAAAAGACAGCATTTAGTTATTGATTCAACACACTATGAGGCTCCATCTTCTTTGTTCTGTTTTGTGAAGCCAATCATATTTGCGGAAACTTGGAATTTATTTTGAGGGGTTTCATCTTTAAAAGGAAAGTTTTGAAAATTACAACAATAGGGTCCAAAAATTAAGTTAGTGAGTAAACAAGCAAATCGGGAAAACCAGCAAGATTTCTAGAAATTTCTAAACTCGGCCAAGAAAAAACACTTCAATCCATAAAAAAAGCAAGCTGAAAAAAAGAAGGCCATAGAGAAAAAGAGAGAAAGAACAAAAGAAAATGAGACAAGAACAGAGATAAATCTTGATTTTTTTTTTTGTATTTTCGTTTTTCAAAGGAACAAAGTAAAACTAAGTATACAGCAGGAGGCCAGGAGAAATAACTTATGATATAACTTAACAATTGTTTTCCTTTTAATCTGACTATCAATGACAGAATACTCAGGAACAGTAAAACCCTTGACTGCTACAAGAACCATTTTTCAGGCCGGAACCAAAAACTAAGATTTGAGATTTGGAAAGTGAGAGAGACACGAGTAAAGCTAGGAAATCTGAAGAAGAGAAGAAGTTCTTACTAGAATGGCCAGCCATGGCTAGAAGGAGAAGTGAAAGCACCAGAGCAGCCATAGATGCGTTCAGACAGAAATGTCACGGTTGCCTTCTAGAGAGAAAAGGAAAAGAATGAAGATAGAGATAGAGATCTCTACAGCAAGAAGAAGAAGAAGAAGAGATAATGGAGAAAACACAGAGAGAGAGAGAGAGAGAGCGCAGGAAGAGAGAGAGAGGGGAGTGATGAGAGTGGCTACTTGTTGTGTGTCTTCTTGTCTCTTCTCAAAACCCTTTTGAGTGCTTTTTTGCATCATTAAAGAACTTAGCTCGTGTAGACTTTTTTTTTGTACGTATATTTGAGATTTAAATTAAAGAGACATGGTGTTATGTAACTTATGTTATTGGTAAAATCAAATTGAAAATCAGTTTCAATACTTATTGAAAAGGCCAAATTTTGTGTTGCAATGCAGGCTGTGGTGTTCCACATAAATGTGAAATATAAAAATGATGAACCACAAAATCTATGTTCATGTGGGGTCAACTGTGAAATTTTGTTTATTACTACTGTCCATGTATATTTTTTTGACATAATATTTTAACTAATTTGCAATAAATGTTATTTTTTTATTAATATAAAAATGGTCTGTTTAATTTGAAATTCAAAACTCAAAAATCAAATTTCACTAACCTAAACAAAAAGAATAATTTATTCCAAAGGTCCATCTCTATCCCATGTTTCTCTTATTAAATTTAAATAACAAAAAAATAAAGAATCATTAATAACAAAATTTGAAAACGTCGTCGTTTCCACGAACCCGATTTTTAACGGGTCGGTGCGAGGAGGGTCGTAGCAAAACTCTTAAGTACGGAAGCGACGCCGTTTTAGGCGCGAACGATCGTCTTCTTCCTCGCAGAGCCGACCAGAGGTGAAGATTCAGGGGAGAAGAAGCCTAAACGACGCAATTACAAGGTTTTGCGATGTTGGTTCAGCTTCCTCGGTTGACGAGCTCTCTGAGAGAGCCGTTCGATATCGATCAGGCGTACCTCCGCCGCAAAACTATACTCCAAACTCTTAATAAGCCTCGCAGGTCAGTGTTCCTAATTTCACTTCTCTTTTGAACCGATTTCACTCGTTTAGTAGGTTTTCAGTTGGTTCTATTGAATCTATTTGGTTCTACATCGAATTTGGTAGCTGTATAGTCTAGTGATCACGACGTCAATGTGGAAGAAAGGAGAAAAGGATATGGTGTATCTTAATAAATTTTGCTAAACTCCTGGACTTCATTTTTAGCAAGAGCTTAGAACGATTAGCTGAAAGTATAAGTCTAATTATATATTTTAAACACTGTAATTGAATTGGACCGGTATGTTGTTTGTGTTTGCCACTTCAGCTCCGGGAGCCGCCTTGATGAATCTGACCTTGCTAGGAGGATAGTTCATCAATGGGAAGGAGGTGATTTTCTGATGATAAATTATTTTCTTAATTCCGCAAATATACTTGTTCTTCCTCTAGATGAAATATGAGGTGGTGATCTGTGTATTCTGATGGAAATTGTTGTGATAGCCTCTCCAGAAGTGCGTCAAGCATACAAGCATTTTATTGGAGCTGTAGTGGAGTTGATTGACAGGGAAGTTGCATCAGATGAGTTTCGTGAGGTTGCTTTTGCCGCATACCGTCTGTTTGGCAAGCCAGTAGAGGAGGATGGTGATTTTAATGATAAAAGCATTGCCGAAAAGAAGTAAGTACTGTGGATTCTGTTTGAAGCAATATATATGAAGATTACTGTATGCAAGTGGTTTTATACATCAGTTGAGTTTTGCTTATATTTAACAGGTTAGAGTTGCAAAATCTTGTTGGTCATGCTGCCTCAGATGCTAAAGTAAAGAACGTGGCCTCCTTAGCCCGGGCACTTTACTCAATACAGCCTACTCATCAGTCTGAGACATATGCGAATGAGGTTGACGATGGAGCTGAGTTTGGTGCCGACCTTGTTTTCAATCTACCAGCTCGTTTCCTGGTGGAAGCATCTCTTGACGAAAGAGGATTTCAGGATGCGGAAAGCAATGACGCTCACGCATCAGTTTCTGAAGGATGGAGTGATGTTAGGGACACGGCAAAGAATCAAATTGTTGGAAAATTCGATTTAAGTTGGCTTAGAGATGCATGTGGGCAGATGGTTAGAGAAAGCAACTCACAGCTTTCCCGTGATGAACTAGCTATGGCTATATGCAGGTTTCTGGATTCGGATAAGCCTGGTGAGGAGGTATGTTGCTTTTCGGAGAAATGTTTTCGGACTTACTATGCCTAATCCTGGAGCATCACATTTACAAGTTAAAGTTGAGGAGATTTTAACATTTCTTCTGCAGATAGCTGGAGATTTGTTGGACCTTGTTGGGGATGGCGCATTTGAGACTGTTCAAGAACTTCTTATGGTAAGGCCTATATTTTGTATTGCTCTTCTATCTGAACTCTGTGGTTCGATGCTTTGTGCCTGATTTGCTTTCGATTCGACAGTATAGTATGCCTGTCTTGTGGGTTTCTGTTACGTTTGAGTGGCACTACTACGTTTTAAAGTTTCAGGGGTGAAATCATATTTTTTAGCCCTTAGTTGAAGTAGCCTACTACTAGCTTTACCTAGTTCTTTCTGTAAGCCGGCTTATATGTTGCTTGACTGAATTACATTATAATATTATGTACTGAATGTTCTCCTCCCTTGAATTAAAATAATTCCATGTATGTGTGTGGGTGTGTGCGTATGTATAGTAAAAGGATTGTTACTTCGGTATGTGCTGAAGATATATTCTGCTTTTTAGTTTCTTAGAAATGTAAATAGTGTTTGACTTAATGATTCCCTTTTCAGCACCGGAAGGAGATTGTTGATGCTATCCATCATGGTCAGATGATTCTCAAGTCTGACAAAGCAGCTTCAAACATCCCATCTCGGATGCCTACCTATGGCACACAGGTAGAACCATTTGAGTGAGGCCTTCCCGCATAATGTCGGGTACAGTTCTTTTTTCTATAGCTACAGTAACCACTCTGCTACCTACCTTTCAGGTTACTGTTCAAACAGAGTCTGCAAAGCAAATCGAGAAACTCCGGCGTAAGGAGGAAAAGAAAAACAAACGAAGTGCTGAGCTTGGTTTAGAGAGTGAAATATCTGAGGCCAATTTTTCTTATTTACTTGAGGCAAGTGAAAAGAAAACTGCATTTGAGGATTTGATCGGGTCTGGAGAAGCCAATTCTCTCGCAGTTGCTCTTCCCCAAGGTACTGTAAGGAAGCACTTAAAAGGATACGAGGAAGTTTATATCCCGCCAACACCTACCGCACAAATGAAACCTGGCGAGACTCTGGTACGTCTCACCCATATCTAGATTAGATATCTAGAGGTTATATGACAAATCTTGAATGCGAGGAAGTTATCTTCAAGTGTTCTCCAAACATTTTATGAATTTTCTTATATAGATTGTAGCTTTTTCTGTGGGATTGCGTGCAGTCTTAACTTTAATCCTTGAATGTTGCCAGATTGAGATAAAAGAACTAGATGACTTCGCTCAAGCTGCTTTTCATGGTTACAAATCTTTAAACCGTATCCAGAGTCGAATATTTCAGACAGTTTACCACACCAATGAGAATATATTGGTAAGTCATATGTAAATCTTTTGTCCATGCTAAGCGACAATGCCAGTCACCTTGTCAAGCATAAGTATATTCTGTACTTTGCAGGTCTGTGCTCCAACAGGAGCTGGAAAAACAAACATAGCTATGATTTCTGTTTTACATGAGGTAAGTACTTTTTTATCTGGTTAATATTTTCGTTTGTCCAAACCTGATTTATCACACACCATTCGGAAAAGAGTTGAAATGTTCTTTACTAAGAGCGTGAGTAGATTTTCTTGAAACGTGTGTTTGTGTTGTAAAAGAAGATGATATATTTTAATCACACCGAATTATTTCATATTTTACTCAGATACTTTTGATATCGTCTTGCAGATTAAACAACACTTCAGGGATGGCTACTTGCACAAAAACGAGTTTAAGATTGTTTATGTAGCTCCCATGAAGGTAGAATCATGTTAATATAATCTTCTGGATGAGTTTTGTCCTCAGAATTTTTATTTACATTTTTTGTTCTTTGTAGGCGTTAGCAGCAGAGGTCACTGCAGCTTTTAGCCGTCGTCTAGCTCCATTAAATATGGTTGTGAAGGAGCTTACAGGGGATATGCAACTCACCAAGAATGAACTTGAAGAAACTCAGGTTTCACTTTAAGCTCATAAGATATGCTTAAGTTGCTTGTTAAGACGTGCAAGAAATAATATGTACCTGTTATTTTATTGGTTGTAAATCAGATGATTGTAACAACACCAGAGAAATGGGATGTCATTACTCGCAAAAGCAGCGATATGGCATTGTCAATGCTAGTAAAACTCTTAATCATTGATGAAGTGCATCTTCTGAATGATGATAGAGGTGCAGTGATAGAGGCACTAGTTGCTCGGACTCTCCGTCAGGTAGCGTCTTGTTTGACCATATTTGTTTTCATTGCTCAGTTACATGTTACAAACAATCTGGCCGTAAAAATTGGTTCTGTTAAAGTAATTGTTGAAGTTGTATCAATTGCAGCAAATTAACATCTGGTGACTTTTGTTTTGTGGATCAGGTGGAGTCAACACAGACAATGATAAGAATTGTCGGCCTGTCAGCCACTTTGCCTAGCTACCTACAGGTCAATTCGAAACATGATATATATATATCTGTGTCACGATGTTATGCGACCATATTGTGATTACTTCACATATCCAATTTGGTCACAAGAAATAATGTTCGTTCAAAATTCCTTTTTTTTTATAACCTTTTTGTGGGATGGATTTCAGGTTGCTCAGTTTCTACGAGTGAATCCAGACACTGGCCTTTTCTATTTTGATGCGAGTTATCGCCCAGTTCCGCTAGCTCAGCAGTATATAGGCATCACCGAGCATAACTTTGCTGTTAGAAACGAATTGTTAAATGAGATATGCTACAAAAAGGTCTCTCTCTATCTTGAGCAAAGTGTCTTCTGTACTTATGTGAATATG